AAGCGGGTGGTCGCATAATGAACACAATGAAATCTTGGCTCAATAAGCGAGCAGAAAGAGAAAGAACAATGAAACAAGTGTTTCATTGAATTTAAGAAGATGTTATAAAATTGCTGAATTTTCTATTTTTCATAATATTAATATTTCTCAGTTGACTGTGGAAAATGTTACGTTTAAGAATGTTTGCATAGGTGTCGCAAGGTGACTGGATGTAATATAGCGAACCGGTAGTTGCGCTCCTTACAGTGTTCCCAGACTTACCTAATTATGCATGAAAAGAAAGTTTTACACAAAGTTGTTTATTTTTTCAAAATCAATTTATATTTTATCGGAATAATTTCTTGTATAAATTAGACTACACATTGAATGAAAAGAATTTTTTACTACTTATGAGATTTTTAGAAATAGTACCTACTGGAAGGAAAATAGGGTTTGCTTCTCAATAAATATGAATTCACTTATACTACCTACCTGAAAGGTATTTTATTTAAAATATAACAGCTTTAACAAATTTTAAGTGAATTCTTACTTCCATACTCAAATTTAGAGTGATTTTAATTTTTTAAATTTTAGTATTTTTGTATTTTTTATCAAGTATTTGAGCTCTTTTTCTTTATAGTGCTTTAAAAAGGCTGTTTTTAAATAATACTCCATAGCTTCGGCAAAATTTATCTTATAAAATAGAAAAATAAGCATTATAAAGGTAATTAAATGAGCTTTCAAAGGAATAGATACTGAGAGGGGCGGAGTGTCAGGGGATGAGTCTGAACCATTGTTTTTCATTATTAGAAAATATTTATAATTTTTTTTTATTATTTTCAGGATAATAATTTATTTATGAAATTATAATTTTACTCTCTAAAAATTCCATACGCTGTAAAATTAGGAGTAGAATTTTGACCTCCAGTAAGATTCTATAAAAGCCACACCTCTTTAGAATTAAAGCAAAACGAGTAAAATTGAAAGAGTTATATTCCTTAGGATTAACTCCTTCTTTAAAATGATGAATTCTTTTCGTTTTACTCACGTTTATCCAGTTTAATTAATCTATTTTTGGCTCTTAATATCTGCGTAAGTCAATTTTGTGGCTTAAAATCATTTTATTAATCTTACATTATGTAAATAGTTTGATTACTGTAATGATAGATTCCTTGTAACTTTCACAAAGAGAAATAAACTAGGTGTAATAAGTATTTTTTTAGCTTAATTGTAAATTAGAAGCGGTTTATTGAAGATTATAAATCTCAATTCCCACTAATGTGGCTTTTAAGGTGGACGTTTTGCGGAGTGTCATTTGGGAGTTAAGAAATATTAGTCTTTCAATCAGAACGAAAATTATTTTACTTTATGATTGTTCAACAATCAAAACTTAATGTTATTCACGCAAAAATGGATGAACTGATTCAGAATCAGGAAATAGAACCCGTCGAATTCGGTCGCTCTTCTACGCTTGAAACTCCTAAAAAATTGTAATTCTTTTTAGAATTCTCACGTGGGGAAAAAATTAAAATGCGCTATTGAAATAATTCAGTAAAGATTAATAAAATTGGATAACAATAATTAGCAAAGTAAAATTATGATGGAATGGTTTAATTTATTATAGTAAAATTATAATTCTAAAGGAATGACTTCATTTGTGATGATTGTGGCTGCCGTATCAACGAAAAAGGATACCCATAGACTGTTTGTGGCATTATAAAGAAAAATATTATGAAGCATCATCTGTCTTGATATCCTGTTTCATTTTCTTGATATTGAAGCCACAGTCGTCAAATTCTGCCATGTTTTATGTTAACTACAATTTTACTCAACCGTGTACAATCTGTAACATACAAAAATTTCTTATCGTGTTTTGCGATGCAATTATAGCCCGGTCCTAAGCAACCTGAAGGGGTAAAAATTGCAGACTGTTTAATGATAGTGGGTTTAAATCACTAATAGGTCACGTACAACATATTTTCAATTTTTTGAATTTGTTATACAACTATCGTATTTATTTTAAAAAAGTGTAACTGCCAAAATGCTAGGAAAAATTAAATTTTTGAAACCAAAGTGTAATGGTACTATGATTTTTTTCTCCACAAGCGTATAAAAATGAAATATTTGATATTAAATTATGCGCACATTTTTCGTTTTAAAAATGATAATTCCTTACGCTGATCACAGCAGGTTTCTTTTTAGAGAGTCAAAGTCAATATTTATCCTGAGCCTTTAACATTTTTCTCATCCGAGAGGCTGAGTCAGATAATGTTGCAATATCATCTACATAAGCCTGTTGTAAGGTCTCCGTCAAATGGTCTAAAGTTGTTTCTCTGGTACCTTCCCCATTAAAAGAATCTTTAAGGTCAGAAATAAATAGGCGAAAGAAGATTACTTCCCCTACACAACCTCGTAAACAGTTTTTAATTTCTGGCAACCTTGTTTTCGAATAATTTGTAGATTTCAGAATCTTGGGTTCTTGGGGCATTTCATGTTGTTTTCCGCAGTGTTGTGTCCTATTGAATAGAATTTAAACCTTGTCGAAATTTTAAAAAGCCCTCTAAAGTTTTGATATTGTCGGCATTTTTATTCAGTCGAATTGGAGTATACTTCCAATAAAAATGATGTTTTTCTTTTGTTAAACGCAATTAACTTATTTAGAAACTTTGTGGAAAAAATTTCATTAAAAGAATCGCCAATTTAGTGATGGGTAGAACAAGACATGAGAAAGTAATATGTAATATAGTGGGATCACGATGTATAGTGGGAAAAATTTGTCAACGTCTACTGTTTTAGAGTTTATCTCATGCGCAAAGAAGAGAGTAGTTGGTTTGGTGAGAAATTTATTTTACCAGTATTTCAACAAGGCGTGCATAATCTAAAAACATTAAATTGTTATGGAATTTCTGATTGGATCATGCAATTTTCAAAGATTTCAGCTACACATGATAATTATGTGTAATAGAATTATTAATATTTTCAATGAATGCTTTTTTAAGAGGTTCAGTATAACAAATTATATTTTAGTAGAACCTTTTTTTGATTGACAAATTCTAAATTTATTGGATTTTGCTTATACCAGAAAAACAAAAATATCAATTTTGGAGAATAAAATTGACAATAAAAATATTTATTTATTTTTATATAATTTACACATGATACAAATTTTTTTATCATATTGTCTCTACAGGATTTTTTTAAAGTATTGACTTTCTTTAAACAAATAAGCATATTTCCATAATTATTTTTTGAAAAAATAGGAATAGTCAGGGATTTTTACTGGAAAAAATGAAATTTTTAGAATTCATAAAAAAAATTCTGAAAAGAGTTGCATTTGCAATTTTTATAAATAAATGAACTTCAAAAGGTTTCAATTTAAAATTTTATAAAATTTAAAATTTCCATGAGTTTAATTGGAAAATTTAAAGAACTTAGATTTTTAAAAAATTTTAATAATTCAAAGTCTTCTTAAATTAGTTTTCATTTGTAATACATACCTATTGAGTTAATTACTAAAAATAATTGAATTTGTGCTAAGTATTTTCGTTAAAAACACTAAAAAAAAAAATTGAATTTTGGAGAAGTTAAAAAGTGATTACAGAAATTCAATTATTTTTAAAAGAAATAAAAGTCTTGACAAAAATCCAATTATGTTCAAAAATTTATTACAATTTAATGATTTTCAATACTTACTATTTTAATCAGGTTTTCCAACAGAATCCAATTATTTAAAAAAAATTTTAATAAAATTCTACGCAAACATTCAATTATTTTCATAAATAATAAAATTTTTTACAGGAATTCAATTATTTACAAATTTTTTTTATAAATTTCTTCGCAATAATTCAATTATTTTCATAAATAATAAAACCAGGGTTCCTGCAGAAAATCATGGAAATAATATGGAATTTTTAAAAGGCTTCTGGAAATCATGGAAAAGGCCTGGAATTTTTAAAAGTTTCTAAATTTTTTCAGTTTTCCATTTTTTCTCATGAATAGAAATTCAAATAATAATAAAGCTAAACGGCATAAAAGAGAAGTAGAAATGTTGAATTTTAAGAAATTCGGATTTTTGAATTTTGTTAATTTTTGATAATTTTAAATTTTTTACCAAAGAGTCGAGACTATTAAATAAGTAAAGTGTTTTTAAAGAGCCCAAAATATTGAAATTAGATTTAAAATTCCACTGGAATTTCGTAAAAATTTGACCTGGAAATCATGGAAAAGTTATGGAATTTTAAGTTCGGATTTCTGTAGGAATCCTGAAAACTCATCGCAAAATTTCAATTAATTACAATACAATTATTTTAATCGAATTCCTCGAAAAATGTAATTATTTAAAAATTTGTTGATAAAGTTCTTTATGAGAATTAATTTTTAAGAAATATTCAACTATTCAATAAATTATTTATTTTTGTATTGAAATAATTGAATTCTCGTACATTTTCTAATAGAAATTTACTTAAAAATTTTTGACAATAATGATGTTATCACTCTGACTCGGTCATCTTTAATTGTCATAAAACATAATAAAAATAATAAAATATCGTTATATAGAATATTGTTTGTTTTATAATAATATTCTGAAAGGTTGTTGAATTTGAAAAAGGTGTGACCTTTTTTGAGGATAAAAGATACTGTGATGCTTGCTTGTGGAAAGTGACTAAAAATGAGTAGGAATTTCAACTGCTAATTGAAATTACTAGACATTTCACTACAGTTAAGAATTACAAAATATGTGCAGTGAAACCTTTCGGAATGCAGCTTGACTTTTTAAATTTTATTATAGTAATCAATCCTTAAAAAATTGTTTTATAACTTAATTTTCTAATGTTTTTACAATGTTCTGAAACTAAATGAAAATAACTCTTATTGAACATTCTGACAAGTTGGACTGTACATGGAAAATACTTGGAAGTTTTGCGATGAGAAATTATTAGAAATTATTGGAAACTGGCATAATTGAGGATAAATTCTTTGAGAATTTCGGAAATTAATTTGATGTATTTGTTTGTTTTCAGGTTTCCGAGGAGAGCATTGCGAAGAAAACATCGACGACTGCATCGGTAACCTCTGCCAAAACGGAGCGACATGCATGGACCGAGTGAACGAGTACTCGTGCCTGTGCCCGGCAGCCTTCATGGGCACGCAGTGCGAGCTGGACGTGGACGAGTGCTCCGTGAGACCGTCGCTGTGCCACAATGGCGCAACTTGCACCAACTCCCATGGCAGCTACTCCTGCATTTGCGTCAACGGCTGGACTGGGCCCGACTGCAGCGTCAACATCGACGACTGCGCTGGTGCCGCGTGCTTCAACGGCGCGACTTGCATCGACCGTGTTGGCAGTTTCTACTGCCAGTGCACCTATGGGAAAACAGGTACGCAATAACGCAAAGCTCCACTCTCATGGAAACTTGCTTCCAGTGTTTCTCCTTCACTTAAAGCTTCTTTGCTCAGAATCCTCAAAAGTACAATGACTGGGATAGCGTTACACATTTCAGCGGCCCACTTGGTGACACGCGTGTGTTGGGGCGAGTTATTCTTCAGTGCCGTATTTCATGAGTGCGAATCCCACTCTTTCCTATGACTGGCTTGAAGCTGTCCTTGCTGTTTGTAGGACTAGGAAATAACATTTTTGGGAAATGTCGTTTTTCAATTCTATCGAAATTAAAATTGTTTTTTATTTCTAACATTATTAATCTATTCATATTGTTATATAGTTTAAAACGTCCAGAACATGTATGATTTTTTAATCATTCTTTTTCCATAAAATAAATACATTTTTTTATTTGGACACATTGATATCTAAAAATTAATCTTATTAATTTTTACTATAACATATGTAAATTATAAAATTGTTGTTAAAAAGTTATTAAAAGTAAGATCCGTAGCAACAGATTCTTTGAGACCTATTCCAAAAAAAATTGCTTTTGCGGTGATCAATGGCCCTAAAAATAGGAACGTTTGACAAAAGTCACTAACTATGAAAAATTCCAATTTCTTTAAAAACCCTTCGTTCAATCACCCACTAACAGAAACTTTTTTGTTATTTGACTTTAAATTCACCGCAAAAGCAATTTTTTGGAAAAGGGCACAAAAAATCTGTTGCTACGGGCATTACTTTTAATATTTTTAACAAAAGTTTTATAACTTACTTATTTTATAGTGTACTTTCAGATATCAATGTGTTCAAATAAAAAAATTTATTTTATTTTATTATTTATTATTAAAAAAGATTGAATGATCTTCTATAAAATCGTTCCATTTTGTAAAGCACATTTGAAGTACATATTAATGGTTGCCGAAGGTCAGGGAATTTTATGAAAAGTACTGGAAAAATATTCAATTTCTAGAATTCATAAGAATATTTTGAATTTTGTTGTCCAAAGTAACAGACTTAAAAAAACGAAAATATTCAATTCAAGTTTAAATTCTTTCTATTTCTAATAATAATTGAACAAAATCAACTTTAATACAATTCTTTAAAACAATTCCATTAGTGACAATACAATTTTAATTAAATTCGTCGAAAAAATCTCATATCCTATAAATTAGTAAAAAATAAATCAATTTATAAATTTTGTTTGCAATAATATTATTACAAAACTTTTTCTCTAAATTTAAATTAGTAAAAATTTCAACTAATTAGATCAAAAGTAAGACGAAATTTCTAAAAATTAATTTTTTAATAATAAATGAAGTAAATAAAAATTTAAAAAAATAAAATTCTGTTTGTGTTATTAAGGAGACTTCTGTGTCAGAAAATTGGAAAAAAATGTTATTTGATAATAAAAAAAAGAATTAATGAGGAATAGAATAAGACGATTTACTTGCCTTTTTGATGAGTAAAAGTGGTTTAAAAAAAGTTTAAAAGTAGGATATTTTTTTAAACTAAAAATAATTGAGACTTCATTAATGAATAGGTGGATGAACTCCATGCCTTAAAAAATCTTCTATCCAAATTTTTGAATAAGTAAATTATTTAATAATTCTAAATATTGTGAGTTTCCCGTTGTTTCTTTTAGTAATTTCTGTAACCTGTAAAATTTGAACTGTTGTTAGATCAAAGGATTAAAAGTTTTTAGTAACTTTGAGAAGTTTAGATAAAATCGCTTTTTAGATTAGAAGAAAATTCGGATTCATTAGATTAATGTTTCGTCTCTCTCGAAAATCAGGAGATTTGTAGCCATTTGAAGTTTTTTCCCTTTGAAATAAGGTGAAATAAGGGAAGGTAGTGCAGATGAGTTGATGATGAATTCCGAAACGTGGCGAAAACGTACGAGTAAGATTCGGGCCCGACTCTCAACTTGTGGCGAAGGCGAAGGCGAAGGGAGTGCGTAACGGGGAATCTACATCTCGACCTAATGTGAAGCAGGACGGACTTCCATAACGGTGCAATAGCCTTTGTACGCACTTCGCTTCTTAAATCAAAATGTCTAGAAGACCAATTATCAAAACATCATCAGTTATTTATTCCCTTATTAATAGAATAGTTCCATCTTGAAATAATTATTCCGATTCTCATTTTATCAATCTTTGGCGTTACTTCGTTGTAGGTTATGTTGACTTAAAGTAAGGGGGTTGTGGTTCATCCAAGAGAATATAGACCTGTAGAAAATAAATAATTCAAATATTATTAATATTTTCCAGATAAAGGAAAATAAGGAATAATTTTCAAGAACAAAATTTTAAATCATAAAACGATTTTTTATTTAAATATTAACTATTGTCAATAAAACCCCACATAAAAAATTCTTCAAGTTCTCACGTTACCTTTATTTCAATTTTTTGAACTAATTTTTAATTATAAAATATTTTTATTAAAAATATTCTGTCAGATCGCTTTTTTTGAATTTTTTAAAATTGATTCGATTTTAATGTAATATGGCTTGTTTTCTTCAAACAATGATTCCTTACAATTTCACCATACGGATTTTTAAACAAGCATGCCGTTTTAAAAATAATAAAATATGCTTATTTGTTTATAAGAAAGTTTCGACCTTTTAAAATAAATAAGTATATTTTCAAAACGGCCAACTTTTTTAAGAAGCCTTACAGTGAAACTAGAATTATTTTCTGAAGAACATTACAATAAAATGAAATCATTTTTAAAAAGTTGCATAAAATAGTTATGACTGCAGAGAAAAATTTTGACCTATTCATCCGTAAATATTTACCCAAGTTTTAATGTCGTATCCACCTTTATAATAGTGGACAAAGAAATTTAACATTTTTTACCTTCTTATTAATTAAAATAAATTTATTAACAGGTCTTCTTTGCCACCTGGATGATGCTTGCACGTCGAATCCTTGTCACCAAGGAGCTATCTGTGATACAAGTCCGATTAATGGTTCTTTTACTTGCTCCTGTGCAAGTGGTTATAAAGGTTTGGACTGCTCTGAGGACATCGATGAATGCGAACAAGGTAAGCTTAATAAATAGTTCATGTCATCAAATTTTTTTCAACAATTAAATTATTTAAATCAACACACATTAGAATGGATTTTTTTGTGATAATTTCCACTACTTTAATTCGCATAAATAACAATATTCATCACAAGAATTGAATTATTCTTAAAAGTAATAAATTTCTTCTTGTAAATTCAATTATTTTAAAAAATTCCAATAAAATCGTTCGCAAGAATTCAATTATTCTCAAAAATTTGAATAGAATTCTTTGTAAAATTTAATTATTTTTAAAATCTTTTCGCAATTCAATGATTTTCAATATCTACCATTTTCATAAAATTTCCAAACAGAATTCAATTATTTAAAAAATTTTTGTAAAAATCTTTGTAAGAATTCAATTTTTTTCATGAATAATAAAAATTTCTCAGTTATTCAATTCAATTATTTAAATTAGAATTTGCATAAAATTAGTCGAAAGAAATGAATTATTTAAAAATTTCTATAAAATTCTTCGCAAGAATTAAATTATTTTTCTAAATATTGAAATTCTTTGATGAATAATAAAATTCGTTTTAGGAATTGAATTTATTAGCAGCATCAGAAAGAAGTAAATATTTTTGATGAAAGTTAGGAAAAAGTGAGGAAAATAAAAAATATAGAATGAAATTTTTGTCAGTTTCGTGAAGTGTCTAAAACGAGTTTTTTTGGTCGTCAAGTTTAATTTTTCGATAGCTACTTTTTTAAAATTAATTATCGAGTGCGAAGTCTGCATTTGTCTTCAATGCTAAAATATAAATTTGGAGTCTTTTATTAAATTAAAACATTAATCGCATCTATCTTGATACTACTTGGCAGTTTTTGCACCAAAATTATTATTTATTAATATGAGTAATCAATTAAGAATATTAATAAAATTTTCCAGGCTCACCTTGTGAACATGACGGCATTTGTGTAAATACTCCTGGCTCTTTCGCTTGTAATTGTACCCAAGGTTTCACTGGACCAAGGTGTGAAACAAATGTGAACGAATGTGAATCACATCCTTGTCAAAACGATGGCTCCTGTTTGGATGATCCTGGAACATTTCGTTGTGTCTGCATGCCAGGTAAGTTAACTTTGGAAATTTATTTCTTTCAAAATTTCTTCTTCTTTCCAAAACTATAAATAAGTATCAACATTTCTTCGTAACTAGTTTTCAATCATTATTATATATTATAAATCTTGATATTCATTCTGTTCACACCTGAAGTCAATCATTTATTCTCACGCTTTTGTTTTTTATACATTTCCATAAAATATATTTTTATATTATATTATTATTTCTTTTTAATTAATTAAATTATAATTCCCAAATCAAAATCATGTTTTTCGTGATTTTTTTCTACTTTTATTCTACAAAACAATTTATTTAACAGATCAAAATTATATAGGTTTTTTTGGCACTTAGAATATATTTAAAGAATATTGATTAATTTTCTATGTTTGTCTAATTGTGTTAAAGAAATACTTTAACATTAATTTATTTTTTTAAAAGTCATTTAATTACGAAAATTTTCAAGTGAGCGAAAAATGATACATTTTGGAATTGCAGATTTTTCAACTACATAAAGATGTTAATAATTTATATGTTGTTATATCTGATATTTAAATTTGTATCAATTGTTAAAAACAATTCCGGTGCGAATGTCTACCACATGAAAGAAAAATCCCCTTCTTTTATGGCGCGGACACCGTTGATTCCTACTTTTACTTTTACCATAATTTTCATGAATATAAAAGTGTATGTTAACTTTTCCAATTGAAATTCTTTTAGAGTGCAATAATAATGTTAATAATAATAATAATAGTAATGTAATATTGTTAGTCAAGATGTTTAATTTACTTTTCACATTTAAAAATTCATATTTTTCGAAGATAATTCAGGAACCAGATTTTTTAAAATTGATACACAGAAGTAATAAATATGCAAGAAAATGAAATGACGAGAAAAACGAAAAAGTGACCTATTATTTTGTTTTCTTTTAGAATATTAATTGAATTTAAAAGGATTTGGTTCGCAAACGTGCTGCAAAGTTTGAATAAAATTCAGAGGGAGAGAGAGAGAGAGAGAAAGCGAAAAAGAAAGAGTACTTTAGATACCTTGGCCACACCCACGTTCTCTTAGCACGTTTGCAAGATGTACAATAACAGCTCGTTCCCATGGAATAGCACCATTTGCCAATAGATCGGTCTTATTTTTCCAGCCACGCTCTACATATATAAAACCTAGAATAAATAGTTCACAAGATTATTATAATCATAGAATTCACTAATAAATTCTTTTTCATTTTTAATTCCATTCCAAAAATTTTATCTTTTCCTTTTTATTTTTCAAAATTTACTTCCATTTTAAAAAAGATAAATCACAATTTTCTCGTAAATATTCTGGATTATTTCTGAATCAAAATATTTTAATAAACACTTTGCTGTTTTCAAATGATTCTTTTATAAATTTTTTACAGTAAAACTAGTTCTCAGTCCTGTTTAAGAATAAGCCTCTTCAGGTGTGGACGCATTTGCATGAAAGGGGTCCGTTTTGTCGGTTCTAGTTTTCGAGATAATCGCAATTTATTAATTAATATTAAAAATAAATTTTCATTTTTTTCATCGCAGAAGTTCAAATAAGGTCAAAAATTCACAAAGATTGGCGTCAAAATTTCAATTATATTTATAAATAATAAAATTTTTCTCCAAAATTCAATTATTTTCACAAATTTTAATAAAATTTTTGGCAAGATTTTAATCATTTTCAACAATTTTTCATAATTCAATGAGTTTCAATATCGAATATTTTAATAAATTTTTAATTAAATTCTACGCAAACATATAATTATTTTCATAAATAATAAAAATTTCACAGTAATTCAATTATTTAAAAATTTTTTTATAAATTTTTTTTGCAATTATTCAATTCTTGTAGAATTTTCTAAAAAAAATTGATTTAAAAATGATTTTTAGTTAAAATTTTAGGTACCTAATAATTGAAAATTAAAAGCATTATAGCACGAATTTTAAAAAGGATTCAAATTAAAATCATTGAAAACTTGAAATTTTTATACTTTTAACTAACAATTTTGTAGAATTAATTTTTTTGAAAAAGTTTAATTAAATTTTTTTTTAATTATTTGAAATTTTTATTTTCTAAAATTTAATTGAAGAATTTCTGAATAATCAAAATTTCGTAAAATTGAATTATAAACAAATGGATTTGTAAATTCTTTACGAACTTTTTAAAAAATTATTTAAAGTAGAATTTTAGTCATCTTTAATTATTATGAGTAGGTGAATTGCAAAAAGGTTTGAATTAGAAAGTTTTGAAAATCTTTATTCATTTGGAAATTCTTTAGGGTCAGGAAAAACGTCAAATTTTTTCTGGAAGAAGAAGAATTTTCTTGGTACTAGAGGTACAGTCATATGCCTCTTTGTTTCCAATCTCATGAAATTTTGCTTTGCTTTTCTGCTCAACATGGGATGCGCCCTAAAAATGAAAAAGTTACATTACCTAGATATTTATTGACAAATTAAAATTCCGTAAACATATGATTAGTTTACTAAAAAATAGTTATGAATTGCGTAATTTACTGTGGACTTATTACAGTGTTTATTAATAGAGAATTAACTTTTCAGGTTTTACTGGGACCCAGTGTGAAGTGGATATTGACGAATGTGCAGCAAATCCTTGCCTGAACAATGGTGTGTGCACAGACATGATAAATGGATTCAAGTGCACTTGTGCTAACGGCTTCAAGGGAACACACTGTCAAGTGAATATCGACGATTGCGCTTCGTCTCCGTGCCGAAACGGCGGCACATGTCAAGACTCTATCGCCAAATACACCTGCGACTGTCCTCCAGGATTCACGGGCGCTTCTTGCGAGACCAACATCAACGACTGCCAATCGAATCCTTGCCACAGTGGAACTTGCATCGACGGGGAGAACTCGTTCACTTGCAGTTGCTTCCTCGGCTTCACGGGCAACCTTTGTCAGACGCAAATCGACGAATGCGAAAGCAATCCTTGTCAATTCGGTGGTCGGTGCGAGGATCGCGTAAATGGCTATCAGTGTATTTGTCGACCGGGCACATCCGGAATCAACTGTGAGGTGAACGTCAACGAGTGCTACAGCAACCCCTGCAGGAATGGCGCGCGTTGTATTGATGGAATTAACAGGTTTGTACATTTTTCATTTCCTTGTGATTGTTTAATGCCTTATATTAAAAAAAATGAAATTAAAAAATGAACCGTTTGTGTTGCAGATATTCTTGCGAGTGCGAGCCTGGATTCACTGGTCAACATTGCGAGATAGACATAAACGAGTGCGCCAGCAACCCATGCGCGAATGGCGGCCGCTGCATAGACCTAATCAATGGATTCAGATGTGAGTGCCCAAGAGGTTACTATGATGCACGGTGCTTGAGTGACGTGGACGAGTGCGCCAGCAACCCTTGCGTCAACAATGGAACGTGCGAAGACGGCGTCAACCAGTTCATCTGCCACTGCCTGCCGGGGTACGGCGGCAAGAGATGCGAGGCTGACATTGACGAGTGCGGCTCGAATCCTTGTCAGCACGGTGGAATTTGCAACGACCATTTGGACAGATACAGTTGCCAGTGTCTGGCGGGGTATTCTGGGACGAACTGTGAGACGAACATCGATGACTGCGCAAACAGTCCTTGCCAGAACGGCGGCTCTTGCATCGACCTCGTCAATGACTACAAATGCGTTTGTGAGTTGCCTCACACTGGCAGGAACTGCGAAGATAAACTCGATCCTTGCTCGCCCAACAGGTATGATTAATACTTCTGCAAATTTCTTTCGTTAAAAAAGTTCTTTTTAACGAAATACTCATTTTGTTTGACAGGTGTCTGCATGGTGCCAAGTGTTCTCCATCGTCGAACTTCCTCGACTTCGCCTGCACTTGCACCGTAGGCTACGCCGGCCGACTGTGTGACGAGGATGTGAACGAGTGCATTATGACCTCCCCTTGCAGAAACGGAGCGACCTGCAGGAACACGAACGGATCCTACCACTGCGTCTGCGCCAAGGGCTACGAGGGACGGGACTGCATCATAAACACCGATGATTGTGCTTCGTGTATGTTTGATTGCTTTTCAGGAAATATCATTTCATTTCAGTGGTTTTAATTTAATTAATTTGGACCGTCTTGTTTCAGTTCCCTGCCAGAACGGCGGCACCTGCTTGGACGGCATTGGCGACTACACGTGCCTCTGCGTCGACGGCTTCAGTGGCAAGCACTGCGAAGTGGACGTCGACGAGTGCCTCTCGGCGCCGTGCCAGAATGGAGCGATATGCAAGGAGTACGTCAACTCCTACGCCTGTCAGTGTCAACTGGGCTTCTCGGGCATCAACTGTCAGACGAACGACGAGGACTGCACCGACAGTAGCTGCATGAACGGCGGGAAGTGCATCGACGGGATCAACAACTTCACCTGCGTGTGCCAGCCCGGCTACACCGGCTCCAACTGCCAGTACCGGATCAACGAGTGCGACAGCTCGCCCTGCCTGAACGGCGCCACGTGCCACGACCACGTGACGCACTTCACTTGCCACTGTCCCTACGGCTACACGGGGCAGCGCTGCGACGAGTTCGTCGACTGGTGCGCCGACAACCCTTGCGAGAACCAAGCCACCTGCGTGCAGCACAAGAACAAGTACCACTGCACCTGCTCGCCGGGCTGGACGGGCAAGGTGTGCGACGTGGAGATGGTCTCCTGCAAGGACGCCGCCACCAGGAAGGCAGTTCTGGAGAAGAACCTCTGCAACAACGGCACCTGCGAGGACATCGGCAACAGCCACCGCTGCCACTGCATGGAGGGCTACACCGGGTCCTACTGCCAAGAGGAGATCGACGAGTGCGAGTCGGCGCCGTGTCAGAACGGCGCGATCTGCAAGGACTCCATCGGCTCCTACCAGTGCATCTGCACCGAGGGTTTCCAGGGCCAGAACTGCGAACTCAACATCGACGACTGCAGACCCAACCCTTGCCAGAACGGCGGCACTTGCCACGACCTCATTCACGACTTCAGCTGCTCGTGTCCGTCGGGCACCCTGGGCATCATCTGCGACATCAACATAGACGACTGCGTCGTGGGCGCGTGCCACAATAACGGAGTCTGCACGGACAAGGTTGGCGGCTTCGACTGCAAGTGTTCCCCCGGCTTCGTGGGACCGCGGTGCGAAGGCGACATCAACGAGTGTCTGTCCAACCCCTGCGCCGCCCCGGGAACGCAGGACTGCGTGCAACTGATCAACAACTACCACTGCAACTGCAAGCCGGGCTACATGGGTCGACACTGCGAAATCAAAGTCAACTTCTGCGACAGTTCCCCTTGCTTGAACGGCGGAGTGTGCACCGCGAAGCAGGCGGGCCACACGTGCCTCTGTCCTCGCGACTACTACGGCCACAACTGCGAATTCGTCGGCTCCTACTGCGACACGGAGCCCTGCCTCAACGGGGGCTCCTGCAGAATCATAGACAACGACGTGGGCTACAAGTGCAACTGCCCGCCAGGGTCCACGGGCACGCACTGTGAGATCGACTCGCGCAACGAGTGCGCCAGCAACCCCTGCCAGCAGCCCGGAGTCATCTGCGAAGACCTCATTGGAGACTACGCCTGCTACTGTCCGCCGAAGTGGACTGGCAAGAACTGCGAGATCTACGACGCCAACTACCGCGGAGGCAACGGCAGGTCGGACTCGAAGGGCAGAATCAATTCTAAGGGGTCGAAGATTCCTGGCATTGACTACGACATGGACTTGGAACGGGAGAGGAAAAAGTGCATTGAAAATCGGTGTGAGGAGAAGTCTGGAAACTATCGTTGTGATGAAGAGTGCAATAAATATGCTTGCAACTTTGATGGGAATGATTGCTCTTTAGGAATCAATCCATGGAGAAATTGTACAGCTCCAATAAATTGTTGGGACGTTTTTATGAACGACGTATGTGACGAAGTCTGCAATAATGCTCAATGCCTTTACGATGGTCGAGACTGCGAAAAGAAACTTGCACCTTGCAAGTAAGTATTTTCTTTACAACTTTTTAATTTCTTTAATAAAAAAAAACTTGACTACCAAAACTCATCAATATTTCCAAAATGATGTTTTAGAATAATTTTACTTTTGAAGAAATTTGTAAATAAATGTAATAGAACATTTTTTTGAGTATCTAATAATTTTTGGAGTAAATCAACATATTCTTAAGGGTTAGGGGAAAAAGGGAAAATTTTGTCTGGAAATCAGGGAAAAAGAAAATTAAAGTTTTGTGGCAACATAGATACTGTTTTAGATATGAAATATTTCTTGTTAGTCGTCGATTCTCTGTGTTTGGAGAGTAAATAATCTTCTTTTGCTTTCAGCCCCATTTACGACGCCTACTGTAGGAAGCATTATGCCAACGGACAATGCGACTATCTGTGCAGCAGTGCCGAGTGCAACTGGGATGGCTTGGACTGCGACAGGGAACCGCCATCCATTGCAGAGGGAGTTATTTCTGTGGTGGTCAGAATGGACATGCAAAGTTTTCGATCGAATGTTGTAGCCTTCTTGAGAGATATTGGACACGAACTGAGAACAACTTTAAGAATAAAGCAAGACGAACTTGGAAACGATATGATCTATCCTTGGAAAAGAGAGCGTGACTCTGGCCTGGAGACCAACTTCTTTGGTAGACCCACGACAATATACACTGACAAGCAAAATGGAATCGTTGCGTATTTGGAGATAGACAATCGAAAGTGCAGTACAACAGAGGGAGGCGTTTGCTTCCACTCTGCTCATGAAGCGGCTGAGTATTTGGCAGCGTCCGAGTCAAAGCATTCGCTTTCCAGAAATTTCCCCATTGAGGAAGTTCGTGGTGTTCAGACGGGACAAGATCCAGAGTACTCGGACTCGGCAACGAATTACAAATACGTTTTCATCGGCGTTATAATTGTAGTCTTGAGCGGCATGCTGGTCGGCGTGTTGGTCACTGCGCAGAGAAAGAGAGCGGTGGGAGTCACGTGGTTTCCGGAAGGTTTCTTGAGGGCCAACACTGGAAGTGGGCCGCGTCGCCGGTCGAGAAGACGGGGACCGGACGGGCAGGAGATGAGGAATCTGAACAAGCAGCCCTCTTTGAACTGCATGGATCTGGACGTGAGTAATGGTAGAGTGCAGCAGTGGTCGGACGACGAGTCCGACCTGCCGCCCTCGAAACGGATGCGAGCTATTGAGCCCGGATACGCCAGCGACCACACGGCCATCACTGACTATGAGGAAACCGAGCCGAGAATGTGGACCCAGCAGCACTTGGACGCGGCCGAAATTCGCAGGCAAGACGCTGGCGTTCTCACGCCGCCGAGTCTGGAACACGGTCAGGACATAGACGCCAGAGGTCCGTGCGGCATGACTCCGCTGATGGTTGCGGCCGTTCGCGGTGGCGGACTCGACACAGGCGAGGAGGAGGACGAGAGTGACGGGACTGCGGCCGTCATAGCCGACCTGGTGGCCCAAGGAGCAGATCTGAACGCCACGACGGACAAGAGTGGAGAGACCTCTCTGCACCTCGCGGCCAGGTACGCCAGAGCCGACGCGGCCAAACGACTCCTGGACGCCGGGGCTGACGCCAACTCCCAGGACAACACCGGCCGCACTCCCCTTCACTCCGCCGTCGCTGCCGACGCAATGGGAGTGTTCCAAATCCTCCTGCGCAACAGGGCAACGAATCTCAACGCAAGGATGCACGATGGCACGACGCCGCTCATCCTGGCGGCACGGCTCGCCACTGAAGGGATGGTGGAAGATCTAATCAACGCCGACGCCGACATAAATGCAGCAGACAACAGTGGGAAGACTGCTCTCCACTGGGCCGCTGCGGTGAACAACGAGGACGCCGTGAACAAACTCCTCCTGCACAGCGCGAACAGAGACGCACAGGACGACAAGGACGAGACGCCACTGTTTCTCGCCGCAAGGGAGGGCAGCTACGAAGCCTGCAAGGCTCTGTTGGAATGGTCCGCCAACAGGGAGATCACCGATCACATGGATCGACTGCCCAGGGACGTCGCGAGCGAGAGGCTTCATCACGATATAGTCAGACTGCTAGACGAACACCTTCCGAGATCACCACAAATCATAAACGTTATACCAAATGGCCCACTCATGGGTAAGTTTTCTGGCTTAGAATTAAATGTCTCGTACTTTGTCTTGTGCTCTAGTTAATATTCCGCTTTATTTACAGGCTCACCCAATCATCATCAACTCATCACTCACCCAACAGTAATTGGTTCGGCTCAGAAGCAAAGCAAGTCGAAGAAGAGGCCCAAGGCCGGTTCGGGAAATCCCAACAGTCCAGACTCCGAGGGGGGAATTATCTCAGTGAGGCGAAAACCTTCCCTGAAGAAGGCGCCCGTGAAGCGCGGCGCGCAGCCCCCGAACCAAGACATCCCCCAGGGAGCGGAGGGCGCCGAGGGCAACTTGCCGAGCCCCTACGACAGCGCCAGCCTCTACAGCAACGCGCTGCCGCTGGCGGGCAGCCATACGACCACGTCGAAGCAGCCGCCGCCCTACGAGGACTGCATCAAGAACCAGTCCATCCAAGGCCTGCAGCAACTGGGCCTGGACACGTTCACCAACAACTTCAGTCTGCCGAACTTTCACGACCAGCTCCTAGCCCCCCACCAGCGCCAGACTCAGGGAATTGTAAATACCCTCTCCCCCCCGTACAGCAACCAGTCGCCCCCGCACTCAGTGCAGTCCAACATGACGCTGTCGCCGCAGGCCAGCTACATGGGGTCGCCGTCGCCCGCCAAGAGCAGGCCCTCGCTCCCCACCTCCCCGACACACATCGTTGCCATGCGGCAGGCCACGCACCAGAAGCACGGGGGAATCCCCTCCGTGGGATTCGACTTCGACACCCTCTCGTATCCCTCGAATCAGCAGCAGCAGCAGCAGCCGCTGCAACAGGCGCAGCAGCAGATCCAGCAGCAGCAAACGCAGCAGCAACAAACCCAGCAATACTATCAATATTTAACACCGCCTTCACATCATTCAGGACCCGACGTCACGCCGCAACATCTCATGCAGGCGCCGGAGAGCTTCCCCACTCCGTCTCCGGACAGCCCCGGCCACTGGTCATCGAGTTCGCCTAGGTCAAATAGCGATTGGTCTGAGTGCATGGCATCTCCAAATGCATATGGATCCAGTGGAGGACACCAAAGCAATAAAGGCTCAGAAGCTATTTACATATAAATTTTTTCTAATATTTACAAATGCGTTTTATACTTGAATTTTTTACAATTTTCTAGATCTGTGATTAACTCTGTGTCAAGAAGAGAAAGAGAGAGAGAGAAAAAGAGAGTTAGCAAAAAATGTTTTCCTGCTCAGAGAGAAAATAAGAGTAAGTACATAGTGAAAATTATGCTATTCTATAAAAGCCTATTCTCTTGCAATAGAAAGTTAATGAAAATTCTCGAAATGTAATGGCTAAGCCAAAAAATTGGGCGTCCTTGCTTCAATGCAAGAGTAGAACAAATTTTTATATTTCCGCGTCAAGTTGTTAATACAGTTTTTTTTAAACTGAACTGTAAACAATTCTTCTACCCGATTGATTGAATACTCATGCATATCCGATTAGTAGTTTCTGTCGAGACAAATAAATAAAATACTAGGAAAGTAAATTATTTAATCAGTCTCAAGAAAATAACTTGTAATTAAATCTATTAAAAAATTTGTAAAGAAATTCTTATTGTACAAATAAAAATATTGTATTCACATACAATATTTCGTATTTTCCGTTGTTGAAAATAGTATTCAATTAAATAATAATGAAGCAAAACTATTTTTCTCAGGTTTCGGATATTGACTTTTTCGACTTTTTCACACTATTTTCAAAAAATGCGACTTTTTTCGACTTTTCTTCTAAATATTACAACACAATACCACATTATTGGTATAAAATTCAAGTAATTTAAACTTTTATAGTGTGATAAATAATTATAGAAAAATCTTTCGAAAATTATTTTCGATTATTTTCTAATTATATTTTTGAAATATTCAAAAGATTTTGAATAATTTAAATTGTGTGAAATTTAATTGAAAATAATTGATTTTTTTCAAGTATTTTATTATAACTTTTAAACAACTTTTGAAGATTTTTAATTGCAAATTTTAAAAATAATTGAATTTTCAAAAATTTCCATAAAAAATCTTAAAGTTTAAATTCAAAAAAATAAAAATCAATTAAAATTAACTTCTAAAACTTATATAAAAATAATTTTTGAAAAAATTTATTTTTAGGATTTTAAAATTCAATTATTATCAATATTTTCAATTACGTATTCCCGAAAATTCAAATACGTACAAAAAATAATATGAAAATTTTTTAGAAATATTTTTAAAATTGTTGAAGAAACAATCATTTTTAATTTTTAATTAAAATTCTACAAAAAAATAGTTTTTTTCAATTATTATACAAAAATTTTTTTAATAAAATCAATTATTTTCGAAAAATTACATTAATTTACTTTTATAAAAAAACTAATTCTTAGAATTGTTTTATTATAATTTTTTTAAAATTCAATTATCTTCGAACAAAAAAAATAAAAATTTTTGAAACTTTTTTTTTTAGACTTAAAATTTTAATGAAATTATTTTCATATTTATATTTAAAATTCTTAAAACATTTCTTTACTTTCTTTATTTTTTTCAAAAATTTAATTATTTTCAAAAGGTTTAACCAAGTTTCAATTATTTTGTAAAAGTTTTAGAGTATTTCATTTGATTTGTTGGAAAATTTTTTCAATTGTATTTAATTAAAAAACTTATTTTGTTAATTTAGAAAATTAATTCCTTGGCCAATAAATTGTTTAAATTTATTTTCTTTTTAATTTTATTCTAATACTTACTTTTTTAAAATATTCAAAAAGAAAAAAATATTCGTTCTTATGAACGTTCAAAACTTTAGGAAAATAAAAAACATGGACAGTTACAGTTATTATAAAAAATTGAATTTTTGTGTTTAAATAATTGAATTCTCAAAGAACATTCGGAAAATTATTAAAAATAATAATTGACTTAGATATGAAGTTTACTTAAAAATTGTGGAAAATAATTGAATTTTGGAAGGATTGTAGTTGTAATTTGTAGGAATTATTAAATTTCAGAAGGTTTCAAATTGAAATTTCTTGAATTTTATTTGGCGAGAAAAGACAAATGAGAAGTACCTATTAAAATATTTATTTAACAAAATTATTCAATTTTTGTATAATTGAATTTAGAAATCAGTGATAAATCAGGGAAATACAAAATAAAATTTTCATATCATCACTGAAATAAATAACCGACTCTTTTGCTCCTGAAAGTCGATCCGAGGCCTGTGATTTCTAAACAGTGAATTTTTTGATTGAAAACGAAAATACACGTTATTTAATATAATGAATGCTTTGATTTTAGATTCAATTAGGCAAATCTTTTAGTTGACATAGTCACTAATAGATTTTTATGTTTATGTAATTAGGTGATTTTATACTATTTTAAAAAAATTGTATATACTCTTAGAAAATATTTTGCATTTTCTACTCAGAAGAACGTATTACCAAAATGAAAAATTTCCTTTTTTATGCTTTATAGTTTTTAAAAAGAATTTTCACAGAATTGTTCTGAATTTTTGAAGTGACTATAATCGCCATTTTATTTATTAAAATCATGTAATTGGGTGTCTATTGTTATTTATTGTTATTGGATGTACTAAAATGTACAATGATTAATTTTGATACTTGAGCTATAAATTGAATTGTACATAATTAGATGGACCATTACATTTTGCGAATTTGGATGATGTGTCAAGAGGAGAGGATTTTTGATAGGAAATTTTCGTTAGGTGCTTACTGTGAATTCCTCTTTGCCACGACTTATTAGCAAGTGAAAATTTTGAAAAATTTTCAAATAAGAATTGTGTGCGCAAGTAAGTACACAGTATATTTCTGTTATGAATAGAAAATATTAGATATTTCATTCTCATTATTCACCGTGCCTCTCTAAGTATAAAGCTAGCTTAGCTTTGAAGTAAGACATTTTTATAAACTTTTATATATCGGTTAAGATTTAACGGAACGATTTACTGTAGTTTCAAAATTCAGCTCAAACATTATTGGTGCCTTTTGACTTGCCAGATTAAGGACCTTAATACAACGCAAACATGACAATAATAATTAATAGCTCTTGTTACTATGATGTTATGATTGTAAATAGTAATTTAAGAGAGTTCATTTCTCGTAGAAATGTTCCAACGATGATAATTTAGAAAATATTTTCAAATATTATATTTAATTATTATTAGTTTAAGCATACTATAATTATTGTTACGTACATAACAAGAATGAATATTTTTCGACATATATGCGTATGTGACTATGGTTGGGAAAAGAGATATTTTCTAATATGTAATTTAAACAAGTTTTCATCATGAAGAAAAAGTAATTTTTTAAAGAAAAGACATATATTGCTCATTAAAATGTTCATCTAAAGTTATAGGATAATTCTTTTGGTTTTCGTGCGGGTAGCATCTAATTCTTTTAGATTTATTACATTTGCAATGTCAATTGAAAAAATGTTTTGGATTATTTATCTGTTTTTCTAGATTTTAACCATTCAACGTGCTCCTGATTGTCACTCAAGCGTTTCACACTAATTCACTTTTATTTCTTGTTTAAAAGTAATCAAAATTACAGATAAAACTACAAATAATTATAAACGCTTATTTTTTAAATAGATTAAATTAATATAAAGGTAACTACTTAAGTATCTTGAATTTTTAACAAGAGAAAGAAAAGCTTTGACAGACTAACCTTTTACAAAAAGACAAATTACTCTAGTTGGCTATTGTGAAATTAAGGACCTGAAATTCTTTTTCAAATTCAAATTATAGGGCAAAACTATTTTATGTATATTCAAAATATGTTCAGCAAACAAATAATTTCCTAATATTCCAACTTGTTTCGAATGATCACTGATTCTTATGAGGGAGTTTAAAATGTAAAATAAAAAGTTAACATTTCAAAGAAAAAGCATTGTTTTATTAGAATGACCTTTCGATTAATAACAATAAGTTCTTTATTTCAAATTATTTTCAAACCTCGTCTTCATTTTTATTTGATAAAAGAGCAATTCCACGTGAAACGATCAAGTAAAAAATTTTATTTTCTGGGAATGGCTAGAAATAAAATCCTAAAATACTTATCAACTTTTCTAAAGATTAATCATGTAAATTGCAAAGATTGCAGTTGTGACATTTTAAGCAAAGTTGTTAAATATATTTTCTACAAAATTTGGCAGATTTTGACTCTCATTGAATAATTATAAAATATAAATCACGTGCTTTACCTCAAGTATGTGGTACAGTGTAATAAATAACCTTCTCTAAAATTGATTGCTTACTTTATATATTATTTTTAGGAATTTAAAGAAATATGAGAATTGTACTTTTTTAAATTCCACATATATTTATTTCCAGTTTAATCTACTGTTTAAATTTGTTTCTATTTAAGACTTGTAACTATATAATTGTTATACTCCATATTTGTTTCAACTGGCAATCACTATCTCGTTGCATTTTTGCTAAAAACTGGCTAAAAACTAATTGTCGAAACAGTTTGAGGAGAATTAACTAGATTTTGACGTAGGATTTTGTACATAAAGTTAACAAAATTATTCACATAATAGCGATTCTTTAATATTTCTAATTTTAAAAGCAATACAGATTCCTCTTAACATTGTTTATTTAACTGCTAGTCGTGTCACTTGAAAATTCAAATAAATTATTATTTGTTTTTAACACAAAATTACCTATAAATTTAAAAAGTTTTCTGATGCAACTTTTATATGTCAATTAAAATTGTTTATAAATAATGCAATACTCATTTATTTTTTATTTAAGGAAAAACTAAAATGTGCAAACTTTAGATTTAGATGCAAAAATATATACCGAAAGTTTCACGAAATACCATAAAATTCGAAGCAACGTCACATTAAAGTTGGCTAAAATGGCGAATCAGAAGTACAGTAGAACGTCTACCATTATTTGTAATTTCTCTTATATTTTCACGTTCCTCGAAATTGTTAAAATTAGTAACGTTCTACTTTATTCGAATGCTGAAAATAATAATCCGAAATATTGAAAGAAACCCGTCTGTGAGACATATGTATTATAATAATATAGAAATTACATTGAAAGCGTAATAAATATAAAACCTGAAAATGTATCCCATATACCTATTAGTAAATTTGTATTACTTCCGTAAAAATATATTTTTTTCGTAAATTATTATGCTGCAAGTTTTTCTTTACAAATTTTAATTCTATAATTTTAACTTTTTAACTCTAGAAGCGGCCACTAGATTTTCTTAAACAATAAACAGACACTTCATTTAAACTGCTGCTATTATTTGCTTGGGAATGGTTTTAAAAATATTTAAATTTTGATATTTTGAATATTAACCCTTAAGACTAAAAAAGTTTTCGTTCTAAAGCCAAGATGAAGTTCAAATTCAAAGAAGTGACAACATTGGAAAAAAGCAAAATATTTGACAACATGAAAATTTATAATTTATTTACTTAGAAGGATAGTGATACTTACCGATGGAAAAAGATTGTTTTTATAAAAAAACAACTTGTTTATATATAGGATTACAATTTAGAAAGTAAACAGAAATTGTTATTAACTTTTTATGTTGTTTATTTTACTTAAATTTATTAATGTCGCTACTGAATAGTCATTTCTTTAAATCTGAAATAGAAGTATATTTACTATACAAATTTCATAAAATTACTGGAATTTTTATTGAACAGAATGTCATTTAAACGAACTTTTAATATATATAAAAAGTATTAAAAAGAATTCTTTCTTAGTAATAATAGGAATAATTAATAGATAGTGTAATTTAACGATCACTTAAGTCAAGGAAAATTAAAATAAAAGAAATTCAATTCTTTTTACGTTTCGGCAGCACAGCTGTTCTCTTCAGAAACTGTAAAATTTATTATATAACAAAATATTAAAAAAAAAAAAAAAAGTTTTTACAATTTGTTAATTTAAAGAATAAAATTTAACAAATAAAGTATTTACCGAAAAAGAAGAAAATTAAAATTATAAATTAAGACAGTACATCTTCGTTGCTATGGTAACAATATACACTAATCAAATATATAGAAAAATACGAATGAACGTTGTACAGGGGTCAATGACCCATCAGTAAAAAAAAACTAAGAAAGAAAAATGTCAAGGTAAATTGAAAAGGTAGGTGATACTCTAAGTTAGTGATTTCAGATTTTCTACTCTTATCTTTTCCTTTTATTACCAAATTGTGATTCATGTTCTTATTATTCGTTGGGATAGTTGAAATGTTGTAATTGTTAAGATAAGAAAAGATGAAATTTTTTCGTAAAGATTAGGAACATAAGGCCAGAAAAATTTTTTCGACAAATTCAATAGGTATATTTCTTATGAAATTTTTTATTCGAAAGCTTTATTGCCCTATCGACAAGATTGGCAATAATACTATGGCAATTTTTTGAGAAAAAGGATGTTTTGATTCATAGTTAATTGTTCGTCTAGAGAAAGTACTGTCTTAATTTATAAATTTAATGCTTTAATTTTTTTGTTCGGTAAATACTTTATTTTTTAATTTTTAATTTTTAATTAAAAGTAATACAAATTTTTGGAAATATTTCAAGAAGGAGGGAATTCAAGAACAATCACCAAATAGAACATTTTGTTTCAGGATTCATTTTTGAACCTTTGGGACATTGAAAATCTCTTGCAAATTCTGGTCGGTTCAGAATAGAACCAATGACCCGAAATTCTTTTGGACTGTGTACGTCATTATGATAAATCTGCCATTTTGCAAAGTAAGTTGCCTTCTCACAAAAAGATTGCGCATAACTAATCCAAAAAAGTTGCGATTGTGTATAATTAATTTCGGGAAGCAAGAGTTCTGGTCCATGATCTTCTACCCACTTTTGATAAGCTAAATATGCAAGTTTTAATCCTCCATTATCTGCAATATTGTCACCTAGCGTTCGGGTGCCGTTTACCTGTCAAGTACAAGTGCTAAGTTAAAATTATATTCTTTGCTAAACTTGAGTCTAAAATGACAATCGGTTTCGCATGTAAACCGAATTACTTTTTCTGATTCAAAAGAAAGATAATGTACTATGTTGGATAAAAAATCAAGTTTTATGTAAAGAAAATTGTCTTCCTTTTTTTCAACTTACTCTCAAGACTTCTTCCCCTGGGAATTCTTCATCTGTGTAGTTGTCATATTGAGAAATAAAACACCGATCCCTTGAAATAAATTGCTCATTAGATGTAGCTTGCAACCAGTCAACGAGATATCCATTTTTATCATATTGTCTACCAATATTATCAAAACCATGAGCAAACTCATGGGCAATAGTAAATGCAGTTGACCCGTAATTCATATACATTGGTCTGTTGGCATTAAAGAAATCTCCTTGCAACATGCCCTGTGATATACCTAAATAAAGTTAAATATTTAGTTAAATACTTGTTTGACAAATGCTAAAATTAAAAAACAGATTGTCAGAATGAAAGTATCTACGAACCAACAGTATTAAATCGGAAAACATTTGTTGCTACCGGATCTGCGGAGTTTCGTCGAAATATAATGTGTGACCTATTTACGGGCAATCTGAATACACTAATCATTGAGTGTCTAATAAATTTTATAACATTTAGCATAGACTCAAAGTAATGTCCGGATGTAATTTCCAAGTTTGCATAATATTCGTCAATTTCCTTGTCTGTAGAAATTTTGTAAAGTATTTGACGACTTTCGTACATTGATGACAGTTTTTCTAATGCATTATCTTTTGTCTTGTTATCTAGCCAATCCACCTGAATATAGATAAATGAATTAACCTTTTTAAACCTAATACTATCACGAAACTTTTGAGCAATAATAACAACATTGTCTCAATATTCTAACTATTCATCCGAGGTAATGCAAACCTCTAGAAAAACAATTAATTAACATTTAAATAATTGCAAGATTATTAATTCCATTTTCTGTGATATTGCTTCTATAGAATTTTTTAAAAATGATTCGATTTGAATGTTATACTGCTTATCTTCTTTAGAAGATGATTCACTATAACTACACTGTTCGGATTCTTAAACAACACGACGTTTGAAAATATGTTTATTTGTTTAAAAAAAGTCCAAATTTTTCTTTTAAACAAATAATCATATTTTCAGAAATTGTATGCAAATTGTTTTGGCTTTAAATGATTTTCTTAAAAATTCATATTTGTTTTTAAGCAAATACTATTATAATAGGTAATAAATTTTAATATTCTAAAGTTAATAGGTTTTTTCGGAGGTCTGCATTTCTTTGGATATATATCATCTTTAGACAATTTTGTTAATTGCTGCTGTTAAATATTAAGTCCATTTTTTAATTTAGAGTATTATTACATTTTTAATGATTGTTTGGAACTCATGAAAAATATTAGTAAACATTTCTTCAATGTGTTTGTTATTAGCTGTTTCATTATAGTAATTTTTAACGTAGAGAGCGCCAAAACTATTACGGAAAAAATTGGTCAAATCTATGAAACAAACTTCCTTATTATTTAATCGCTTTCTGATTTCATCATTGGAGCTCAAAATATTTGCAATTGCTCCCCACATCAGATAAATTGCCTGGTCATTTTTTGAAACACCATTAATAAGTTCGTTAAATTTTTTGAAGAAGGTGGTATCCGATATTAATACAATATCATCATCTCTAACTTCAGTGAATGGGTGTAGGTTTGTATTAATAATTTTCTTCCACAAAATATTGGAATATTTTTTTTCAAGCTCTTTAACAGTCATCCTCTTAAAAGGCTCCAATTTTTCATAGTTTTCTGGAATAGATATCTGTAAAATAAGAATTCAAACGTCAATCAACAAGTACGAATATTTTCTGTCTTTAATGACAATTAAATTCTTCCTAAAACAGAAAATAGTAAAACTTATTATTACTTTAATATTGCCTGTATTTTACAGTGTAAGCTTCCGAAACTCACATTTAAGATACAGGAACTCTATTAAAGTCAAAAACTTTTTAAAACTTGTACATTCTATTTCAGAATTTCATCTTAATACTTACATTCATAAGCAATTCTTTTATTTTATCGATTCCATTGAAAACAGTTTCAAGTGATATATCATATTCGCTAAGTTCATCAAAAATATTTTTAAATTTATTAAAATTCTTAGTAAGCTCTTCAAGTTTTGATGGTTTTTTTATCTAAAATAGAATTATTGTCACTAAATTATTATTATTAAAACAGAAGATTGCACTTTATAGGATGAAAATTTTTCCACGTACTTTCAAAAAAAATTTTGAATTATTTTTTGGGTCTAAAGCAAGTTCCAAACTTAAGAAAGGTGTTTCATATAACTTAAGTTCTTTTTGTAATTTGGAATCAAAGTCTTCCCATTGGAAACTCATGTCTTCCCAAGAATTATTCTTTAAATAGCGCCATCCATCAATTTTTGTTATAGAATCCAGAACGAGTTTTGAAATTTCATTATCACTTATAGTTTCTGGATATAAAAAATATTAAAATTTAATGTCGAAATTGATAAACTGACTTTTAATCTCAAATGTTCGCTTGTCGATACATTGTCTCTGGATAACTGGTTACTAACCTGTATTTATACAGTTTTGATAAAAAGTTTTCATTAATTTTACATATTTAGGTTCCGTTGGTTTCAATTCTTGCTTTAGAATATTTTTCATTTTCTGCACCATTTCAGAATGAAGGGTTTTAAAATGATTGCGCAATTCAAATGACTGTCCAGTAATTATTTGACTTTGGATGAATTGACCGCAGGCAAATTTATAAAAATTGTCACAGGGGTCTGAACTTGTATCCATGTACTTCAACACTCTTGATGCTGAAAAGAAATTATCTTATATCTAGAATTGTTTTTATAAATACAATTTACTATGTAATTTTGAATGAAAATCACTTAATATTGTTTCAAGCTAATAAAAAGTGACTAAAAATTCTCAAACTTGGTATTTTGGAAGTACATGATAATATTATGTGTAACTTCGCTAAAATAAGAACCACCCTAATAGGTGTACGTCACATTGAAGGAACTGAACTACAGGGAAAGAGGGTTACAAATATTATGAAAGTACTACATTATAAAAATAATATACAAATAAAGATAAGAAGATAAAAAATGTAACTAATCAGTCACACAAAGTATAGAAAGAAAGTTTTAATTAAAACTTGAAAGTTATGAGATTAGTTTTTAAAATATCATACGCAAACCTGTTTGAATGCATTGTGGTTTGAAACAATAATCCGTTTCGTTCTCTGATGCTTTTGAGTCTGCAATTTTCAGTTCTTTCGGTGCGCTTACATTAACGTATGGATATAGAATTTTATTTAAATTAAAATCTGAAACAATACCAAAAAATGAAAATCCCATAGCAGATACTTCTTCTATAACTTAAAACTATGTTTAAAGCATGATTAAAAGCATAATTTCCGTCATAGAGAAATAAAGTAGTTACTTACTTATTTGCGAATTATCATTTTGTGCTCCTGATAAGTTTACAAGGCTTGCAAGGCATATTAACACAGATAGCTTTAGTTTTAATGGTAACTTTCTCCTCCCCCTTTTTAAACATTTATTTTCATTAATATTGTACATATTAATTATATTTACTTTTATACATATTTATATTAATATAAGTAAATGTATAATTAATAATAATTATTTCGTTAGTGATCGAAAATAAATTGTTGAAAGAAATTTTCCAGATAATTTATTTTTTTATTTTACTCAATTTTAATAAACATCTTACCTATCCAAATTTTTGAGTTCGCTGTTGAGCATTTTAATAACTTCAAAGAAAAGTTGAATGAAGATAGTTACGATATTTTAGTTAAATATATTTATATTCAAGTTCTTACTTGTACAAAATCTAAACACGAAATGGTATTCGAATTATTTAACTGAATATAGGTATCTTATATTAAAAATGAAAAGCACATTAAAAAATAAAGTGAAAAAATGTCATGTTTTTCAAATATTATTGCTATTACGTAAAAATAAATAATGAGTAGATAAGGAGAGGAACATAGAATTTGAAAAAACAGTCATAAATTTTTACTATATGAAAACTTATATGAAAACTTTGGAAGTGGTCGTTATAGAAGATTTCTTAACTGACGCATGGTTTCGTTGATTCTTTTTATTGTCTTACGCAATTGTTTATAGTTCTTGATTATTAAAGAGGAACATAAATTCTTTTCGATTAATATTATTTTATTTCCACGAAGCAGAAAAATAAATAATTTATGATAAAAAACAGATTGCTGTATTTCTAGTATGAAAAGTTGAATCTTGAGTAAATTCAAAATTTTCTACTTTAATTTTTAATTAAATTTTTTTTGTATACAAATTTTTTTTAAAATTAAAAATCTCGAATTTAATTGAGTACCCGAAGTATTCGAGTACTCGAGACTTCGATTATTATGCTTTTGCTTAATTATTTTCATTATTTGTTTCTGATGAAGAAAATAAAATTATTTTGATATTAAATTTTAATTTTTTTTATTTTATTGATTTGTATTAATTTGTTTTTAATGAATAACATAACTTTTGAATAATATACATTCCGTTCGAGCCATTTGATTTATTCAGCCCGGATCTTCTTTTGTTTCAATGCCAACATAAAATTTTCGACAAATAAGTAGGAGCTATCCTAGGGACATCCTAAAAATATCCGTTAGCCAAAAGTCAATAGATATATTGTCTAATTATCAGGTAAATAAATAGCAATAACAGATTGATTAGGTTTAACAAGAATAAGATATAATTCTATTAAAATTAAAAATTATTTACATAATTGAAATAAATATTTCCTCGCTGAAGTAATTAAAACATAAAAGTCGCACTTACAAATAATGTAACTGTACACAATATACAAAATAAGTTCACTTTTTATTATTTATCTTTAGTTAGAACAGTTTCTCCAACTTTGCTTTCAAGTTTTTCAAATTCCTTTTTTGAAATTTCATCTACTTCATCTTCAACTTGCATTACGCCCATGACTTCGGGTATATAAAACTGCATCATGTTCTGCACGCCTTTTCGAAGCGTCACTACTGAACTGGGACAACTTGTGCAAGAACCTTGCATTTTCAGTTTCACGATTCCTTCTTCGAAGCCCTGACAATTGAAAACATTTGAAAATGAAAATTGAACGATTCTCAATATTATGAAGAATTATAATTTTGTACAGTACACATAAAAAAGAGGCTGATAAATCGGTTTAATAGTTTTTTTATAAAACTCAAAAGGATTTTTCACCCCACTTTACTTTACATGGTTTTCCTATTCCGTACGTGTAAAATATAGAAACTTTGATTTAAATTTTTGAGACTTAGAACTGGTGACTAGACAGGGGAATGGAACAGTGTCTACAAATGTATTAATTTTTGTAATAAAATTATCATGTGAGTATAAATAGTAAAATATAGAGATATATAAACTATTACTCACCACGAATACAATATCTCCTCCATCTTCTTGAACAGTTGGTCTAATCCGAGTGTCAAGCAGCTCTTTAATCATTTGCACGATTTCGTCATCTTCTTCATTATTTTCTGTGTGTTAAATTTAATAAATAAATAACACTTAGCACGTCCTTTACCTTTTTTCCGTAAAAGGATCATTATTTTTAATCCGCGGACATTCGGGAACAATTCTTTTTTGCAAAAATCATAGTGCTATGCAAAGTTAGCACTATGATTTTTCATTGTCCCTTTTTTATTGTTAATTATCAAAACTATTTAAATAATCGTTAGAGAACTCTAGAACTATTGCCAAAGTGCCCAGAACTCTTGTAAAATTTTTGATTTTTCAAAAAAGTAGTGCCAACTTTACATGACTAAATTTTTGTAATAAGTTTTATCTTCAGCAGTTTTTAAGTCCATAAGTTGAATTTCAAATTTGAAAATAATATTTTCTCCCTATGAAAAATTTTCTATTTTGAAAGGTTGAAACAAAAACACGTCTTTTAGACATCTTAAAGACATCTAATGTCTATAGGCAACTTGAATAGATTTTTTTTCTACTTCAAAGAGTCAATTTAGTTCCTTAATTAACGCTTATAGCTAAGACCTCTAGCTTTACATTGTATAAGTTTAAAATTTTCCCTTTCTAAACTTAATAAGGGGGTCATCTCGTGTGATTTTTATTTTTTAAAGCGTGTTTTGGGATTTTCTTTTTAATAACCATGAAAACTTAGAAATTGAAAATATTCACTATATATTCAGTATTATTTTATCAAATTCAAACTTTTGCAAGTAAAATTAAATTTGAATAGAAATATCTGAAGTTCAAGTGAAGGAAGAATTTGCAAATAATCCATCCAAATGTACTGAAACTTTCTGACCTCAGTGTATTTCTTGTTTAAAAATTAATGGCAATTCAATATTTTCGGCTCATAAGAATTTAAAATTGTTAGAATGTTAGATTATTTTGTAGAATTCAAATCTTAAGGAATAGTAATTAAAAAGAATCTTAATTTACCAGAAAGGAAAGTAGAAAGAATTCTTATTTAGTAGAATATTTATTTGTTTGAATTATTCACTTTATGGCCTTCCATATTTTGAAAAAATGGCTAAAATAATAGTGAAGAAAAAAATAAAAAAATAAAAAAACTTACCACTGCTGGCAATTGGTTGTTCTTCCGTTAAGATCGGTAAGCCACTTGCAAAGAAATCCATGATAGTAGCAAATATCTCGGGTTTTAATAAATTCCAATCTGTATCTTCGTCCACTTTTGTTACAGTTATAAAGTCAGAACCGTAAAAAACTGCTTTGACACCTTCAATGCGGAAAAGCATTTTCGCAAGAGGAGAGCATTGTGCAGTAGAAAGTGAAGGAAAATCTTTCGTCTTTCCTTTATCCAAAACAGCAACTCCCGGTAGGAATTTTAAGCTGTTTGGATTTGGTGTATCCTGTGTTTGGATGAACATTGTTCGTCTTTGAACGTTGTACATGTTCATATTATTTCGCTTAACATGTTGAAAAAGTTGAGTATTTTCATCTTGATGATGAGTGTGGAACGTGCAATTATAATTACCCAAAGGCCTGCAAAGTAAATAATTATCCTTAGAAATTAAATACACAAGGTTTCTATTTCAGATTATATTGCTCTCATTGATAAGTCGAATGACATTCTATCTAAGAGGACATGTAAAATGATTAAAAATTGGACGAACAAATTTTAAAATTCAAGCTAAGGTCATAAAAATTATAACTGGACGACTTGATGGGCAAAAATTTTAAAAAGTTGAGCCAATCTCGAAAAAAATTATCACGAAAGGATTTTGCAAAAAAATTTGTTTGTTCATATAATAACATGAACAAACAAATTTATTGAAAATTTTGAACGTATCTAATTAAAAAATTAATTTCTCCAAAACTTATTGATCGATTTTGATGGTTCAAGTGGCATTTTATTTGTCTTGAAATGAAGTATAACTGACATTATTTTCAGACTAAAATATTTTATTTTAGTGCAAAAAGCAATACTTGGAAAAAGTTTTTTCAGCTGTTAGGATTCCTGCTAAGACTTTAGAATACAAGTTTATAGGTTATGAAAACTACAATAATTCTTCTCAACAATTTTTTTGGTTAAATTCTCCTTCCCTATTTCAAATAAGACTTTTTTAAACTAAAATCGATCAATGAATAAGACAAGAATATGTAAAGTTTATGACTCATTAGAACTTTCTCAAAAAATAATTTATGTCAAATGGAATGGCTTTTGAGAAATAAAATTTCATGCAAATACATATTATTAAAAAATCCGTTCAAGACAAATTAACCACTTAGTGTGGCAGCTCTAACTATATGGAGTTGCAACCAAGTAATAATTATTTCAGGTTAACTTAAAATAATACCTTTCACTACTTAGGATATTTGTGTGAATCATTATTATATTAACATTTTAAACATATAAGCATCATACCCAAATTATATATGTTTATTGTAATTCAGAATATGATTTAATGCTCTTTGGTAAAAAGAATAATTTATTTACAAGACAAATGGTTCATACCCTACCGCAGTTGAATTTTCAATAATTAATCTTTTGATACTTTGTAGTGCAATTTTTATAAAAATATATATAATTTTTACAAAAAGTTATTAATGTCAGCGTCAGAATTAATTAATTAAAGGGTAATTGTAAATAATGTTTTAGACGCAATATTATTGTTTACCATTTTTAACCAGAACACATAAAATGTCATTTGCTTGTACTTACTTGGAGAATAAACAAAAAAAACGTAATTTTCTTAATACGAGTCGTTGAGATAAAATATATTTCGTTGAAAGAATTAATGCATCCATAGTTTTAAATTGTTTTATATGTAATTCATACAAATTTAAAAAATGTCAACAATATAGATAAACTTAAGGTGCTTGTCATAGAGTGCATTTACACCTCGGTCGATAGAAAAAAAAAATTGTTGGAAAAATCACACTCACCTGTAAAGGTGTTTCTACAATAGTTTTGCGTTGCGCTTTGTAACTAGACCATGAGTGCAAAAGAGGTAGGTAGATATTGTTGTTCTTTTCACTCTCATGATATTCTGCTATCGGTCGACGTATTCTGCTCACATGGGATCGCACCCTAACAACGCAGAACATGAGTTAGACAAGGACAGACATATATTTGTGTCCTTTCTTATTTCAGGCGTCGAATTCGTTCGCGAACGACTTTTTGTGCAGTCCCATGAAAACGTTTTTAACGCAAAACGCTGCCATGGGATTCCACCCTTTCCCTTGATGAAAAAATGTTGTAGAAAGCCCTTAAAACTGCTAACTTTCAATAAATCTGATGCACGTGAAAAGTTCTTGAGCAATTTTTTCATGGGCCAATTTGGTTGAGATTTTGACACTTGATTCTACCTTCTACACGATTTTTCAATTTATGTAGAAACCGGTATTGTTGAGTGTCATTAGCGAACTGTGTTGTTATTTAATAATGAAGTTTTCAAATAGACAAAATAAAAACTACAGACTTTAGTAACCTGCAAAAACTTGAGTCCCTGCAGCTGTTGGACTGATTTTTTAATTTCAGCCTCTGCAAACAAAATGTTTTAGCATTTTTCACTCAACTAGACTGCAGATTACGAACTACAATGGTGGATAATAGCTGCATAATCGAGGGAAATGTCAAATTTCGAGATGGAAAGAAGGTTAGTTATCTTATTGGCCATAAATCTATCTATGAATCGTCTCGATACTAAAAATAATTCACCCATTTACTGTTTGTGAATAACCAATGAACTAATATTAACTGGCATTTATAACTACTTACAATCAACTGCATGCTTTATATACGATAACACGACAATTCGTCCGACTGAAATATCAAATAATTCCTTCGTCTAATTAAATGTGTTGGTATAACAGTCGCGGACTAAATAGTTTCCAGCTAAACACGTGACACACAATTGTGTTTAGAAATTTAATTAAACACCAATAATTCCAATCACAATTTAAATATATTTCATCTCCGTCTATAAAGTATTTGTTTCCCCTTTTATACATCGAGAATTACCTAAACAAATCCATAATTTGCTTCTTTTTCGGTTTCTATGTATTTTTTACTATTAAAATTTTTAAAATAGAAGATTCTACGAGAATTCATTTATTTAAATACAAAAATAAATAATTTAAATTGAATGTTTTTTAAAATTGAATTCTCATAAAGAGTTTTATCCTCAAATTTTTAAATAATTGAATTCTTTTGACTAATTTAAAAAAAATTTTTAAGAATAATTACATTTTTCGAGAAATTCAATTAAACATTGTATTAAAAATAATTGAAATCCTGCTTTATTATTTATGCAAATAATTAAATTCTTGCGAAAAATTGAATTAAAATTTTCAAAAATAATTAAATTCCAATGAAAAATTCTCAGAAATTCAATTATTTTGAAAATCTTAATAAAATTCTTTTAAAAGTTTTGATAAAACTTTTTTCGTAGGATAAGATTCAATTATTTTTTAAATTTTAAAGAAATTCGTTGAAAGAATCCAATTATTGTTAAGAATTTTGATTTTCTATTTACTGAAATAAAAATTTTTAGTTAAGGAGATTCAAAGAGATCGTTGGATAGCTATTGCCCTAAACTTCAATTTATTTGAAGTAAGATTTTGTTTCAGTTTAAATAAACAATTTTAAGACCGATTTTTTAGAATGATAATTTTGTGACGGAAAAAAATTTGTATTCATGAATGTAATGAAACTGGAGTTACCAATGTTTTTCAACGAAAAAATTAAAAAAAAAATTTTTCTAAAAAGTTCATTAGATAGTATATATTTAATTTTGAGTTTAATTTAATATTTAAATTACACTTTATTTACATATAATTTGTAAAGGAGAAGGGTCGATAAGGCCTGTTTTCGGCCCCATGAAATTTTCATTTAAATGCTAGAAATACATTTTTCACCAAAGAAAAATGATAATTTTGATGATTGGAGGTTAAATGAGAGTGTTTAGAGCATATTAACCCCTAAATAATAAGGGTTTTGTATTAAAAACAAATCAAAGATAGGAAAAAAAAATTTTTCAATTAAGAATTAATTGGCTTGAAACTCGTTACTCGGGGGTTTTTGGAGTCGCTGATTACGAATTTAATATTAGTTTTTCAAAATTCAAAATGGCGAATCCAAAATGACAGCCGAATTTTTAAAAAAATTAATTAATTGGCTTGAAAATCTGATTTTGAAAAACTGACATCGGAATCGTATCAGCGACCCTACAAACTCCCGAGTAACGATTTTTAAGATAATTAATTAATTTTTTAAGAAAGTCATCCGCCATTTTAAAGTTTGAAAAACTAACATCAGATTTGTAATCTGCCACCCCAAAAACCCCCAAGTAACAAGTTTCAAACCAATTAATATTAAAAATTTTTTTACCAATTTTTTTATATAAAACCCTTATTATTTAGGGGTTAATATGCTTCAAAACCCCCCACTTATGACGTTGCGGCTTTTTTATTTCAAACATTTATAAAAATTCTCTCGCAAGCGGTAGCTATTTTTGTCGTTTTAGTATATAAAGAAATTCTATTTTTCATCAAGAATGTATTAAAAATTTAATAATGCTTTTTAAGTAACAATTTTATTTATAAAGAAAAACATAGCACAATTAAAAATTGTTTGTTACAAACATTTTTAATGTGTTTGAAAAGTAAATGCGAAATGAGACGAGAATTTTATCAATCTCGCCTTGTCTCGAGCATTAAAAATGCATGGAAATCACGATTTCTTGGCCTCGTTCTCAGCTGTTCTGCTTAACAAAATTTTGTTGTTGCAATTTTTTAATACACGGAGAAACCTTTAAAGTTTTTAATATATCTTGAACTGCTAGATTTAATACGTGTCCAAAACATTTGAAATGTTGGTCCTTAGAGTCGAATTCAATACCTCTTTTATACAGTATTTTTTCAAATTCCTTTAGAAATACATCATTCACAGATGCGTTGTCTACTGTGAATCACTTTATCATGAAGACTTAATTTCTTTAAAGAATTGTAAAAAGTCTCAGCAATGTCTGATCCTGCGTATTCAGAAGCAACATGATTTTCATAGTAATACGACATGCATGATAATTAGGACTGACTTAATTAAAAAAATGTTGTGTAAGTCCATCATCAAACATACTTAACGGAAGCATTTTCACTGCGATCCACTTCTCTATAAAAATAATAAAGTCTTTTTTATCTAGAATCTATGGAAAAAGAATTGATTTTAAAAATGTTTATTGATAAACAAATAAATTTTTAGTATTGTTTTTCTAGAATTACGCAGCCTTCAAACTTGCTTATTTTTTCGCTTTATCAAAGGCCAACAATATGAATGAGAGCAACGGGAATAAGAATCAATTGGCTGCCTCGCCCGTTCTATTCTATTCTTTTTATAAAAATAATTTACTTTTGAAAACCATGAGTTACACGCTATTTGTTCTTTCATGTATATCTTAATAAAATGTTAATCAATGCAAAATACTTGTGTCTCAAGGGACATTAATATTGTAATACTAGCATAAAAATATTTAATACAAAAAACGTAGTAAAATCTAACTTTATTTTTTCAGTGGAAATCACGATGGTGTGTCATGAGAAAATTGTCACCAGTGGCAGGTAAATGATTATAAAGATTTTATCTTAACTAATAAAATGTGGTCTTGCGTGCAATAAGAGGATACTGGACAAAATAAAAATGGCGCATACCTCCTTATTGCACATAAGTTTTTAACGCTATAACTACCGATAGTATACAGCTGTTTAGTAGCCTATTTTTGTATTTTTATATTTTTTATTAAAAATATTTAGAGCGATGACATTTTTTCACTTTCATTTTCTTGTCGTGTATAAAATGTCTACCAAATGCCAAAAGATTTTACAATGAAACAATGAAACTAAAAAAATCAGAAATACTAAATAATCTCAAAACCTTATTAAATTTAATATTTATTTGGTTTTATTAAATGAAATTATTATTAGGCATATTTATATTTTTAATATGTTTAGAATATAGATATAGATAACTGCAATAGTGTCAAAGAGGCCTCTTTTCATGCGGACGCACACATATATTACGCAATTCAAACAACGTAAATTGAACTGATATTGTAACTGTCTTAGATTAAACTTATTTCAAAAAATGCAATTTACAGAAAAGATTTAAATATTTTTAATAAATGATATCGGTTTGATGTTATAATTCTTATTTCAGATTGTATGCACTTACAACTTTACGGAGATAGTAAGGATAGATTCAAGAATGCACATACAAAAGCGTCATTAAGTTTACAACACTTTTTAGGCGTACAGAGTGGTTTCACTCTTGACAAAGAATCAAACACCATTGCTATAATCTGTCGAGATATAATTGTAGTTCTAGCATTTGATACAAGAGAACGCTTAATCCAGTGGCAAGTTAAAATATCAAATAATTTAGGAGAAGGTATGTTAATAACTGTTTTTAGAGATACATATTTCATTTTGTGTTTTAAGCACTTACAAGTTTTGTTATGTACGTTCTTTCCTCAGGTTAAATCGCGGCGCGAACTGTATTTGTTTAATGATTATAAAAACTTTTGATTGTAATAACCGTAATTTTAAATCCTCAAAAAATATATTTAGCCGAATTTAAAAAGTTTAAAATACCTCAACTAAAAACTTGTGTGAAAAAAAATACAGTTTTTCGCTTGTTTTCTGGGCATTTTGCACTTGGGTTGCAATGTGTTACAATAGCACTATAAGGACATTGTATCTCTTGATGTTCGTTTCCTCCTAAATTTTTTCTGAAATGATAGGTTCCTTTTAAATAACCAAAGTGCACGTATTATTTATACTATTTGAAATTGGGAATATTTTTACATTAAATTAGTTGTACCTATTTCAGACCGCCAGTTTTTGGTGCTCATTTCCACTGCTGCATCTAAAGGGAAAATAAGCAACGGTCCAGCACATCTTCGTGTGCAGAATTACAGATTTTGTATTACAGTTGGCATTCCGCCTAGACTCGTGGGGATTTGGAAAATCGTCCATCTCCGAAAATATGGAGTTGTTGATGGCCGATTTTGTTTTGAGGGCGGCTCACGATGCGATCGTGGCGAAGGACTTCACGTCCTAATCACTGATCAAGGCGACGAGATAGTAAAAACATTTCAATTAGCTGTGGAAGGAAAACTACCGAGTCGAAAAAAGAATGGACGTGATCAAGCTTCGCAAGAAAGTCCTCGCAGTCAATTTTCAAGATCAGAAACAAGAGTCAGCGACTGTGTTCCATCAGCGTCCTATGTGTCTAATTATCATGAAAAATATTACGAAAGCAGTAAGAATGACAGTTCATCTTTCTGGTTCTCTTCCGACAGACATCAAGAAATAGAATCGGAGGAAAACTTCAGCAGCCGAGATTCGATTTCTACCTCGGAAATGACTGAACAGCCAAATGATTGGCAAAGGTATTCCTTCTCCCGCCAAGGAAGTTCTAAGTTAGAAAGATGTGCAAGCTGCATAGGAAAACTCGGAACAATATCAAAATCCTCAACGTCCGTAACAACTGTGGAACCATCTTCTGGGCTTCAACATAGTAATTTAAGTCACGTGACACATAGAGCACTCGACGGCTTGTCACTTTCGTCCTACAGCAGTAGCAGCCACGAGAGTGATTACTCAGTGTCACAAAGAGATGGAACTTTCCAGCAAATGGAGTGCTGTTGTTCGCAGACTAAACTCGAGCAAACTCCACCAGTTTGTCTTCCTCTCAAGAGTCCCGCAGTACCTCCAAGGCCACCAAAGTCGAGAAACGAAATGACAAATGCTGCCAAATTGAAAAAACCACCTATGCCACTTCCAAACACTGCGCAAATTTGCACTTGTCGCCAGAAGAATGTGGTCCGCAAAAACGATCTTTCTATCGGTCCCTATAACAATTACGACATTCCCAAACCTATACTTGTTCATCGTGCGATTCCGAGTCAAGCAGAACCACAAAATCAATATTACGACACACCGAGAAAAATAAAAGAATCATTGCCAAATGAGTATTCCAATTATGATATGCCACATTTACCACAAGCCGTGATGTTACAACGATGTGGCTGTCCCACGAAGTTGTCTCAGTCGACACGACCTTCCGCCTGTCCCTGCCAAAACGTCCTCAGTTGGGCTGGCTTCGTGTTGCCCTACTGCCGCAGAGGAGCTGGAATCGAACCTACTGGAGTCACCGTTCAACCCATCCGTCTCTCAGGAGAAGGTAAAATGCCGGTGGTCAACGCTAATGGAGGAGTTAATTTCTTCCCCGAAAATCTCTCAGGCTTCAGCCACAAAGAAGAATGTGACAAAAATTCTCAAGCTAATTATGAGAATATTGGAACCATTATTGATACGCAACCAAACGCGAATACCCCCAATTATGTCAATATTAACTTTAATTCTTCAAATCACTATGAAAATAGTAAGGATCTTATATTGAAAACTGGAATTTCGAAAAACGAATGGAAACAAATTTCCACTGACTTAGAAATGCAAAAAGAGGGTAATAAAGAGAAGAATGTATGCTCAAAGAAAGGGGAACCTGATTATCTCGAGGTGGAAGCGAAGAAAGTTTGTAAAAATTCATCTTCTAGCTATTTACCGATGCAGCCTGCACATGTTTGTTCAAAGCAAATGTTATCCAGACTCGTTAGCGGTGTCAAAAGTTCAAGCAATCCTACTTTGTCAAGTACATCTTCCGCAGAAGGAATCAAAAAGAGATCCGACTCTGAGTATCGAGTTCCAGGACCCACGGTCTTGTCTAGTCCCTGTTTTACAAGACGTTTAATTGACGTCAATAAAAATAAAGAAAGTATTTTACTTAGAAAGCGATCTTATTCAGAGGAAGCTGCTCGTTTTGTTGACGAGGAAAAGTCAAATTCAACAATTTGTGATTGCACAAAAGATTCGAGTAAGAAAATCTCTCTCAACGCGGAGGATTCTGTTAATAAAGTAGAAAAAGCGTTTTTGAATCAGCTTTCATTTCAATTGTCATCAACTGGGTCTTGCATTAAAATTCGAAGATCTTCCTCCGTTCCATCAAAGGCGGGTCACAGTCGAGATTCTTCCAGCAGTAATGATTCTGGTGTGTTCACTGGATCTGCCACTAATAGGAATAATGAATTTCTAGACTTCGATTATGCGTCCGTTCCAACTTCAACACCCTTGAAAAGAAGACAATCTACACTTCTTGCAAAGTCAGCACGGCCGGGATGCTTTTACAACAGTTTGCCCAGAAAGTCAAAAACAAATGATCTACTAAAAGAAATTAATTTTCAGTTTCAAAAAATCAAGGTGCCTGCCAAATCATCGTCTGCGGAATCAGATATTCCTTCTAAAGAGACCAAAAGATTTACTAATTCTGATGAGATCCCTATAAATAGATGCCCCGATTCGCGAAGCACAAGTAGTGGCACATCTGATATGTCTGATTACATTGAGACGTTGTCTCTCTCATCTCATTCTTCAACAGAAACACCAGACTGTCTTCGGTGAGTATTATTCTATTTAAGATATTTCTCCCGATTGTACTGTTATGTTTAAAAGTCTCGCGTACACGAAAAGAAAAATATAGAAGATACAGGTATAATTTAGGTTATATTACCCATATAATATTGCTGGAATAGAAACAGCCCAACAGTTATATTTCAACCATACCATTAGAACTAGCCGAAAATTTCTAAAGCGCACTAACCTCTTAACCAGATTTCACATTAGCATGAAGTAATATGACATTAGTTTCGTTCGCTCACAAAAGAGGTGCGTGTGATTCAGACATACAGATTACAAATTATAGGTTAAGTGTTTCTCATTTTTAAATTTCTCATTTAACCTAACTATTGAGGTAAAATTATCATTTGGTTTCTCAAAACTTGACAGAAATTCATAAACATAACCAAATTCCTAACATACCGAAATCATTTCTTTCAGTGTAATTATGAGATGTATTAATGAACTTGTTTAATCGCTTTAATCTTAAAAACTTTTTCAATTATAATAATGATCTGTACACCACCCTTAGCAATTATCAATACTTGAAGTTCATTTAAATACAACCGCGTAAGCACAAATGATCATTTTATCTGGAAATGTAGACTTACATCAATAAGAATACGACTTTGAAGTTGTCTCGTCATTCTGTATTTAACAAAGAAGAACCTAACAGTCCGCTAAATAGGGTTTTCTGATGCATTCAGATTCTTTAATGCTGATACTTTCTTTATTTATCTTACATTAATATTCATATATATCTCTTTTGTATTTAGTCATGAAAGCAGAGGTATAGCAACAACTTTACGTCCTCGGAATGGCAAAGAATATTGTAAAATTGATCGCAGTATTTTGTTAGACTCTGAACGCAATGCAAATTCAGCTTTGTCGAATTATGCAAATATCGCCTCAGTTGAAGAAAAAAGTGAGTCACCATCGCCAGGCTACATGAGCAGTTCACCATTTGAGCGTCAGTCTTTAACAAAAGAACATTTTCTGTTTTCCAAGGTGAGACAAATTATTTACAATTACATACTGAATTTATTTACTTAGTCAATTTTTAATTTTTATCTTTCTTTCCGCCCTAGGATAAAGTGTCTGTTAGTTAACTGACAGAATAAAGTAATCAGGAGGTTAAATTTAGTTAAACTGCTGGTCAACCCAAAAGGGTTGATCCACGTAAAAAATACAAGTGCCAGTTAACTATCTAGCAGATAAATAACAAAAACTAGGGAATTCTAGTACTTTTTGTATTAGAATTGACACTCTGTCAGCACTGACGCTAAAAAGATGATGCTTAGATTGACCAAGTTGATGCACATAATTATATAGATTTGTTTATTTGATAAAATAATTCTTTCATTTCATACTATTTTTATTACAATTCTTAAATAAATACATTGAAATCCACATAATTATTATTTTTATATTATTTTGTAAAAATGTTTGGAAAGTTATTTTTAATAAATAATAATTATTCATTATTTCATTCATTATTTGGTTACAATACAATTATTGTATTGTAACCAAATAAATACATAGCAATTGAAATAAATATTTACTTTATTTAATTTTTATTGCTTTTTCCTTCTTTCTCTTTTTTCTTTTTCTAAAAAAATTTGTTGTAAATAAATAAATTCATTGAAATGTATGTATTTATTTATATAGTTTTTATTTTTGTTCTCATAATTAATTTCAAAACATGCATAAAATATTTTTAAATAAATGTATTCATTGTAAATAAATTGAAATTCAAATAAGTTAAAATCTTTATATTATTATTCTTTTTGTTGTTTTTTTAATAATGAGAAAATGAATAACGACAAATTTAAATAATTTTCTGTTTTCAAATTATTCATCATAGTTTATGAATTGTTTAATAATTAATTTCAAAGCTTTCACCGAAGATAAAAAAAATTAAAGCAATAAATTTAAATTCAAATGGTTCTTTATTTAATAATTAGTGTTTGTAGGTTTTGTTGTTTTTTGTTAATAATTCATTTCTAACTTATCGTAAAGACTTTTTTTATAAATGTGTATTGTAAGTAAATTTAACATCCAAAAACTTTTTAAACGTCGAATGTGACCAGATCCACGATATCTTCAAAATTAATATCGTGAATACTGCTTTCTTCCATCATTGTTACTTTTTCAAAATACTATAACACTGTGACATTCACACTTGTCACGTGAAACACATCAAAATTGGCACTCTAACCTCATATTTGTGTTAATCTGACAGTTAAATACATTATTGGGTATTTCGACCGGCAGATAGGTAACCCTAAGATAAGACGCGTTTTATCTGACAGTTAGCACTATTTAGAAGTGGATCAAGACTACAAAATTTTATCCGTTAGATAAATTTATCCAGAACTGTTATCTGGAAGTGGATCAACTGGCCATTAGTAAGATAAAGACTTAATTAATAAGATTTAAGGCTGAAACAAAGATGTTACAGCTTTAAAAAATTCCATTAAGAATTGACAAATAACAGGAACGTGTAATAAGAAAGTTGCAAGAGTTCAGGGGGCATACCGTATGACGATCGTTTCTTTCGAATTTTATTTTCAAGAACCATGCAAATTTAGAACTTTAAAATTTTTATCATATATCCAGTAACATTTTAACAACAAATTAAAATTTTTGCAAACTATACAGCCAGCTGACTGACGTTTATTTTATATTGAGGTGTTGTGCGAACTATCATTTAACAAATTTTTAATCGGGAGGAAGTGATTGGAAATATTTTTGTTTTTTACATATTTGTACGACTGACGCTGCCGAACCCACCGACGGTAGGGCAGCTGTGTTCACGAAATGACCGACCAAAATTAGAAATGATATTTGATCACAACTTCACATTATTACATAATATGTATATATTTATTTAGTGTACATATATTGTTTAAAACGTTGAACGAAGGAAATATTTCAATATAATATAAGATGAGATATAAGACTTAGAAATTTCTTCTTCTTTACTTGATTACAAATTATTTAATTATTACAGGAATCTTGAATATTTAAGGGTAACTACTGATGCAACCCATTCATCTCAAGTTCCTAGGAATCCCAAGTATAACGGATAGGAGGGTAAATATAAAAGTGAAATTTGATAACTGAAGTTATTCCAACTACCTACACTATATGCAAGTGTCTTGAAAAGACAAAATCGATTGTTTTTACTTTTAATGCAGAAGTTTGTTTTCTGTCTGTTGCATCTAAAGATGTGAATGTAAAAGCAATGTCTTCTTGTAAATGATTTATTTAAACTGAAATCAGTTTTTATGCACATTAAATGTCGCACAAATACTTATGCTTTATTTATCTTGCATATCATCTTATAATTAAATTATAGTTGAAATGAAGTCAATAATCAAACACTTTTTACAACGATTTCAAAATTTTCTAAAATATGCTCAATACAAATTATAATATTAATATACTAATAATATTACATGATGTACTATAAAAATTCTCTCTCTGTCTCTCGATAAAGAAATTATATTCTTTGCAATGTAGTACAAATATTTCTCTTTTCAAGTGTCGCTTAACTTACATGAGCAAATTTTTTTTTCATGTCTATTAAACTATTAAAATATCTAGGGGTATATGGAAGTCTGTGAGAAGGGAACTGAATAGTTCAAAGTTTCAAGTAGCAGGAACAGTTTTAAGAATTAACTTGATTATAATTTCAAGTTGGATAAAATGGGATAAAGATTGAAAAATATTTGTCTATCTATCTGTAAAACTTGAATGCTGATACGTATCGACAAAGGAATAGTATAAGGGGATGTATGTCCAATAAAATAAATCAATGGCCTGGGTAATTGAATCAATATTAGACTTGCCGGATCGACACAGCACTGCCCAAACTTATCCAAATTGTCACTAATTGAAGTCTAAGAACGGTAAAATTGTTACGAATTACAAAAATGCAATAAAAAATGGACTTTTTTCAAAATCTTGAGTCGATGTAACCCCTTAATTCGCAACACTTTAAAAATTCCATAAATTGGACAATACGTATCCGCCTAAATTCACGCGTATCTCCTTATAGAACCCAGCCCCTCAATTACATCTCATTATGAAACAATCAAAATAAAACTTTAGTAAACAAGCCTTAAAGGTTTTAAACATTAAATTATTTTTTAATTCTAATCTACGAAGAAATTACAATTTACTCAAGGAGTAGAAAACTAAATTGTAGAAGCTTAAATTTATGGCAAATATATAGCAACATAGAAACCACTGCCAAGTTTTAATATCTCTGCATATAATTATTTTTTATCATATTATCATGATACTAATGAACTGCATCCTCATAGAGATAAAAATTTTTATCCTGTGAACTAAAACTTTCTAAAGTGTTAGTTTCTTATTTTTCAAATTCATAGAACTCCATAATTTAACAAAATTTTATTATTTTTATTATTTTCAAGTTTCAGAACATTTTACAAAAGGTAGAAGTTCAAGTTATGTTCAAAGTTTTTTAATTATTAAATTTCATATCGCAAAAGTATTAATCTAGTATTTTCTTATTAAAAGGACTAAAAAATAAAATTTGAATATGCTTTGCCTTGAATATTCATGAAAGGCAATATTATAATTTTAAACGATGATATTATTGCTCATGTAAACGACTCTCGAAAAGTGTTTTAATTCTAGGTTTCTAGCAAAACATTTAAAATTGTAGGATTATTAATAAAATTTGTACCTCAGTATAATGTAGGCCTATCTAAATATAAATAATTTCTAAAGTTTGATAATATTAATTTTTCCCATAAGGAATGTATTTACAAACCTAGAAAAGATTTTAATTAAAATATAAGACTGAAGAATGGTCTAAAATGATTGGATGTCTGAAACGTAATGTCCAGCAGTAAGACGTCGTATATCTGCAGGAAACTAGAATTATGTAAAATTAAAAATAAATAGTTTGGTAGATGAAAGAATATACAGTCACATTGATAATTTTTTAGCTATTTATATTTCCGTACAATTGTACATATTTATTTTCATCTATTTTAATTTTAACAGTTTTATTAACTTTATTAATTTTATTAAAACAAATGTTTTGTTTATTATGGAATATTATCCGTTTATGTAACATGGACGGATGCTGTATGAGCGGAAAGACTAACATTTCAATATTATATTCTTTAAGACTACCAACTGCTTTCCAGTGAATTTCACATCTTTGAATTGTATTACTTTTTCGCTTTCCTTTTAGAAAAATTGTACTTATTATTGGTTAACATTTTGTAATTATTATTTATAAATAGGTTTATTAGACCATGTTTATGAAAATTGAGATATAAAACCTATCTATAAACAGTAATTTTAACATTTTTTACTTTCAATTTTCAATAATTGCAGTTAATACTGTGTTTCCCCTTATACATTTGTCCTTTAAGGCAAATTTAATCATTTTATATAATGTTACTGATTGTATTCTTATTTTGCAAGATAATCAAATGAAATTTACAAATTCAAAGAAAGCATTTTTAATGCGCACACAACGAATGCCGAATTTAAATAATTATTACATTTTTTATATATTGTCAGATATTTTTCATTGTTAAAAAATATCAATAAATTGTAGTTGGATAATAAGTGAATTGCAACATATTAAAAATTTACAATTGACATTTAAAATACAAAGTATGAAAATGACAAAGATGTAATGCCAAAACGTTTAACAGTAATTTATACAAGAAGCCAGAATCCTTTTATACTATGTACTGCTAAATCAAATACCATTTCAAATATTTGAATGTACTAATTAAACACTTTTTAATATTTTTCCTTTTCGTTTGTCAAAAGTAAAGGAAATTTAATAATAGTTGAAGAAAAAACATACTCCACGACAACATTTTTATATTATACTGTTAACACTTTTTAAAATAAAAAAATGAAATATTTATGTTTCGACGAAGCTTACAACGACAAAGACAAAATAAGGATTCTGGAAAATAATTTTACACTAAATTATGATAATATTAATTTATGTTCTTTATAGAAATATATGAATACACATTTCTATTGGGAGATCCACGGCCTGCAACCAAAAACATAATTCAAAGCTCAAGAGTATTTTTAATTTACTAAAATGTTCCATTTCTGGGTCATAATGCAGTATGTTGAGTTAGGTTTATAAATGTAACTTTTTAAAGGACCCCGCAAGAAATACATCAAACAGATGTATGAGGCCATGATATTTCAACATTTGGCAGAGCTCCTTACGAAATGACATTTCAACTTCTTTGGATAAATATGAAAAATTAATATTATTTATTTATTGACGGGACAAATCCTTTCGTTCAAATGGCACCCCTAAATTCTAAATTTAAAATTGCAGTTACATTCTTAAACTAGTACTCAAGTAATTAAGATATGGAGAGAAAGGCATAGTAGAAACCTTCTCTCCGTGTAGGGCTATTCGATGCCGAATCTTCCATTGGAATGTTTTCGCAAGTTTTTTAAAATACATTGTGCGAACTGGGAAGTGACCCTTGAAATATCTCTTGATCTTTGCGTAATGTTCTTGGTTATATTTTTAATGCATTTACAGCAGATTAGTTACTTGTAATAGAGCGCGTGTATTTTATAATCTTAATCTACATCTTTCACTGAAAAAACAAAAAGGGAATATGCTTGGAGAAACTAGGCCATTTTTTAATTTAGAAAAGTGTTGCTCTTTTTGAAGCATATTCCTTATTAGTTTTCTTAGTGTTCGAAAAATAGCATTTTTTATGTAAAGTGAATATGCTTAACATTTTAGAGGTAATGCGTGAATTAGATTTGTTTAAAGTTTTGTAATATTTATATAAACATTTCTAGTGAACAATCTCCAAATATTTGCAATTCTTCAATTATGAATCATACGAAAAAGTATTTCTTCTCACCAGAAGAATATAATACGAGAGAAAAAGCATTCTAGTCAGAGGTTAAGTACTGTAGTCATAATATATTTTTATTGTGAAAAAGTTTTTGCATATTTATTTGAATAAAATTTAATAGTAAGCATACTTGTATTCCTGCACTGAAAAAAAAGTGCTGTTGTATCAAATATCTCCATGCTATTGAATTCCCCGTCATTGATTCAATGACACATTTATTAATCGAAAAGTATATTGCTTAAAATGAAAAAATGAAACTGTTTAAATTAAAAGTACGGTACTGTAGAATTAATGATATTGTGCAAATTGTTTCTATAGTTCATCTATATATAGCAACAGAATAATTTATTGCTTCTTTGACATTATTCATTTGAAGCATCTAATAGGTAAATTTGAAGAAAATGCGTGTAAATTTAAATCAAATGAAAAATTGTTTGCTCTAAAGAAGCGCGCTCTGAAAACGAAAGCATATGCTTTCGTTTCAATGAGTGGTGCTATTGCGGACTGCCTATAGCATATGCTATAAAATTAAGAACACTATGTTTTGAGACATTGACAGGTACTAAATTTATTGAAATACTTACCCACATATATTTATATGTTTATTAAACCTGTCGTTTTTGAGATTCCAATATAAAAAAGTATTATTTAAATTCTTTTAATTAATTAATGACTAGTTAAATATAAATTCCCTATATAAATTCCCTTATATACGCGAAAAATCTCGAGCACGGTATTTAACCACAAAGTAAGTGCCCAACGTTGAGAAGCGGATGTATTACATTGCAGCGCGGCGGTTCTCGTCTATCACGGAAGTTAAGCGTCGTTGGTCGCGGTTACTAAATGGATGGGTGACCGCTTGGGAATAGCCGTATTTTTCTGACTAAAAAAGATAAGTGTGTTTGAATGTGTATGTGTGTGTGTGTTTAGCCGTTGGAAAAAATGAAAATAATAATAAAGATGTATATGTTAGTGTGAAAAATTGAAAAAAAGATGTGTATAAAAACAAAAAGTGTTGTGTTAAAGGTGTGAGAATTAATTATAGTATATAAAAAACATGTGAACAAAAATTCCCTTTTTTCAATTTATCGTTGGTATATATTTAACCACATAAAAGAATTGAATTAACAGTATGGTGTTATTCAATCGATAGCAACAACTAAAAAAATTAAGAGTACAAATTTTTGAATCATAAAAATGATGCTTTTAAATTTAAAAGTTATAGTCATTGACTCAAAAGCATATACTGTTAAATTAAAAAATTTTGTTTATTGATTCAAAAGGATTCACCTTCGAATTAACATAGTATGCTGTCAATTTGAGAAATATGCTTTTGTTTCAAAGAAAGTGATACTATCGAATCATTAGAATCGGTGCTTTCAAAACAACAGCATATACGTTAGGCAGCCCGTTATGACACTATTCAATGAATCAAACCCATATGTCATTGATTCAACAGCATTTTTTTCTCCGTGTGCATATTAAAATAAGTTAAACATTCAAACCTTCTTAAATCCTAAAACGACGATGGTGAGCTTCCTGCAAGCTTACACCTCAAGATTTCTCTCGGTATGGGCAATTTTAAGCTTGCCGCAAGATTGCGCGGGGTTATTTACAGCTTCGCAGTTGATTTTAAACGCAAGGACAATAAAATATCCCACGATTTCGCCATGTAGTATTCATCACACCGCAAACATGTTTTCTTTGTAAAATTGTATTACTTCTTCCTTCATTTCGCACTTGGTGTAATATAACTTTATCTCTCTTCTTCATTTCCGGACATGTTTCAATAATGCTGCATGCCTTTTACTACGCAATTGTTCTCAATTTTCTTTTTTTCCATCTCGTACGATTCTTCTTGTTTTCTTCTTTTTGCTTGTTCATTACCTCACGTTTAGTTTCTTGCTTCTTCCGACGCTCATGACATTATTTAATAAAAACTCAAAAAAATTCTGTGATAGAATTTAATTATTTACAAAAACAAAAAAATTAATTAGTAAATTTTCTTTATTTTACCATTTTACAAACCTTTGCTTTTTTCGACTTTTCTAAGAAAATGCGACTTTTTTCGACTTTTTTGACTTTTTTTTAGTAAAATGCGAATTAAATTAAATTTTTTTTTAAATTTAAGGGCATTTGAACCTTGATGACGTTTCAGTTTTTGCAAAGCATGTGTGACGTCATCAAGTTTCAAATGCCCTTAAAGGAAAAAGTTTGAGTCAAAAAAATGTTCTGTTACATTTATTTACAAATTTTTTGAAAACATCAATAACTTTTTTTTTAAATAAATATTTAATTATTATTTTTCCATAGGAATTAAAATTCTGCAAAAGATTCAAATTCAAACCTTTTTGAAATTAAAAAATTGTTATAAAACATGAAGAAATAAATCACTCCGAGTCTTCGACTCGGAGCAATCGATGTCTTCATGTTTTATAATAATTAAAGATGACCGAGTGATAAAATCATTAATTTATATTAAAAGACTTTATAAAAAAAAAAATTTTAATTATTTTTTATGCAAATAATTGAATTATTGGGAAAAAATTTATAAAACATTAGTAAGTAATTGAATTTTGCAGAAGAGTATTGATATTTACAAAGATAATTGAAATTTGAAGAGAATTTAAAAAAAAAATTTTGAAAATAATTGAATTTCTGTGAAGAATTTTTTCACTGTTGAAAAGATAATTAAATTTTGCAAAAAATTTTATCAGAACTTTTGAAAATAATTAAATTTCCAGGATGAATTTTATTATTTATGAAGATATAATAAAAATTTTAACGAGAAATTTAAAAAAAAAAAATTTGAAAATAATTTAATTTCTGCGAAGAATTTTATTACTTTTGAAAATAATTGAATTTATACGATAAATTATATTATTCAATAAGATTATTGAAAATTTGACAAGAATTTTATTAAAATTCTTTGCAAATAATTGAATTTCAGAAAAGAATTTTATTACTTTTGAAAATAATTAAATTCATGTGATTAATTTTATTAATTTTGGCAAATAATTGAATTTCTGTGGAGAATTTTATTAAAAGTTATGAAAATAATTGAATTCTTGCAAAGATTTTTATTAATATTTGAAAAAAAATTTATTTCCCGTAAAAAATTTAATTAAATTTTGAAAATAATTGAATTTTTGCGAAGAATTTTATTAAAATTCCTTAAAATAATTAAACTTCCGCGAAGAAAATTTTGTACTGAAAACAATTCAATTCTTATCATTAATTTAATTAAAATTTTTCAAAATAATTGAATTTCTTGAGAAGAATTTTAGTAATAATTGAAAATAATTGAATTCTTACGATAAATTTGATGAATTTTCGAAAATAATTGATGTCATGCGAAGAGTTCAATTATTTTTGGAAAATAATTCAATTCCTGTGAAGAATTTTATTAATTTATTAAAAAAAATTACTGTCAAGAATTTAAAAATTTTTTAAAATAATTGAATTCTTGTCAAGAATTTTATTAATTTTTAAAAATAATTGAATTCCTGGGAATAATTTTATTAATTTTGGCAGATAATTCAATTTCTGCGTAAAATTTTTTTAAACGTTTTGAAATAACAACTTTCCATGTCCTACTATTATTTGTTGGCTTAATTATTTAATAAGAGACTGCGTTTAATAATATTTTTATTTTCAACCTAAAATAATTAAAAATATAATGAAATGATTGAACAATAAATATTTATATAATATATACTCCAAGATTTTAAAACCAATAAATCTTATTTTGTAATGTTTTCTCTAAAAATCGTTTGCACTTGACATGATAATATATAGCGATATTAGAAATGAATACAAATTTGTAACTTATTGTAAATCGAATTTTAAAATAACGTAATTGAAATGCATTGAAATAAAGTTGATAACAGTACAGTAAAATTCACGCAAACACTACATTCATTATTTAATTATAGCCTTTGGCCGTTTATGATATTTACAATAAAGATTTACTTGTATGAAAGAAACCCATGAAAAGCTGGGTTACTGTGTTTTTGTACTCTATGTTTGTATAAATAATTTTTAGGATATCTATTACGAAGATGTTTGTGCATTATGCATTTCTTCTTGTTGAATCCTTCTACGATAGTTATCAAGGGTAACTTGTATGGTTTTTTTTGAATATCGACAGGTTTCAGCACCACAGGTACAGGTAAAAGATTTGCATTTGATTATCCAGAATTTTTCACCGTAATCAAATCTAGAAAAAAGAATTAAAATCATAATTTGTAGCAAAATTTTTAAAAAGTTTCTGACTCAGTTCTAGATTTCTAATTTAGCTCATTACTCTTAAAAAATAAAATATAAACTATTACCCTAGTTCCTCGTCCGCTTCAATATTTCGATTGGCAAAAAACGCTATTCGTGGAAAATGTAAATCCTGATGTTCGACAAATAGTCGGACTGGCAGCAAGTTAGGTGCACAGGAATGATTGATAAATCGAGCTACGTTGCCGTATCGTCGAGCGTCAATACAGTATGTTTCCCCATCCTAACAATTAAGAATGTTTAGTGGAAAATGGCATGACGGCCAAAATTATGAACGGCCCCCAAAATAAAAACAATAAATTTTTTAATAAAATAAAACAATAAAAATATAATCTATCAAACATATTAAAAAGTATAAATATAAATGAATACAATACATACAATAATATTTACCCTATTATCCAAATCAAACAAATACGAGTCATCTTCCCTGTGATCTGCTTCGGAATCAGAGATAATTTCTCCAACATATTCACAAACGTAAGTACCTTTGGGAATGTGTTTAAGAGTTCGTAGTCCCCACCCTTTTTCTTTTGTACGAAATAATTGAAATCTCTGTGTCATACCATGTTGAACAACACGATTATTGCACGTGATTTTATTACAATCACATGACGGATTACATTCAAATAACATTGGAGGATCTGAAAAAGAGATATTCTTATTTCGTATCATTTTGGAATCCAAAAATACTTGCCACTAGTTGTGCATAAATGAATCAAGTATATATAAATAGTAATATTATTAAAACCTTATACATTACCAGCATAATTAAATTCAGGAAGGAGTTTCCCCTCTTCATCATACCAGCATCTTAAACTAATAGTACCGCAAAGACATTTTTCCGAACTGCAGTTATTTTCACAGCGGCAGGATTGTAGCGACGTTATTGTCCGATCTATATTTATATTACTCGTAAAACAGTTCTCTGTGACATATAGAAAGTCAGTCGGCTTATCTTCAGAATCAAGGCCATTTACGCATTGAACTGGATTAGTCTCTTTACCGCGGGAAATGTCACTGAAATCAAATCAAATGAATTTAGTTGTGGAAAATACAAGTTTTAATATCGCACAAATCTCCAAAACTTACTTGCATAGAATTTTAACAGTCTTTTCCCACATGTGTTCCGAGAGCTCGTTTACTTTCGCATTTAGCCTTAAAGCAGCCAGAGTATCACCATCAGCAGAACAGCAATTTATCGCCGTTTCTCCTGCACTGTTGACTTCAACAACTTTTGCTCCTCGAGCTAATAATAATATACTGACAGCATATTGATCCTGTCTTGCAGCAATGTGCCTAAAAATAAACATAAATTCGTATTATGTCTGACATTTGCTAAATACTTGAATAAATCAAGAGAAAGGATATTAAAGTTACAAAGGAGTATCGCCGTGCACGTTCACTGCATTCACATCGCAGCCTTCGTTTAAAAGTAATTCTGTGATTTCAGAGCTTCCGCTAAAAGCACTCCAGTGTAAAGCAATATTTTGTTCTGCGTCTCTAATCAAAGGATCGCATTTCTGTTCTATCAAGAAACGGGCAACAGCAGTATGTCGGAATTCGCAGGCCCAAATTAAACTCGTCCAACCTCCATCGTCAACACAATCTATAACGTAAAAGTGTATGTGCAGTCAAGTACAAAAATTATTATTTTCAAATAACGTAAACCTTAAAGTATTGAAAACTTTCTTACCGATTAAAGTCCTTGGCACTTTGCATTCGGACAGTATAATTCGGCAGACGTACAAATGTCCAGACTTAGCAGCAATGTGCAAAGCAGTCATACCGTCTATACCCTTTAAAGTAGTATCGGCTCCAATTCTAATGAGATATCGAACAACTTCAGCTCTTCCCTTACTTGCTGCCAACATTAAAGGTGTTAATTGATTTTTGTCCATAACATCCACTTGACCACCAGCTTGAATTAAAACGTGCAAACAAGACAAATGACCCTTTTCGGCAGCTAAATGCACACTTGTGCGGCTGGCATAGTCTCTAAATGTATGATTTGCATTATAACCGCAGGCTGAAAAGAAAGTTTAAAGATTACGTAGAAGGAAGATGCATTTTCATTTTTCTAATATTCACTTAGTAGAAAGAATTATGAGAAGATTTTCCCTATCTATTTATAAAGATAATTTAATTCATGACGAGAATTTTCAAAAAATTTTGAAAATAATTTAATTTCTGCAAAGTATTTTATTACATTTCAAAAGAATTAAATTCTTGCGATGAATATTGATATTTATCAAAATAATTGAATTTTGGAAAAGAATTTTATTAAAATTCCTTAGAATAATTGATTTTATGGGAAGAATTTGTGCAATTTTATTGTTTATCAAGCTATTTGAATTCTTTTGCAAAATTATTTAAAATTTTTTGAAAATAATTGATTTTCTGCAGCGAATTAAATGTTATTTATGAAAATATTTGAATTATTGCAACGAATTTTATTGTTTTATTAAATAATTGAATGTTTCTTAAAATTGAATTCTTTCCTCAAGTTTCAATAAAATTTTTAATAATAATTGCATTTTTCAAGGAATTTATTTAAAATTATATTAAAAATATTTGAAATTATACGATGAAAATAATTAAATTCGTAAATGAAATTTTATTATTTATGAAAATAATTGAATCTTTTCGTAGAATTGTATCAACAAGTTTTTGTCTATAATTAAATTTGTTGATAAATTTTATGAAAATAGTATATATTATTTAAAAACATTGAATTGCGAAAAACTTTTGAAAATAATTGAAATTTTGCAAAGAATTTTATTAAAATTTTTGAAAATAATTGAATTTTTGGCGAAAAATTTTTTTATTTATAAAAATAATTGAATTTTTGACGAGATATTCATTAAAATTTATTAAAATAATTGAATTCTTTCCAAGTATTTTATTAAATTTTGTTTAAATAATTTAAATTTTGCCAAGAATTTAATTAAAATTTTTGACAATAATTGAATTCTTGAGAAGAATTTTGATATTTATCAAAATAATTGAATTTTGGAAAAGAATTTCATTAAAAATCCTTAGAATAATTGATTTTATGCGGAGAATTTTGTTGATTATCAAGATAATTGAATTCTTTTGTAGAATTACTTAAAAGTTATTGATAAAAAATTAATTTTCTGCGACGAGAAAAATAGGGGAAATTTAGGGAAAATTTTTAAAATAGGGTACGTTTAGGGGCCAAAATTGAAAAAGGGGACTTTTAGGGAAATAGGGGACAGACTGTGAAGCCTGCAATATACATATATAGATAGAGAGAGAGGTAAAAAAATCAACTTACTTAAAACATTGACTAATTTCTCCAAATCACCATTTTTCACTGAAGTGTACAAACTCATTATAGTGTAGCGTTCAGGTCTATCAGAACTGCTTACCGTTGGCTCAGGTATTTTAATCATTTCTGGTTGAATCAGCGGACTAGGTGGTCTTTCAGCAAGCTTTGTATTGTCACCCTTTCCTGGCAAAGTCATTTTCGCTGATGGCAATGTTGAAAATTTTCTGCGAGTGGGAATATAAATTGGCACTCTCAATCCGTTTAGTGAGATGACAATGTCGAACTCCGGACTCTCACACCCACAGTGAGGACAAGCGGCTTGCTTAGAGAGATACATCTCACAATCCCGATGATACTGGTGACCATTGACGCACTGTATAAACTTGCCTTGCGAACAGAAGAGTCCACACATGGGGCAACAGTTGTGCCGAAACAGTCTCTCCTTGTGCATGCGACAGAGAATGATGAAGGGCACGCAAGTGCTGGGCCTTCGCATGTTTACGTCGTTGACGTCAACTTCATTGCAACAGCCGACTTTCTTGCCGTCAATGGAATCGATTGCTGTACAATAAAGTGGGGTGCTATTGTCGCTGACTGTCACGTATAATTGGGATCTTACTTGACACAGGCACATCATTGATTTTCTGTGTGTCTAGAATCAGGTTTCACCATGGAGAAGCTTTTCGAAATAAAATGAAAAAAATATACATCCAATATGACAGTATGACAGTTACCTCGCTTGAAATTAAAGCTGAGTCTGGTTTGGATCCTTGAGTCTCAGTTGAACTGGGACTCGCTGCCACACTTCGTCGAGTTCTTTTTGCAGGGGAACCATCCTCTAAAAATCAACAAGTTTTAGTATCAAAATTATAATTAATTAGGGTCATTTGAGGTGCATGTAAACCGAATATCTATTTTTCACCAAAAACGTAAATTTTTTTCGTTAAACGGTACAAGATGAATAAATTAAATAAAGTCGTTGAAATTTGTAAAACCTGATTGATAGGTATAATATACAATTTATTAAAGAAGAAACAGTAGAATATCATTTAGGAAAAATATAAGTTTGACTTTTAAAAACAAACTAAAATATAATTCTTATTGTTTTAAATTTCGAAATATTTTCAGAGTTACCACAAAATTTTAAATTTGTTTCTCTCTGACTTTTCCCTAATTTCCAGACAAAATTTTGAATTCTTCCCTGACATTCAAGAATATTCTGATTCACTCCAAAAATTATTAGATACTCAAAAAAATGTTCTATTACATTTATTTACAAATTTCTTCAAACATAAAATTATTCCAAAACATCAATTTCAAATTGAAACCTTTTGAAGTTCATTTATTTATGAAAATTGTAAACGCAACTCTTTTGAAATCCAATTAATTTTGAAAATTTTAAGTATTCATTAAAGTTGTTCAAGATTTAAGTTATTTAAAAAGAAATTATTGTCAGAAATAGAAAAAATTGTACGTTTTGTATACGTGGTAATTTCATAGTTTGTAAGGCCAACAAAAAAGACACAAAAATTGAGAATTTTTTCTAGTACTTTTAATAAAATGAAAAAAATGATTTGAAATATTTACCTTCCGAACAGTCATGGTATTTTCCAGATTCAGTAGATCCATCTGAAAGAATTAAAAAGATAGAATTGCATATAAAAAAATATTGACAAAGTAATATTAAATTTGAAACCTTCAAATGAATCAGATTTAGCAATTTTCCGAGCTCCGAGACTACCCTTAGGACGACCTCTTTCCCTTTTAGTTTTTCCAATGGCAGGTTTCAAGAAAGGCTTGTCATTATCCGACATGGTAGCAGCGTCGTCTGTGATTGCAGTTTTAGTAGAATTCCCCGATTTTATTTGTGCAGAATCTGTATTCTTCAATATAGGAGACAACTTGGGCATTTCGTCAAAGTCTGTGCCAGAGTATTGCGAATCGTTAATGGTTAAATCACTAGTAGAGCTCTCATTAGCAGACCAATTCTTCGAAGCGTCTTGAGACATGTTTACTTCATTAATACTATTATTTCCTTCTACGGTATTATTATCAGATTCGTTGTCTGCCTCTGCCACTTTACTATTAATTTGTTTTGCAACCTCTTTCGTCGGTAAAATTTTTTTTGGTCTCCCAGGTTTATTATATTTTCTAATTGGTTTAAATTGCAAATGTTCTTCGGTGTAATTAGACTTTTCTTTGCGGGCTATAGCACTTTCAAGTACAGTACTTTTCAGAGGTTCCTTGCACATTCGTCGGGCAGAACGTTTTGGACTTGGTGCACCTTCTACAACGTCACTACAAATAAAATTCAAAAGCGTTATAGATTTCCAGAAAAAATTTTATATGATAGAATTAAAGAAAATTTTAGTTTTTTAATATTTTAAAAAATATTATGTTTAATACTTTTAATTTACTATTATATCTTTTTGATGCAATTTTCTTTTTCTTGTTATTTAATTTTTTTCAAATGAAACATCTCCTTCAAAAGCTATAATACAAATTTTTCCAAAAAAACTTATTTTTATAAAATTGAAAAAAATTTTATTATTTTCAAAAATGTTTCTTAATGCAATGAAATTTAATTAAAAAATCTTTAACGTCCGAGATCTTTTAATAGTATATTTCGAAAATTTAATTAGAAAAATTATTCAGAAATAACTTTTCAAACAAAAGATTTGTCTATTATACTTTTCACACTAATAAAAATCGAAATAAGTTGCAGTTTATACCAAAAATGTGGTATTTTGTCGCAAAATTTGAAAAAAAGTCGAAAAAATCCTAATATCCGAGGCCTGCATGAAGCAATAATTCATTTTGCACTTTTAAGAATTTTTCTATGCTTCTTTAAATATTTTCTAATTACTAAAAAAGTGCTAATTTGCATTGTTAAATTTACATTTAAAGATTTTTCATTAAAATTATTTGATAATTCAATTATTTTTAAAATTTGCAATGAAAATTATAGATTTTCAAAAATTGTAACAAAATAATTGGAAAACAAATTATTTTCAATTAAATTTCAGAAAATTTTAGTTATTTAAAAAGTTTTTTATTATAGATATATTTAAAAAATTCAATTATCTTAAAAAAATGATTTAAAAATAATTTTTGAAAGTTTATACCTAGTTATTTTTCTCAACTATAAAAATCGAAATAAGTTTAGTTTTTATACTAAAAAATGTAGTATTTTGTTGCAATAATTTGAAGAAATGTAAAAAAAGGCGCAATTTTTGAAAATAAGTATTTTTCAGAGCTGCAATGATTTAAATCTTGATTTAAATCAAACTGCGAAATACATTAGAAACTTAAAAGGCTGCAAAATTAGTATTTCTATTTAAAGTTTTGAATTAAAAAAATTAAAAAAGAGTATGTTACAAAGATAATAATAATGAATATCAGAATATAATAATTATTAGTTTTTGTTCATCCGAGAGAAGTTATTGAAAGATGAAAAATCAGTATTTTATATTTGAGCCAAAGAAGTTCAAAAGTCAGGGAATTTTAATCTAAAAAAACCACAAATTAAAAAACTTTGATAAAAAATTTCAATTTAGTTTTTATTAAAATTTGTAAAAAGAATTGAATTTCTGTGAAAATTTTTTGTTTTTTTTTAAAATAGTTGAATTCTTCATAATTTTTTAAGCATTGTTTGGGGTCATTCACAAACTACGTCACGCTTTTTCGGACTGATTTTTTACATACAAAAAATTTTTTTTTCCACACTTCGTCACACACAGCTTGACACCCCCCCCCCCCTAGGAGTGTGACGTAGTTTATGAACGACCCCTTTTAAATAATTATTTTTTTCAAAAAATATAATAAATATTATGAAAATTTTATTTTAAATAATTGAATTCATGTGGAAAACTTTATTTGTGAAAATAATTGAATTTTCCGATTAATTAATTGAAAATAGTATTAAAATAATTAAAATTCTTCGATGAATTTTATTATTTATGAAAATATAATAATTGGATTTTTTCTTAGAATCAAAATTTTTTTGAATAATTGAATTTCCATGAAAAATGTTATTATTAGTGAAAGAATTTGAATTATTGTGATTTCTAATATTAGCGAATTTAAAGTAGTGGAAATTCTAAAAAAACAGAAATAGTGGCTTTTAGTGGATGAAATCTAAAAAAAAGTACCCAAATAGTGGGATAACGTTAAAAAAGTAGTAAATAGTAGGTAAAGAGAGGAAATATTGATAAAAAGGAAAAGTTTTTGAAATAGAGGAAAGAAGGGGAATAGGGGATGGATTCTATAAGGGAATATAAATCATAAGAACTAATGGCGTACATCCCCTTATAGCCTTTCAATTTCATTAATAAATAATGTGAATAAAAAATAACATACCTAGTAATTCTTAGTCTTCGTTTCCTCTGTTTTTTAATAAAAGTCGAGTTGGTTTCAAGTTCCTTTTCAGCGACTGGTTCTGACAAAGAAACATCTCTGCTCTCATCAGTTTTCTCAAGAGGCACTTCATCAGAATCTACTAAGAGTTCAGACTGAGCTCCCTCCTCGACTTCTTCAACTTCAGTTTTATCATTATCCAGGTCCTTATTCACGACCTTAATTTCACCTTCGACTTTAGCTTCCTCGGTATCAGACTTATCGGCAGAATCCAAATATTCTTCGGAAGTTTCAATTTTAACGGAGACTCCTCCAATTTGCGTACAATTAGCTAATTCGTCTGGAACTAGTGCCAGATTTGACGAGCAACTGGAAATCTTGGTCTTCTTCCCCGAATCTGTGTTCTCGTCGATTGTTCTGAAAGTGAGGACAATTCTCGGAATGTTGGAATCTTTCTTGAAAGCCTCCTTGGCATCTTGATTTTCTTTCACCTCATTATTGCCCTCGCTGGTCTTTAGAATGTCCTTCGATTCCTGACCCGACTTTTCGCTGACATCCTTCGGGAGCTGGTTTGGCACTTTTGCGAGTTTCGTTGTTTTCGTTGCTTTCCCCATCTTTCCGTCGTCTTTGAGGATAACCTCAAAATCTTCCGGACTCGGCAACTCTTTATTTGGACAATCCTTCTCGAAAGTTTGCTTTGGACTCACTCCTCTGTTAAATTCATTAGTCATCTCTTGCAAAATCTGTTGGATACTGACATTATCCTCAGAAGTTCTCTCCAGCGTGTCCTCAACTTCGCTCTCGCCATCCTGGCAACCCTCGAGCGCACTGTCATCACACTTGCTGTCACACATATTTAAATACACTGTCAACACCAGTAATTTTAATTTAAACAAGTCAGAAACAAGTCAGATTCATTTCATGAATCTCTTCACAGAAAGCATTTTTTATGTTTATCTTATTTATTTTTAAATTATCTTACTTCTAATTTACCGAATATATTGTCTAACTTTTAATTAGTTATTCCTTAAAACAAGAAAAAAAAGATGAACAAAATTTTCTTATAAGGTAGAGAGAGATCTTATGAAGCCGGTACAAATTTTTCTAGAAAATCATTTATTATTCAAAAACCCAAGAAGACAGTCTTCTTGCAAAAACCTAAAGATTGCAAACAACAAGAAGCCATATTGCAGTCGGGGCACGACTTGTGTCTGTGTGCCTTATGGAGTCTCCACAATCAATGAAGGCGCAGGCACGATCCCGAGATAAGGGTGCATTTATACATTTGTCGGTAGAAAAAAATTAAAGGCCGAAGCGGAATAGAATGAAACGTGACCGAATCGCAATCGCGACCTGAAGAATGAGTTAGAGAAGGATAAACAATAGATCTATCCTTCTTCAACTTATTCTTCCTTTTGCGTTTTACGATTCCGGTTCCGGATTGCGAAAGCAGTTTTCTAAGTTGGAAATGGGTTTTCTATCTTAGGATGCGATCACATGTGAGCAGAATACGTCGACCGAAAGCAGAAAATTATGAGAGTGAAAAGAACAACAATATCTACCTATCTCTTTTGCACTCATGATTTTCTGCTTTCGGTCGACGTATTCTGCTCACATGGGATTGCACCCTGAGAGAAATATATTTTTATGGCGGAATAATTTAAATATCATATATTTTCCACTAATCACAATTTATATACAAAATAACAACATTTAAATCAAGTCGCCATAAGGGGTCTTTTCTACTGACAGTCGTATAAACCATTCTTGTCTTTCTCTCTCCTATGGCAGAGGCACAAGCTTGTCTCTCTTACTTTTTCCAAAAACGGAAGATGTAGAGTGAGACAAACTTACGCCTCTGTCCTAGAAGAGAGAAAGACAATGAGAGTGGCCTTTCCAAAAGTTGTGTGACCGACGACCGTACCCTTAAATAAAAGTAAATTTTCTTCCCACAGATGTACAAATGCACCTTTATGCCTGTCGTCTGTAAGTCTGAACTGCTTTTTTACTGGTTAAAAAAGGGAAAAGTGATAAAAAATTTGGAAATAATTTTAATAATTCGAAATGGTAGGTTTATTAATATAAATATAATTTTTTTAATTTTCTTAGCGTTTGGTATTTATTCTTAATTATTAATAAACACTTGCGAATTGTAAATTAGAGAGCAAGGCGTAATTGTTGTATGTATATTTGTCTTAATTTTTTTAGAATTGTCAACGTTTAAAAAGTTTAAGCACTGAATTAGCGAAATAATGTGTTTTATTATACGTTTACTATTTACTAATTTTTTAAAGAAGCGATCTAAAGACTGATATACTTTAGTGCAATTATTAAAAAAAAAGTGACAGACACAGAGGTGATACTGAAAGGAGTACTTTTTATATTAAAAAAGCATGGCGAAAGTACAACTTTTATCAACTCCTCTGAACAGAGCAGAACAGAGTGGCGAAAGTAAATTAAATCATATGACGTCACTTTTTTCTTGATCTTTGAACGAGATTACAATATTTTGTGTCTCACTCCGCTTCCGCCAAAACATTCCTTCGTTACCTATTATATTAAACATAATCACACGTTATAAATTAAAATTATACGAAAATGATATTAGTCGTTTATTACACTTATATTAACTGAATGAATAATTTTTATTCAATGAAAATAATTATTTAAACAAGTTTGTTTCTTTTATTCCATGCAAGTATTCAATTTTTTATATAAAAAGAAATTTTTTAACAAAATTACATAAATTAATAAATTTAAGTCCGGGTGAAAATAATTCCTGCGAATTTCACAAAAATTTTTACTCGATTTGCGTACGAATTTCGCATGGATTTCATCTATGAATTCGTATGTGGTTTTTTCGAACTTTTTTTCGGACGAAAACTCTTGCAAGTTGCGTAATAAACATTTTTTTTAAATTTCGCACTGCAAATTAGATATTTGCACAAAATTTGGACGAGAAATCGGTTACTTAGATATAGATTTCTAATCAAAATCCGACTGTATTTTCAGATGAAAATTTGTGTGAAAAATTCTTTCATCTCTTTTAATCAAGACGAATTTCGGATGGATACAATTACGAGTTCCCGTGCGAGAACCCTGCTAAAAATAAAATCAGGAATAATGAAAAAACGTCAGAAATTTTAATGTTTTGTGACTACTTTGACGTTTTCTGAAGCTTTTGGTTAATTCTGACTACAGGGTTTTTTATGCTCCTACTGTTGAATACTGATGTTTATGGATTGTGATTATTTCTCATTGAATTCATTTTTTTAATTTACAGTCCCCCACCGAAAGATAGTTGGTAAATGTAAAGTACCATAAAAACTTCAAATTTGTGCGTAGCCCTTTTTTCACAATAGAATTTTGGGTCTATTGTTACGTGCTTCGGGTCTTCAACCTGATTTTTATTGCTCAAAAGTTTTGCAATTTTAACATTTCAGGTGAAATGAATATAAATTCAGAATCTAGAAATCTTCACGATTGCAAATATCTAAAATTTATTTTGAAAAACATTTTTTTAAGAAAACTGTAACGTATCTCGAAAACCGTAATTGATAAATAAAAACTGATATCATTTTTGAATTTAAGTTCTAAAGGATATATTATTGTTTATATAACAAGAACATATTGTGAGAAGAATTCTAAGTCGATGAAAAACAAGTATAATGTTTAAATAAATATAAACATAAACAAATAAAAAGATTTCCCTTCAATTTTATGACGGTCAGTTGACCTTTTTCCAGGTAAAAGAGGGTGTCGACTTTGTATAAAAAACCTGACTACTTTTGAAGCTTTCTGATGAAAAATGACACAAGCCTGACGTAATGTGGCTGCAATCGTAACAAATGCAGTCTCAGAACGTCAGAAATTCTGATGATTTTTTTGTCGTTTTGTGACTTTATTTTTAGTAGGGAAATGAAAATAAAGAAATTCTACATTAAATCCAAGCGAAATTGTACGGAATTCATGTAAAATTTCCTATGAAACCTTTTCATATTTACGATAAGACTTTATTTTACAGAAAAAACAAAATAATACATTCTAATTAAACAAATACCAAATTTAAACTAAAATAACAAGTTATTCGAACAAAGTAAATTGTTTACATCAGCTAATTATTCGATTTTTGCAAATAATATTAAACATTTTATAGGATAACTTCATTTTATTGATTTAATAAAATTATTAACTATTATTAATAATTTTATATAACTAACTAGCAACTGTTATGCGCCGAATGTGATCTTTAATTATTATTTTTATAAATCCTTCAAAACAATAATTCAATTATTTTCAATAAAATTTAATTTTTTTCTTAATTCGCTATTAAATTTTCCAAATGAATTCAATTATTTTTAAAAATTTTAAAAAATCCATCGAAACAATTCAATACTTTTTTTTATAAATAGTAAAAATTCTTATAAAATTCTTTTCAAAAATTCAATAGTTTTTAATCAAATTTCACGAAAAAATTCAATTTTTTTCTTAATTCGCTTTAAAATTTTCCAAATGAAATTATTAATAAAACTCTATTATTGTAGAAAAATTCGTCAAAAAAATTGAATTTGGATTTTCAAAAATTTTACTGAAATTCTTTGATGAAATTCAATTATTCTCAAATTTTTTGATAAAATTCTTCGAAGGAATTCAAGATTATTATCAAATTTTTTGATAAAATTCTTTGCAAGAATTCAATTATTTCAATACATTTCCATTTTTAAAAATTAGAATAAAAAATATTTCAGATGAACAACGTTTTTTCTGTTTGTTTAATGTTTTAAAAGATTTTAAAAATTTTTTTAATGTTACAGATTTTTTTTATGTAAAAGGGAAATTTTATTTGCTGATAATGAGGAAGCAAAATCTTTATAATATGAAAAATTTATTTTAACTAAATTTATTGAAATTAGAAGGACATTTTTAGAAGTTTTATATAATTTTGTTTATTATAATGATTCGAAATTAAACTTTTGTATGTATTATTGTAGGAGCTCACTCAAGAGAATATTAAGACGCCAGCAAGTATTGTTTATGAAGAAATGACTAAGAAAAAATTAGTTCCTGTTTACGAATTAATAGTTGACGGAACGGGAGATCCTAATCCAGTATTCACTTACAAACTTACTTGTGATGGAGAATCAGTTGTTGGATCCGGGCGCTGTAAAAAACTGGCCAAACAGAATGCCGCAAATGAGATGTTAAAGAAGCTGAAAATTCCATATTTTGGTTCTGAAAATTCTTCAGAATGTCAAGCTACGCTCTCAGAATCCATTGATGATGAATTACTGCAGCCACTTTTAGACAATGACTCTGAAGAGAAAAATAGGCATTCAGATTATTCAAATGCGGTGCAAACAGTAATGGTAAGGACTTTATTATTTGAATTATCTTCAATGTCTAGTATTTTCATGAAATTTCGCAAACGAATTCAATTGTTTAAAACAAAATTGATAAAACTCATCCATTTGAAAGCTACTTTTTGCTACTTTTTAAAATTAATTATAATGTTTTCTAACTAGCAATATTTAAGATTTTACTAACATAACATAGTGAGATTTTTGTGAATAATTTAATATTTTAGGCTCAAAATAATGATAATTATTGTTGATAATTATTGTTATTTACAGAAATTGTGCGTAGAACATTCACTTCCAGTACCGGAATTCAAAACGACGTTAACGGGCCTACCTCATACTCCCCTCTTCACTACATGTTGCACGACATCCAATTTCGTCGAAGAAGGTTTTGCACCAAATAAAAAAGATTCAAGACGAAATGCGGCATTAAAAATGATCGATGCAATAAAGAGAGAAAAGAATATTTCAAAAGATCCAGAGTGCAAAACTGAATTAAAATCAACATCTCATATTTCACCACGTTTGCAACATTTACTTTCATTGTCCAGAACTGTTGAAAGCAACCCAGGAGAAAAAACGCCTATCGAGAAGGTTGTAATTTGCGAAAAAAACCAATCACTTAAAAAACATATTTCTCCTGAAATTGAAAGTCAATTGTGCGTAGTTAAAGAATCGATAGAGAAACTACTGCAATTGATTTAAGACAAGGGCAATCATTGTGATTCGATTATTTTTTTACCAAAGGATATAACAGTTGAAACTCTTTTTCTTTATTACGTAGTCTTACAAATAGACATGTATGTTTATTTTACTTATATAGGTACTAAGATGACAATTATAAATTGTCATGTAAAATTTCAAAATGACGTTTTGTTATTCACTCTTTATTTGCTAAAACAATTATGATAACGCGAATCTGAAGACATTTTTTTATCGTTTACAGTAAGTAATATTCCTTTATTTTGTATTTTTCTGAATAAAAAGTTTTCATAAGAAATATTGAGTAGAAAAAATAACTTAACATGATGCACAGTTTAAAAGTAAAGCTGCGCAATACATTTTTTTGGTTTTCTAAATATGGAGTTCAATGAACACTTGAATATTAAGGGGAGGTTTCACTGAATTTGCTGTTTCCTCAGCGATTTTTTTATATTAAAAAAAAAATATTTACTACTTAAATTTTTTATAATAAAATACAAGTATTAAAGTAATAAAAAAAATCTGTTTGCAATTTAAAAAAAATATTCAATATTCAATTACTTACAATATCTAGTATGTTCATAAAATTTTGCAAAACAAATCAATTATTTGAATAAAAAATTGATAACGTTCATTCAAAATTCAATTACTTTCATAAATAATAAAATCTTTCACAGAAAGTTTGAAAGCTTCTTTTTGCTACTTTTTTAAAATTAATTATCGAGTGCGAAGTCTGAATTTGGTTAATTCAATAACTTCTAGGTCTTTCTCAAAGAAATCCACATTGGGACATTTTGTAAAAATATAGAAAAATATCACTTTAAATTCCTGTGGTCGAAAAACATCTAAATGATTAAAAATGACATTTGAATATTTTTACTGAAATAAAGCTTCCTATTAGGGAGCAATTGATCAATACAATATTCACAAAATAGTATTTACTTTTTATGAAATGAAAATTCTTCCCGTATAATTTTTGAAATCACGTTTCATGAGGTTAAATAAACAAAGTCAAGCATGATTGGTTTTATCGTTTCAGTGACTGTCCCAAGTGCGAAGCATTGTGACTTTCATTATGAACCTAGTCATGCACATCCCATTTCACTTTTTACCGAAATTTCACAGTTTCTTTTTACATTAGTTTTTTCAACACTTCAAGAAACATTCGCTTTTAATTTCAATTTTAGACTCTATTTATAAAACCTCATTTTAAACTTCAGTTTTCCCAAATATTTGTGTAACAAATTTTATTTTAATATGTGTAGTTGTTCTTTTAGGAAGTTATTCAGCTTGAAATTGTTTTAAGTCTTGAGACATCTTTTTAATTATAAAATTTGTTTTTATTAAAATCGTATAAAGTCAATACATAGTTTTAAAAAGAGCAACAATTTTTGTAACTAATTTAAAAATTTAGACATATTGTGTCACATAATTCTAAAATTAATTAATTGTCAAAAATTAATTTTCTAAATTAATTGTCAAAAAAATACTTATCATACAAAAATTCTTTTTTCATTTGTTTACCATTAATGATGAATCAATTCTTTCGATATTTTTCATGATGTGTTTCTTCTAAGGAACGGCTAATGCAGCAAGTATCAAATAAGTTGATGTAATTATCCATATTCGTTGAATCCAGCAGATATATAAATGATAAGTCTCAATTGAAATTGCAAACCATTAAAAACGATAACGAAATCAATGACATTAATCGTCACACTGTAATTCAAATAAATAAATATTAATAAAAATGCAAATTTATACACAAAAGACAATTTTACACTATTTTTTATAACTACCTTGAAGAATTCTCGAGGAGATTTTCAAGAGTGAAGATATACTGTTCTAAATTTAATCCGTTATATAATTTTAAATTATTCCCCCTCACTAAATCTTAATTTATAATCACAATAGTTTCAACCTTAATTTTGCTCTTGTCGCTAATAATTGCCACTTGATAATTTTAACTGTTTCCGATGGATTATAAAAGTTTACTGCTTCCATGCTCTTCGTTTAAAAAAGATACTTTCTTGAAATTCCTTTCCTTTTGATATTGGTAGTTTCTATCAAGTAATTCTATTTTAATAATTTTATATTAAACACTTTTTGTTGAAGAAACTATTTTACTTCCAAGTCATTTTTTTCTTTAAGATCTCAATTTTTTAGACATTAATTTCATTTTATGCAGTACATGCGGTAAAATTGGTTGTTCCATTTGTGACATCGAGAAAAGAGGATTATTTAAATTATCAAAATATTTTTCCTTCAAACATTCAAATTGTGTTTGCAAACCGGGAAGTCTGGAAGACTTTGTACTGAGTTCTTGATTTCTCGACGAATTTTTATTCAATGAATCTAATTCTTTCACGTATGGATTTACTTCATTACATAAAGACTTTCGAGATTCATAAAATTCCATTCCACCAAAAGTTTTTTTTGGAATTGACACTTCATTAGTTACTATCCTGGAAAAAGGATATTTTTGTTTGTTATTTACTCTAATGGAAGGTTTATTGAAACTTCTCTCAATTTTCCGATGTTCGTATTCCCTTCGTCTGCTGCGTTTCTTACGAATCAAATATTTATTTTGAATCGGATAAAAATGTAACGTATTGAAAAATGGTTCATCTGATGAAATAGTTGATAAAAAATCTGAAGGATTAATGCCTTCTGTTGATTGAAAGTATTGTTGAAATACAGGTAAAATGACTGCTGTATTTGAAAGTGAATCATTGTAATTTATTTTAAAATTTGAATTATTTTTTAAGGGATATTTTTTAGTTTTTGCGATATTTGATGACTTTCTGTAACGTGGCATTGAATTAATAGTAAAATGTTTATGACCTTTATGTTCAAATGGTATATTTCTAGATTTATTTGCAGAAATGTTTTTCAAATGATCAGACTCTTGCTTTGTTAATAATTTTACATTTTCTGACAAAAGTGGATCAGGTTTAATTGAAGTTTTGTCCCCTAATTCCTTCAAGTTTTGTAGTTTTGTACTTTTGACTCCTTCTTTCTTGAAAAAATTGTCATATATATTACTGTAATTAGGGGTAGAAGGAAGTTCATTTACTATACTTCTCAATGTAGTACCAGTGTAATAATTAGAATTAATCGTAGAGTTTGGTTTTATATCAAATTTTTTAACAGTTTCTACTACTTTCGAAGTATTTGGACTTATGTTGAGCACAAGATCATTTTTATTATATTTGTTTCTTTCAAGTGTCGTATAATTTCTTTTTGATTTCTTCGCGTCATTATTTAATCGTTTCCTTGATTTCTTTTTAGAAATATGCCTAATATCTGGCTTTAACTGCTGCCCTTCTTTGACATTGTCGGAATCATCAGCGTATTGTAAATGTGATACTTTTGAAGGTTCGTATGAATAATTATTTTCGACATCTCTTTCCAGTTGCTTTATTCCTTGGTCCACTACTAGCTTAGGGTATGTTCTAGATTTTAAAAATTTCCTAAAGTGTTTGTCTGTTTGCCTGTCCTTTTTATTTGTTTTCTCTCTTTTATTTACAGAATTCGGTACAATTTTGAATGTTTTTGGATATTTACCATAAGTATGAAAGTTGTCTTCGTCTGCAGAATTTGGATGAGGATTTGCTGCTTTTTTTACATTATGATTATAAAATTTCTTTGCATACTCTTCGTTATAATTTGCATCCCGTAAACGCCCTCCATGATCGTATGCGGCATCTTCGTAACCTTCTTCAGTATAAACGGTTGAAATTTTTTTATTTGTTATTACCTCCTTTAAATTCGCTGCATTTTCTTTACTTTCTTCGGATGCATCTTCATTAATAGCCTCTTGACGCGGCACTCGCTCTATGACATGGGATGCTCTCACTTGTGTATATATCTTTGTAGGAACAAACTTAGTGTCTTCTTCTGTCCGTGAAGAAAGTGTGGATCTTTTTCCCAATCCTGATTTTGTGAAATCTTCTTTATTTTTAAGTAAAGAAGAATTATTTTGAAAATTTTCTTCTTTTTTGTAACTTTCTTTTGGATCAAAAATCCTTGATCTGTTGAAAATTATATCACTTGGTGCTTTCAGATTTCCTCGATTTATCTGTTTTAAAGCTATGTAATTATTGCAAAAAGCTTGCGTAATAACTAAAGAGAATATCACTTTGAACATAGTTTTTAGTAGAAACATATTTTTTTAAAAATACAACCGACAAATGAATTTGAGTATATTAACAAATATTTTACAAACATCTTGTCACTTTTTCTTTTTGAAGGAAAACAAAAGCTTTTGTATCAAATAAATCACTTATTCCATGTTAGGTATAATTAAAACAATCTTTAATTTTTTGATACAAGGAGAACAATTTTTAGACAGTATGCTTTCATTTCACCAACTTTATTCTACTGCATTTAGAGTGTAAATCACAGGCAACTTTATATTTGTCATCGATACGGACAATTAAAGTTTGGACAATACTAAACAACATTAAAGCGTAACTTAATGGAGTGACAGTGGTTCCAGATTCCGAAAAGCGTGATCTAATATCATAAGTAACGGCTACTCTGCGTTACGCTCACTGAACGCAATTCGATCAATTCAGTGATTTTATACAATGATAGAGAAATTCTTAATTTATATAAATAAATTTATCATTGAAGATTTTGGTTTACATTTATAGTCAAAAAACAATACAATATTAAAAGTTGGTTCAATAACCAATTTAGATTTAAATTTATTCAAAAAACTAAGAAACAAGTTGACAATCATAAAATGTTGATGCCTTTTTCTAAGGAAAGGCATATATTTTAGTTAGCCCACTTTCTACGTTCATTTCTGAGTCGGACAATTTAAGCAACTTTCACTTCCTTTTTTTCTAAAAGTAGAAAATACAGCATTTCATCGAATTTTGCATTGGAAAGAAAGAAATTTTAATAAAATAAATATTAGTTTTCGAATGAGTATTTGTTTATGAAAGAAATTTTAGTTTTTCCAAAAATTGAGAGTCAGCTCCTCCAAGAATGAAAAAAAATTGAAACTCAAAATTTTGATTGTTGAAAAGCACATCGAAAAACTTGAAATTTTTGAAAATATTGAGAAAAATGCATGTACCCCACCCCTTAATTATTAAAGCTCAGATCAAGAAAAATTAAAAGGTTACGGTTTGAAAGATAGTATTTCCCAAGTCTCTCTTCATGATCCTATAACTTACCAGTCCAACAATAATTATTCTAAATAGGATAATAAATCACAAAATTAGCAACAATAATAATCATCATCATTATTAACCATTTTTTCAGATAAAAAGTGTTAAAAGAGTACAAAATTAAAAAAATTAAATTTTTAATTACTATAACATTTTTAACATTGTGAAATGAAAGACATACACCATTCATGCAACACCAATGTAACAATTGAATTTAAAAATTCGATAAGCATAAAAAATGCTATTATAAATATCAGAAAAATAAGTTTCTATCTTATTATGGTATTCTAAGAAAACAGTAAGTTAGAAAATAAAATCTCTCAAAAACACAACATTACTGAATTATCAGCCTCATTATCAGCCTATACTGTACAAAAAATAAACTTAATTAAAAGTCTCTCATTGCAGCAATAATGTTTGATAAAGCTGTCCTGGCATCGCTCTCCTGAAATACATTTAGAACTTCCATTGCTCTAAGAGAATGTTCTTTTTGCAACTGTTTCGACAGTTCTATTCCAGGCCCGTCAATAACCATATCATATATCTGTAACAGATTAGAAATTTTTTTTTCTTCTTTAGATTAAATGGATGATTAGAATTTTTAAATTAAAACATAAAATTTTGACCAACACCTTAAACAAACTTTTTAAATTTTCATAATGTCTATACATAATTTGTTACAGGTGGTGCAAAAACATTCTCGGACTGAGTTTTCAAAAATTTTAATTTTTTAATTAGTTATAAATAATTAAACTTTAAAGTATGTACACTTTTAGAAAATTCACTATTGCTTCCATGATTTACAGGTCAAATTTTTACGAAATTCCAGTGAAATTTTAAATCTAATTTCATTATTTTTGGGCTCTTTAAAAACACTTTACTTATATTTAATAGTCTCCACCTTTTGGTAAAAATTCTAAAATTACCAAAATTATCAAAAATTCGAAAAACCGAATTTTTTAAAATTCAACATTTTTTCCTTTCTTTTATGCCATTTAGCTTCATTATTTTTGTGCTCTTGGAAAATACTTTACTTATTCAATTGTCTCGACTCTTTGGTAAAAAATCTAAAATTATCGAAAATTATCAAAAATTCAAAAATCCGAATTTCTTAAAATTCAACATTTTTTCCTTTCTTTTATGGGATTTAGCTTCATTATTTTTGTGCTCTTGGAAAATACTTTACTTATTCAATTGTCTCGACTCTTTGGTAAAAAATCTAAAATTATCGAAAATTATCAAAAATTCAAAAATCCGAATTTCTTAAAATTCAACATTTTTTCCTTTCTTTTATGGGATTTAGCTTCATTATTTTTGTGCTTTTGGAAAATACTTTACTTATTCAATTGTCTCGACTCTTTGGTAAAAAATCTAAAATTATCGAAAATTATCAAAAATTCAAAAATCCGAATTTCTTAAAATTCAACATTTTTTCCTTTCTCTTATGGGATTTAGCTTCATTATTTTTGTGCTCTTGGAAAATACTTTACTTATTCAATTGTCTCGACTCTTTGGTAAAAAATCTAAAATTATCGAAAATTATCAAAAATTCAAAAATCCGAATTTCTTAAAATTCAACATTTTTTCCTTTCTTTTATGGGATTTAGCTTCATTATTTTTGTGCTTTTGGAAAATACTTTACTTATTCAATTGTCTCGACTCTTTGGTAAAAAATCTAAAATTATCGAAAATTATCAAAAATTCAAAAATCCGAATTTCTTAAAATTCAACATTTTTTCCTTTCTTTTATGGGATTTAGCTTCATTATTTTTGTGCTTTTGGAAAATACTTTACTTATTCAATTGTCTCGACTCTTTGGTAAAAAATCTAAAATTATCGAAAATTATCAAAAATTCAAAAATCCGAATTTCTTAAAATTCAACATTTTTTCCTTTCTTTTATGGGATTCAGCTTCATTATTTCTGTGCTTTTGGAAAATACTTTACTTATTTAATAGTCTAGACTCTTTGGTAAAAAATCTAAAATTATCAAAAATTCGAAAAAATTCAAAAATCCGATTTTCTTAAAATTCAACATTTTTTCTTCTCTTTTATAGGATTTAGCTTCATTATTTTTGTGCTCTTGGAAAATACTTTATTTATTGATTAGTCTCGACTCTTTGGTAAAAAATCTAAAATTATCGAAAATTATCAAAAATCCGAATTTCTTAAAATTCAACATTTTTTCCTCTCTTTTATGCCATTTAGCTTCATTATTATTTGAATTTCTATTCAAGAGAAAAAATGGAAAACAGGAAAAATTTAGAAACTTTTAAAAATTCCAGGCCTTTTCCATGATTTCCCTGATTTCCAGAAGCATTTTAAAAATTCCATACCATTTCCATGATTTCCATGATTTCCAGATTCTGTAGGAACCCTGTTTTTTGATAAAATTAATAATATTTGGTAGAGATGTACATTATTTTTTAATGCCTCTATTAATAACAACAAGAATTTTAAAAATTCATGATTACTTAGACAATTAAAGTTTGAAGTGACTTCTGGAATAGTTACGAAAAAAATTCAAAAATTGCAAAAATCTATGTTTTCCACACTTTAATTAAAAAAATTATAGGCGCCTATGTACTTTGCTAGTCATTTAAAAATAAGAAACATTCTTAACAGTAATAGATATTTTTCATAGAAATATAAAAGTAATATTGAAAAAAGAGTCTTAAATTTTGATCTTATTTAAATAAAAAATATTATTAAATTATCTTACCTTCATATAATCTACATTTTGTACAGAATCAAGGCCTTTATTTATTTCTTCCAGAATGCTTTGGTCGTATTCAATGTGAAACATCACAGGGGCAGAACACAAACTAAAAGGAAGAGTTGGATCTTTGCTGATGAATGGACCTAAGTCCAAACAAGCCTAAAATAAAAATAACACATTTGCAGATTTACTGGTTCACAATGCATAGAAACATTTTAAATATGTAGTTATAAAGTGACATAATTTAAATACTCAGTAAAAAGCAAAGAATTCACAAGTTTAATTTTTTTGGTATAGACACATTTAGACCGAATTTCATAAGAAATTTTATACGAACTCTGAACGATTTCGCTTGGATTAGAATGTTGTATGAATTCGTATGTCGCTTACAAACATTATTTTTGGTTAAAAAATTTTTTCGAATTGCTTACAATCATTTTGGAAATATTTGCACAGATCATCTGAGAAAAGTTCTTAAAATGATATACGAATTTATAACGAAATTCTACATAAAATCTAAACGACATCTGCACTTAGCTTTTGTAATTTCTTATTTGTCTTGGCAAAAATATATGTTATTGTCTAGGTGATGAATATTTTATAGAAAAAATGGCAAAGATGCAAGAAAATTCAAACAAAACCTTTGGTGTAAGTAAAAAAAATTTGTTTGCTGGCTTATTGTGTAACAATTTGGTCACCAATTTTGTTAAAACTGTTTTTATATGTAATACAACATATATTTTGTAACAGGAAAATTATTGTGTACTGAATGTTACAAAGTTTATCCTTGTCGACTATTAATTAGAAGATCGGGGTGATTTTTGTATTGGTAATCATCTTTGTTGTAAGTCTTGTCTATTCATTAAATCCTGATAGTCGACAACGCTTGATTTTATTAGGGTCACACATTTTACCCACCTTGAGATAAAAATACCTAATTTTAAAATTTAATTTTTAAAAAATAAAAAACATCTCCAGCAACTTGCAAAAATACGTTTTTTTGTTTACTGTTCTACCATTCGAGAATACAAAAGTAAAATATTAATTAAAAATATTAAAAATTACAAGAACTACAATTTTTTATAAAATACAAATTTTTTTTTTAGAATTTTTTTCTATAATAAAATAGAATATTATTAGAAAGTTTTTTTTATGGAAATTTAATGATAAGTTTTTAAATGGTATAGTTTTGAAAAGTAAATAACAGGGTCACAGAGACCCAGAGTGTGTTTCTTGTTCGAAAAAAGAAGTGTATGCTCCGAGAGTTAATATGCGAGTACGGACAATGCCCGTAATTCATTTGCAATTTAAATTAAATACATTTTCCGAATTTTGAAATATTTATAGTAAATGAAAATAAAAACTTGAGATCTACCTGCCAAGCGAGAGCTAAATGTTTTCCAAATTTAAATCCTTGGTGCTGCATATCCACATCATGTCCTGCAAGTTTCAAAGTTCCCTGACATGATTTTCCTAGAAGAGAACCAGCACTTAAAACATTCCGGTGAGTCCATTCGTTTACAGCATAATTCGATTCATTTGCAGATGGAAGGGATGGTAATGGGTGATTTTGACTGTCGCGACGACCAACAAACTCGGCCTCTGCTAAGTCGCGTACTGCACTTGACATTAACTCTACTAACTGAAAATTAAAATAAATGTTTTTTAATTTATATTACCTACATTATTTATCATTTTCGACTATTTGAAAAAGATTTTTAAAACATCTTATCAATATTAATTAATACATTTAGAAATAAATCTTATGATTGCAAAAATATTATAGTTTGCTGTTCTGTACAATAACTATAAATAAATTAAGATATGCAAAATTTTAGAATATTTTATTGAACTTACATCTTGATTTCTTAAAGCTGCTAGTTCTGCACAACTGTTGCCTAATAAATAATCACCACTTAATAACGCAATTTTATTTCCGAAAGTCATATCATTCATCTCCGCAGCTTCAGGATAAACTCCATGTTGAATGTTTACCAGACCTTTATGGACCAGATGACTGGTTCGTATCATTTCCGTAACTTCAGCTAAAGCACGTTGGCTATAATTTAATAATGCTGACTTTTAGATTTTGTTTAATAAATCGTCGACACTTTTGTTAATAAAAAAATTAATTCTTACATTAATATAAAAAAACTCCACCGATAAGCCTTTTACTCAAAAATATTTAAATAATAAACGGTCACTAACTCCAAGAATATATAAAAATGTATATATTCTCAAATAGTACATAATCTTGCGCCTAGCTAACATTTAAAAGGTGAATGACAAAACTTTAGACTGATGTTAAAAAAACCTATTTGTTGAATAGTTTTAATGCTAAAATTAAAAAACTTTAAATAACGAGAATTTATGAGGGAAAAGTTAAGTAAATGTCAATAATTAATATTAAAAAGTTAAGATGTCAAGAAAATAAGAAATGTGGTGTTTAAAATTGCATCTAAAGAGAAATGATAAATAAAATATAAGTTTAAACCTAATTTTTTTCTAAAATAGAGAAAACGTTACCTATGTAAAACACCCGCTGCTTTATCCTCTTCCATGTCATCTACATTAAGGTGTCCAGCTGCTTTTGATATCAAAAGAACGATAAGTCCCCATGCTTGCATATTGCGTCCATTATAAATTAAGCTTCTGTGAATTAAAATTATATTTTCATGAGGAATACGATTAGAATTGATTGTTCCGGAGATTTTAAAGATTTTCATAAAAAATTATGTATCCGCTTTTTCCCAAACTCAGACATTTAAATGTATTTTTCTGAAAAAATGCTTCAATTATTTATGTATCAAAAATGAATCCTAAATTTCCACCAGTTGTTGTTTTATATAAACATGTTATTGATATAATTATAACTTGATAATTTAATAAATTAATTTTAATTAATAACATTTTTATCTTATCCTTTTCTTAATATTAAATAGAAATATTAAGTCGTTTATGTCGTATCTTCAGATTTAGTTATTAAATTTTTATTTTTTAACTTTACAATAATTCACCATTTAGGATCTGCATAAACATCGATTTCGATAACATAATGTTTCTCAAGAACTCCAAAAATAACCCGCTCGAAAATTATATGCAATTAATTACAATTTTTAATTTCTTGGTTTACGTTCATCAAATTAAAGTAAAAATTATAATCTTGTAATTTGTAATGACAATATTAACTTTCAGATATTCGAATCTAATAAATTTGCAATTCTGACGTCAAAATCATAATCAGATACCCAAAAATACTATACTGAATTAAGCTTGATAGTAATTGGTAACAATTATAATTTTCGATTTTTTATATCGAAAACATTTCTATTAATTTTTTTATTTTGCTTTTTTATGGACAGAGTTTTTATTTATTGAAACAAATAAACGTGAAGGAGTTTTACAATAAAAAGTCATATACCTATTATTTCTAATTAGTTTAATAAAATGGTTTCCTTCACGTGGCATATATTGGAAACAATATCATTGAATATTTTTTTACAGGTAAGCATTTATGAATTTCATAAATTTTAAATAAGCTTTAAGCAATGTACGGACAAAAGCTGAAATTTATTGGCAGGTACTAAAACCTGTCGAAGACGGGTACGACAGCTAGTATGATAAATATGCCTATTAATGTTTATCCACATTCGTTAAAACTTGTTCGAATTATAGTGTTTACAAAAAACTTGATCCCTACACACACAGGTACATCTGAACCTTTGATTAGGAACTCATATATCATATTTCTATATATATGGGCGATTCTCCACACAGCACACGACTTGGTTTTCCCCAAGTTTTGAAAGAAAAGAACACATTTCAGTTTTTTTTCACTATTGCAATTCAATGTGAATAAGTAATTTTTTGTTTTAACCATTTTTTTCGAATTCTATTTATAAAAAAATAAAAAAATAAGTATTTTCTATTTTGATTATTTTTCTAGAAAAAATTATAATCAAATTCTTTACAACGATTCAATTATTTTCAAAAAATATTTGAAATTCAATTATTTTCAATATTTAGTATTTTCATAAAATTTCGCCAAAGAATTCAATTACTTAAAAAAAAATTGATAAAATTCATCCAGAATTCAATTATTTTCACAAATTAAGCTTGCCACAAGAATTCAATTATTTAAAATAAAATTTTTATAATATTTATCATATTTCAAAAAAATCAATTATTTAAAACAAATTCAATTATTTTTAAAAATAACAAAATTTTCCACAGAAATGCAATTTTTTTTAAACATTTTTCGCAATAATTCAATTATTTTTGAAAATTTTAATAAAATTTTCATCAATATTACTCAATTATTTCCTTAAATAATAAAATTCATAGCAGGATTTTAATTATTTTTAATACAATTTTACAGGAATTGCTCAAAATATGTAATTATTCTTAAAAGTTTAATTTTAATTCCTCGAAAGAACAAGTTATTTAAAAAAAATGTTTTTTTAAAATTCTTTGAAAGAATTTAAATATTTACAAAAATATTAAATTTTTTATAGAAATTCAATTATTTTAAAAAATTCTAATAAAATCATTCACAAGAATTCGATTTTTTTCATGAATAAGAAAAATTTTTTCAGGGATTCAATTATTTAAATTAGAATTTGCATAAAATTAGTCTGTTAAAAGACACAGATTCACAAGTTTCAAAATATAAAATAATTTAATGTTTAAATAATTCATTTTGTAAAATTAATGAATAGGTAGAATTTATTTACAATGAATTTTGCAATAATTTAAAAATTTTTGCAAATATTTCAATACGTAGGTAAAATAAAAAGTACAGTGTTCCAACTTGTTAAATTAAAAATCAAATATTTTGTAAAACTATATTTCATAGAATGTTTCCAAAAAGTAATTTTTATACTTGTTAATAATACATTAGAATAATCGTAATTATAAAAATAATAAATCTTTAATAAACCGATAATTAATGAATAGAAAAAGTTTGCATCGTGGAAGAAGGATGAAAGTGAATTCGTCATTTAAATCCCTTTTCCACTTTAAAAAATAATTTATCAAATTTTTATCAAAAAATAAAGAAAATATTAGAGAAACACTTTACAGAACAGTCTTTTTCCTCTTTGGAAAAATTTCACGCGGCTCCAATTTTAAAATTCAAAACAATAAAAAGAAAAATGACTGAGAAAATTAGGATAGATAATGATGCGACGTAAAATAATAAAACTATATAAATATGCAACTTACTTAGCAGTCTTCAGAAGTGGATGATTGGAACCAACTAATTTTCGTAAATGAAGAGCAACATTTGCAATCTCGTCACTGAGAAGCCAACGCAAACTCATAAAAGAAGTAGGATAACCAACAATTTTCTCTGCTTCAGAAACAGCTCGGTTCCAATCTGGTTTTTGACTAGTTGCTGCCTTTGTACTAAATTCTTTTCTTAATCTTAAGTCCGCTTCATGTTTTCTTTCGAATTGTGATTTAGAATTAACTTGCGATTGACACTTGTTCAGCAAAAAATAAGAGAAACGGGGTTTTCTTAAAATTGTATGGAAACTATTTGAAAACATTTTGAAACAAAATTAATTTCTTCTTTTTTCTTTGAGCGAACCCTTTTGACTGAATGCTTTACAAAATATATTCATATGGAATTCTTTACGTTTAGAAAAAACTTTCTCTTTTGTCCTCCTTTCATTAATAATAATATGAACTGACTTTCCAAATTTCCTGCGCTTAATTAAAAGTACCAAATTTTCATTACTCTCACTTTTAATTTAATTGTCAGTTTTCTTGTTGAAATAAAGAAAAGCAATTATCTAAACAAGAAATGTTATTGTCATTTTAAAATTATGCCAAAAAAATTGACATTTACAGTATTTTTACCTACATCATGACCTTGTATTATGGAAATGGAAATAAACATTCAGAAACATTTGTCGTAAGGTTAGGATGACACAAGAAAGGTCAAAACATAAAGCCGTATGCACAATAGTCTCGCCAACAAAAGGCCAACGCACGAGCAGACTGGCTTCGCGAGAACGTCGTTCGCGAAATATTGCGTGAATGCGTGCTGGGTTCGACAAAACGTTACGATTTCCGTAAGTAGAGTCTACATTGGATGAACGCGAACGTTGCCGTGCTGACGTCACCCATTTGAATAGCATGGGTGACGTCAGACGTTCGCGTACACGTTCACGTTCGCGTACCATGGAATGTAGACTCTACTTTAAGACGCGGAAATCGAGACTCACTTATGACGTCTGAATTTAAATTGTAAACAAATACTATTATTTAATTAATTATTGAGTTTTTATAGAAAAAATTTCTTTATTAATCTTTTTAAATTAAATTAAAGTCACTGAAATTTAATTATTGAATATTATAAATAGTTTATTTAATAGTCAAAGGTTCTTAAAATAATCATTAATATTAATTGAATCTTATTTGTTTAAAGGCCAACGCAGAATAGATCTGTAACCGGAACCGCAATCGTAACCGTAATCGTGACCGTAAGCGTAAGAATGAGTTAGAGAAGGATAAACAATATACCTATCTTTCCTTAACTCATTCTTACGGTTACGCTTACGATTGCGGTTCCGGTTACAGATCTATTCTGCGCGTTGGCCTCAAGGGCCGTTCCAGAATGAGAAAAAACAAGGCAGAACGCAACGAAGACGCGACGCGTCCCCATTTGATTAGCATTGGGACGCGTCGCGTCTTCGTTGCGTTCTGCCTTGTTTTTTCTCATTCTGGAACGGCCCTAATTTGTTATTTATTTATGAAGTTAAATATTTAAAATTACTTAAAACGAAATTCCCTATTCTAGTGAATTATTGTGATTTTTGTATTTCTTTAAATTTACTAACTTACCAAAGACGACACTATGAAGGTCAACGCAGAATGAATACGGATACGGGAACAGGGCATTGGAAAGAAAAGGACAGACAGTTTCTGTCATTTTCTTTTGCATGTCCTGTTCCTGTATCCGTATTCGTTCTGCTTTGGCCATAAAGGTGCTTCTATACCTCCGGTGTTTTGGCCAAGCAATCGGCTGGATGCATTTTCACGGTCGGATCACGTAATTTGATTGGCCGATTGCTTGGCCAAAACACCGGAGGTATAGAATCACCTTAAGGCTAAAGTCCCATGGCACCGTTTTGCGTTGCATTTTGTAACTAGGCCATGAGTGCAAATATAGCAAACATATATCTTCATCTCTCTCACACTCATGGCCTAGTTACAAAACGCAACGCAAAACGTGCTATTCGGATCCGAAATCACATGAAACTGACCCATCCCTGTTCCCACTTGTGCCGACATCTTGGTTTTTATCTCTTTTTTGTACATATGTTAGAGAGAGACGAAATGAAAAGAAACTACCAGAAGTGGCACCTTTAAGGTGCCGTCCCATGTCGGCGTAAAAACGTCAAAGCGTCGGCGTCAAAACGTAAATGCATGAGAGTGAAAGAAACAACCTTATATCACTATCTCGTTCACTCTCATACTTTAACGCCGACGCTTCGACGCTTTGACGTTTTTACGCCGACATGGGACGGCACCTTTATCATAAGCGTTCGTGCTGATGAAAAAAAAGTTGTTGTAGAAGCAGCCTAAAGTTGATTTCACCGAAACGCTATATTCATACTGCTATTTAAAAAGATTAATAAGTAGTTTAATAGACTTCTTATAAATCTAATTTAATGTTTTATTTAATTTCTTTAAATTTCTTTTTATTTTTTAATAAATAGATAAATAACAAGTAATTGATACAAACATATATTGACATATTTTCAATCAAAAATTTTTTTGTGAAATTGAAAGTGATTGTTTCCATAGAAAGTGAAAATATTTTTTTCAAATTACTTAAAAGTTGAAAAAAAATCAAGATTTTCTTTCTTGGACAACTTTTTTTCTAAACTCAATACTTTCAAAGTTATAAGCTACTGAAAATAGGTCTACTTTTAAAAATTCAAAATTTCGAAAATTCATAACTTGAAAATTTGGGAAAAATTATTAACACAAAATAATACAAAATTTATTAATACAAAAGTCAAAAAATAGGTACATATGTAATATTTTTCTATAAAGAACGAGAAAATAATATGCTTAACCGATTTTAAAATGTCAGAAAAATTTCATGTAGAATTGCCTATATAACATTTTTTATTTCTGCTACTTAATTTAGTAATTAATTAATTAATTATTGTTATTAGGTAATTATTAATTATTATTATTATTATTAATTATTATTATTAATTATTAGTTATTAATTATTAATTATTAATTATTATTAATTACTAATAAATATAGCTGACCTAGCTTGACCTAGCTGACTGAATAAATAAAAAATATGATCCATACTTCTCCTTTTTACTTAAATTAAAAATTATCCAAGTTAGCTATTAAGGTACTCTCTCACCTCTACTGCCTGCCTGCGCAGGCAGGCGCAATGAGAGTAAGGGAGAAAAAACATTTAATTTGAATTTTCTGACTCTCTTACTCTTATGTGTTACCATGACGACCTGCAGGCAGGCAGGTAGTGGAGCTGTGCGAGCGCCTTTAAGGTACTGCCACAGCTCGCTGCTTCTGCCTGCGCAGGCAGTTGAGATACAATGAGAGTAAGGGAGTAAGAAAATTCAAATTTATGTTTTTTCTCCCTCACTCTCATTGTATCTCAAGCTACCTGCGCAGGCAGCAGCTAGCTGTGGCAGTACCTTTACAGCAAACTAGCAACAACTAATATTAGCAGTCCGTGCTTGGGAACCCCGTAGCTGTTCACACATGCACTAGACATTATTATGAAGTAAAGTGTCAATGAGATTTCATTTAGTAAATAAGTTTAGAGTGGTAAATATGTTCAATTTTATTATTAGTATTTATTTTCGGTTTCCAAAATGTTAAGTGTTGAACTATTGCATTCGTCAAAAGTGTGGGACATGGAGGATTGTGTTAAAAGATTTGAAAGTAAGAGCTAAACTTTGGTATATATCAATTTAACCTCAAATTTTTCTTTTGTATACATTTTCATTTTAGTTTTTCTTATGTATTAATATTATATTTTTATAAATTAGTTTATTAATTTTAAGTTAAAAATTATCGAAAATTTATCTCTTTCCAGAAGAGAAAATATTAAAAATTCGTACAATTTACAATCTAATTAAGCATATTAAAGCTAATCATATTAGCCAAGTATAATTATTAGTTATGTTAGCTATTTTTTTAGCTAGATTATTTAATTGCTACAGCTAAAAATACCTAGATAATATAAAGTAGGTGCAGAAGCTAATATAATTGCTATCCATATAATAGCAATTAAAATTAGCTGCATCGGCTAACTTTTTTTCTCCCTTGTGCCTGCGAGCGAATTATACGTGGTTTAAGGATTTAATTCAAAGAATGTGTTACCTTGTTTTTGATTTGTGAATGATTTGATAACTTAAAATGATTAAATAATTTTAACTTATTAAAAATCCATCATTCAAAAAAAATATCCAATATCTTTTAATTTATTTGAAATAATTGGAAATATTTTTTAATTTTCAAAACAATTATTAAATTGTACACTTTTAAATCATTCAAGTTTTCTACAATTATACTTTTGGTTCAATAGAACCAAAAATTATTTATTTATTTTATAAATCGATGAATTTTCTTTATTCCAGATTTTACTTATTTTTATTTCAATACAGTAAGTTCGAAATATTTACTGTTACATTTTAGGGATTTTGACTAATTTCTTAAGTTTCTATGGCTCACATTATAACGGACAATTGAACGAAGAAAATAATCTAATTCCTAACATTTTTATAAATCAGGCAACGAGCTGAGCATATTGAACGAAAATGGAAAATTAGAGTATTTCATCCTACAAATTGTTAAATAATATTGACACTTCAAAACGTTAGAAATTGTTGGTCAAAGCTTATTTTATAAGCTTTCCACATCCGTAAGATTTAAGTCTCCATCTTTTTTTTTAACCCAAGTTTTCCAAATTTGAGTGGAGCTGTTTTAAGAATGAAATATGTAAATTGTTATAATTACATTTATTTATTAAAAATTTATTATTTTAATGTATACAAAAGATCCATAGTTTTAGTTATAATATGTTATTACTATATAAATATTGAATATCTATTCGTACAGAACTTTTCGTTGATATAGAAGACTGAAAATTTCTGCAATTTTGATTCATTTTGAGAATAATTTGAATTCAAAATTTTACAATTGTTGAGTATTTCTGAACGACTAGTCACGCCAGTAACGAAGTGTTTTAAAAAATGTTTATTTCTGTTCCGTTGAAGTAACCGAATTGAAGAGCTTTATATTGTAAAAAATGCTTTCTAAATCAGGTGTTTTGATAATAACATATAACACTTTCTAATAAAGTAAAAAGGGATATATCAGCATAATCGACAATAAGACATACTTTACATTAGCATTAAATGCCAAATATGATAAAATAATAGGATTTTTTTCACTTTGATTTTATATATTTACCTTCAATGCTGTATTCTTTATTAATCGTTGGATAAAGCTGTCAAGAAAAATCTTCCGTTTAAGTGAAATGCGTTTCTATGTACAATATTATAAATTACTCTTCAAACCACTTTCTCAAATTCTGATGTTTTAACGATATCAAGGATAAATTTTTTTTAACACACTTCCTAGTGGGCATAGGAAATGGATTGAATATTAGACGCATTTAGGACAGCCTGAGTCAATCCATACCTACTCATAGGAGTTTTTCAACATGTCTTATGTACAGAACAACTCTTTTAGAACCGCCTTTTAATAAAAAATGAGCCTTTCAAAAATGTCCTAAAAGCGATTTAAAGACAATTCATCATCCCCTGCTCACTGAGTTCTACTTATTTTTTCAATTTATATAATAATAGTGCATATGTGTAATTAACGTCTACGGAATTCAAATGGGAGATCTGGAATTTGATAATTATATCCAACATTTGGTCTATATGTACTAGGTGGTATAGTTGGTGGTGATGCAGGAAATCCTGTCGGAGGAGGTAAAGAAGAGGTGCTAGGTGTTATACTGTATAAAGGTGTTGGATATGGTGGAGGTGTTACAGTAGGGTAGTTGGGTCTTGGGGAAGAAGGTGGTAAGTAAGGAGGAGGTCTGGTTCCTGGTTGGGAAGGAAGTCGTGGACTAGACGTTGGTGTCCCAAATGATATAGTTGGTCTGCTAGTTGGTTGAGAAGGAAATCTTGGTGTTTGGGAGGGAGTTTGAACTGATGGAACGAAAGGTGTATTTGGTCGAGTTGGGTTAAAAGGCGTCTTGCTAGGTTGAGTACCTGATGGTTTAAAAGGTGTACCTGTTGAAAATGATGGTTTAAAAGGTGTACCTGTTTGAGATGTTGGGAATGATGGTTTAAAAGGTGTACCTGTTTGAGATGTTGGGAATGATGGTATAAAAGGTGTACCTGTTGGAGATGTTGGGAATGATGGATTAAAAGGTGTACCTGTTGGAGATGTTGGAAATGATGGATTAAAAGGTGTACCTGTTTTAGGTGGTAAATATCCAGGTGGTTTTGTACTTATTGCTGGTGAATATTTAGATGTGAAAGTTGCTTGTGTAGATGGACGAGATTGTGTAGGACTCTTGGTTACATAAGATTGTTGAGTTGAAGGGCGTGATGATGGTGATGGTCGGGAAAATGGTGATTTTGTGGGTGAAGTAGGAGTAAATTTAGCTGTTTGAGTGAATGGTTTGTTAATTGGTGTTGAAGTATGTATCGTTTGTGTTGGTATACGAGATGGCTGAGGTCTCTTAGTAGTAGAAAAGCTAGGTGGAATATATGGTGATTTTGTAGATGACTGAGGGAATGTAACTACTGCTGGCTTTAAAGTCGATTCCGGTAAATTTGGAAAGTAGTTTGGTTTGGTTGCTTGAGATGGAGATATAAATATCGATTGAGTTGCAGGACGAGGTGTTTTAGTGAACGGTTGTTGAGTTGAAGTTTGAGGTTTTATTGTAGGAAACTGTGGAGTTTTTGCAAAGGTGACAGGTGACGGTGTTATTGAGAAAGGTGTTTTTGGGGTTGTGTAGACATATCCAGTTTGAGAAACTTTAGGTCTGTCGTTAGTTACACTAGGAAAAGTGGACGGTTTTGTCGGTTTACCAAATGGTATAGATGGTTTAGGTGAACTTGGTGTGTTGAAATTGAATGGTTGTTTAGTAGTAACAATTAAAGCTGGACGAGTAGGAATAGAAGGGACAGGTGGTTTTGTGGGCAAACTAAATGGTGGTTTTGTTTGCGTTGGAATTTTTTTAGTCGGCTTAAAGGTGGAAGCTGGAAAAGTGAACGGCTGCTTTGGTGTAGTATATTCATATCCACTACCCTTATTTGGTACTACAGTTTTTCGGTCTGTGGTACTTGTTGGTGGAGGTTTCCTTTCAGTAAATGTTTTCTGTGGAATTGAAGAGGTTTGTGACGAAGATGGAAAAGTAGGCGATACGGTTGGGCGAATATTCTTTGTTGGTGATGACGAAAACGTCGGTGGGCGAACCTTTGGAGATGTTATTGAAGTTGGTGGTCTAGTAGACTGATCTCTATAAAAGAAAAGTACATTAATTTTAACAAACCTAATCACCACAGTTTTCCTTACTAGGGTTAAAAATCGGTTTTGACCAATTTTTGATTAATTTAATGAAGATGGTTTACAAAAACTTTAATATTATAAACACAAATTTGCAATGGTACTTTTTCCTAAACAGTACAAACAACAAAAATTTCAATTTGATATTAATAAAAACTTTTGATATCAATAATAATAAGATGTTTGTTGCATGAAAAATATAAAAGAGGCTGTAATTAAACAATATGCTAAATGCATGTGGTTATTCTTTTACTTACTTATTTGGTAGAGTGAAAGGTTTGCCCGGTGGTGGGTAATTGTATCCATCAAAGGATTTCTGGTTTCTTGAATCGTTTTCGATAGCCCTCTTATCTCTTTCATGAGCATTGCAGAATGCGGGAACTATTATTAAGATAGTTATCCATGTTATTCTCCACTGAAAAATTGTTTTGGAAATGTAATTACTGACAGTAAGCAAGTGTGTAGAGGGTCTTTCATAAACTATGTAACACTATATATGAAAAGGGTTTCAAGCTATTTGCACGTGTGTTGCACGTGGAATCAGGGGGGTTCAAATTTCCAAATAGTGGCGTCTAAGATCCCTAGATAAATATTATTATGAAAAAAAATTAAAATTTCGCAAAACTGTTAAATTTTTATTTTTTCTTTATCATATAGAGTAGAAAAATGTTAAAACCATAAAAAATACTGGACCATCGAAAAATGATAGACCACTTCACAAATTTAGACACAATTACTACTTTCTTGTCATATATAAAATTGACCTTGACCATAATTGCTTTTTAAAAGCTTGAATTAATTTTTAAAGTTAAAGTATGTTAAAAATGTATTGAGAAGTGAGAATGTGGACAAAATTCGAACGTGGTCCTGATTACAGAACTGTCTGTGAACGGCACGCCTGGCGCCTTTTCTGCGCAGGTGTCACAGGTTTTTTATTTTACAAAACTGATCTGTAGTGAATAAGGGTAGGTTCATAAATTTTCCCATTTCTATTCCGTCTTCATTAATGGGCAATTTTATTTAGTTCTGTAATGGCTACAGATAAAATTTTCTCCGTAAATTAAAAATTTTACGAAAGCTTATATGACAATCTAAATCCTTGACAATCAGACAAAAACAAGAAGGTATCTTAATTATGCAACTAGCCCGGAGCAAAAATGGTCGATGAGTTTCAGAGTGACCCGTGTCCTTTCGTAATAATGATAAATACCTTGTCCTCCATCTTTCACATTTCTGCCTCTAATATTAACCCAGTGGTATTCAAGAAACATTGCATAATACAAGACACAAAATTACTCAGCATCGGATATTGCTTCCATCTTGTAATATTTTTTTATTTTAAATTAATTTTTATAAATTTACAGAAATTCTGTCCATTAATTCTGAACGTCTTTTTCAATTTTATTGTTTTCAAAACACAACTACACAAGAAATTATAATTTAAAGTCATTTTTAAGAATTTTTAACTAAAATTAGTATAGTTATGAATTAAATAACAATTAATTAAATGTACATTTTTTGATTTTTATCTTATATTTACAAAATTCCAAAAATAATGCCATGAATAAGAAGAAAATAATTAAGAAGTCTTTCAGATTAAGAATTTTTAAAAATAGAAACAAGGATTAGCATAAAATTATTTCAATATTTCGAAACAAGTTTTCATGTATTGAAAAAATATTTTTTCTTCCTCATGGAAGCATGGGTTTACCAAAAATTTTCAAATTTATTTTTTGGCGCATTTTTAAAAAATTCATTTCGTGTCTTTTGTAATATTTTAAAAACTGTTTTGCTTTGAATTTTATGATATATGTTTTATGACTGTAAATAAAGAATATATAATTGGTATAATTCATCCAGAAGGCATAACATTAATGAAACTAATAAATTCTCTATTATGAGTTATAAATTCATCAGCATTTTATACAGATTAGAGTAATATTCTTCAAGATAATAAATTTTTAAAAGTATTTATTGTGACAAAAAATTCAAAAATTCATGGACTTATGAACATTTTGATGTTTTAAAGCATTAAATATTAAATTTTGAGATTTCAGTTTTAAGAAACATGCTTAGACTTATAAAATAATATGCAATTCAAATAAAACAATTACAAGTGTAATAATTAATCATTACGTACAATTATAAAAAATGAAATATTTACAGAATAATTTGAAAATGTAATTTAAAACATTACAATTAATTTAATTGTAATAAAGATTAATTGAAAATTAATTAAAAATATATTTTTAATTATTAAAACATGATATTAAGAGTTGTAAAAATTGATGTATTTATATAAAATCGAAAGTATGTATGCGTTATACCAGATGCCCTTGAGGAATTCACCTGTTGTCAACGTTCTATTACACACTACTAATCCTCGAGTAGTTAAAAAATTAATTATTAAAGAAAATTTGAATTTATTATTATGATTCTTAAAATTTTAAAACCAGTTATAAAGTTCTTTTTAAATTCAATTTGACAAAAGTATTTGCTACCTAAATTAGATATTTATACAAATTCATCAAGAAGCTACATATTCTAAAGTCTACAAATTTCTTAAAATCTCTTTCTTAGAAACTATAAGCTGTACATGTTTAATCCAAAAAAAGAATAAATTTTAATATGCATAGAAAACAAAAATGCTGCTAAATGGTAATATTTTAAAATTCATTTTTGGTGAGTAATACTTTTCTTTTCATTTCATAAACACAGTGCTTCCGCATACGGATAACAGCAAAGCTCAAATAATTACATTAACCCCTATCGCTGAAGGGTTAAAGCTTAATTTAAGCTTAACATATAGGTTTAGTACACTTTTTTACACTTCGAGCAATTCTACAGGAATTAGATATTGAGAGACATTGTTGTAAATTCAAATTGATAGAACTTCTACAAAAATTAATGGATTTTATAATTTATGCAGTGAATTTTAAAGAAGTTCCCACAATAAAAGTATAAATTAGTAAAGTATTTTTTAGAAATTCAATTTGAAACCTTTTGAAAAACAATTATTTATAAAAAAATATAAACGCAACTCTTATAAAATTCAATTATTTTTTAAATTTATAAGTAAAATTATTCATTAAATAATTTAAATCCACCATTTCGAGTTTAAAAACACTGACTTCAAATTCACAATCAGTAACCTTGGGGACCCCCGATTAACTCTATTGAGTAAGAATTTTTGAAACGTGACACCTAAAATTCAAAAAATTTATTTTTCGCCAAAATATATAAAAACACATAGGGGCTGTTCAAAAAATACGTAACGCTATTTTTCGGAAATTTGGACCCCCCCTCCCCCCATGTAACGCAATGTTGTATACATTAGCGCATTACGTATTTTTTGAACGGCCCCATATATAAAAAACACTATATCAAAAGATTTGCCAAAAAAATTTTTTTTGTTATTATTATAAACAATTAAAGTTTTTAGACATTTAAAAAAAAAATTGTTAACCGATTTTAATGATCCAAGCGGCATTCTTTTTAATTTAAGTCAAAGTTTTGAATAAAATTTTTTTTGTAAAAAAAATATTAAAGTTTAATAAATAAACAAACTATTTATTTATAACAAATTAGCAAAAAAATGTTTGCAACCGAATTTTAAAATGAATATTCCGTTGAGAAAAAATAAAAATTTATTTATTTAGAAATAAATATAAATAAAATTTATTTAGTAATCCAATTTGGTCAATTTTGAGACATTTTTTGCTATTTTGAATTTTAAATAACTGATTTCCAATTTGTAATTAGCGACTCCAAATACATCAACATCTCGCGATGGTGTCAAACCAAGGTTACCTCGCGGAAGTGGTCGTGAACCTAAAAAGAAAGATCCTATGGCATTATCCTCGTTGTCAACGTCACCGAACTAGACTAGCACCACTTGATGTGATAACGGAGTACAAATTCAGTAAGTTATTTAAATATTTTTATCTATTACATTGCCAGTATATATAGCAACTATGATGAAACACTTTAATGATTCCAAGTCTTTCTTATTAATGAAATAGCAAATTATTACTGGGTGGATTCTATCCATTCTTACGCTCCTTAAGAAATTGTAAGAATATGTAGCTATGAAAAGAACTTCCTTATATCTAATTTCAAAATTGTTTAAACAAATTATTTTTGCTATTTTAAAAAAATTAGAGTGGCTTAAAAAACAAAAAAAGTGATCAATTACACCCATAAAAAAATGTTTGAATAAATTATTATAATCCCAATTTAAATTATTTAAATTTAGGTGAGACTGGGGCTAAATGTTAAACTATCAAGACAGTTAAAATTCATTATCTTTCGAACGGAAATAGTTAGAGCATTACAATTTTGATTATAGAAGGGTGTTATCACTCTAAATAAATGTTCGAAATTATGTGACATTCTGTTCATTTTTGTGTTGGGAAAACTTGCAGCAAACTTGCAGAAAAATACTGTGCTATGTGGGCAGTGTGTTTTGACCCTACTTTTGTAAATTTTTACGAAAAAGAAAATTTCAACTTTTAAGTATATTTTTTGAATTTATTCTCATCACAATTTATTTAGGTCCTTATTTGAGTCCCCTGAAGATGTACCTAAAGGTTTTTGCTAAATATTTGTAGTCAGATTTTGTATATTTGTTTTTAAAGCCAAAAACGCACCCAGGGGCTAAATGTTAAATGTATTTTTCCCATGTTTTTTTTTACATTTTTTTCTCGGTTTTTTATGTTTAAAAATTATTTATTTGCAATTAGACAAGTACTTTGTCAAAAAATAAGATCGCTCACGTGAAATAAACCAAATTTTTTTTTTTAATTTTAATTTATTAACTTTATAACTGTTTTAGCTAATAACTGTCTCCCCTAATTTAAATAAATAAATTATTCAGTATGTAATAAAAATTGTAAAAATTTAAAAAAATCAAATTTTTATTATTTAAGCCACTCTGATTTTTTTTAAAATAACAAAAATAATTTGTTTAAATAATTATAAAAATTATCATTTGCAAGCTACATTTTTGAGTTTAATTTATTTGAATAGAAAAAATTTAAAGATTAAACAAAAAAACGAAAATTAAATTTTTTAAAATAAAATTTAACAAAAAACATTAATTTGTTTAAACAATTGTTAAATATTCACACAACAACCTTTGTTTTTGTATACATATAATTATATTTAATTATTTCCTGCGTAAAATGTTGAGAAATGTAAAAAAATTAGAATTTTGTTGGTTAATGTTTAAAAAATGTATAATTAACAATAAAAAATTGTTTAAACAATTAAAAACTTTATGAAATTAATACTGAATGTTTAGATGTTAATTACCCATTAAATTTCGGGTAAATAATTCGAAGAAATATACTACAAATTGAATTTTTTCAATTATGTTCTTTTTCCAAAAGTTAATTAATTAATGTATTGTTTATTTAATAAAAGTTTAAGTATATAAAATTTTTTACTTCAGAAATACTAAAATATGATTTCTAATGTACTTAAAATTTTTTTGAATGTTAAAAACTTTATTTTATAGAAAAATATTGATTTTTTCATACTTTGTTATAAACAAATATATATAAATAAACAAAAATTAAAAAATCAGAATCGAGGAATCGATAAAAAATTTAGTAACGAAGATTTGAAAAAAAATTTTGTTTAATTTGAATGAAAATTGTGACCTCCAGACAGATTTTGACACAAAAAGTACATTTAGCCCCACTGTGCACTCGTTGTTACAACTATTTCTAACATTACGCTCGCAGGGGTAAAATATATTATTTTTTGTTAATTTATAGTTAAATGTCTAATTTTTAATTATCAATAAAAGTTTAGACAAAAATAGCGTTTATATAATTTTAACAATTTTTTTAATAACCTATGGCCATCTCCCATATAGTTACGTATTACAGAAGCTTGCAAAAAAAAATTCCGTTGTCTGAAGATCGAGAATTCATTTCCCGTAGTTTTTGGTGCGCTGAATCCGAATCTGACAAAGAAAACTTCCCATCACGTCAGGATTTTGAGAAAAGTGTGGGTAAAAGTCACAAAAATCACGTTGTTGGCAGTTTTTGAAAATTTCTTCCGGGTAAAACCGACCAGCTAGAGACTTGTGCAGGCTTTGTGTTATTAATTATTATTATTATGAATTATTTCATTTTTAAGAGGAGGGACCGGTGAAATTTTAAATCTTCGATAATTACATTGTTAAAAAGGGCTAATTTTTTCAAGGCATTATCTAGGATCTAAATTTATTCTATATAGTTAAAATTAAAAAATAAAATTTTCGGACATTTTGAAAATTTTATTTTTTGAAAAAATTAAAATTTTTCAAAATCGATACGATTGATTATACAGAATCGTAAGGAAAGCCTACCAAAAATTTGGCAACGAAAAATAATAAAAAATGTGAAAGTAGTTGAATTCTTTAAGAACTATATTAGTAAAATTTAATCCAAACAAAAATGATCATTTTTAGGGGTATCAAAATTTTTTTTACACTTTTTCAGTACATGAAATCATATTACACTTTAAAAAATTAATAAAAGTAATTTTTAACTAATTTACAATTTTTTTTATTTTTCAAAAAATTAAAATTTTTTGAAAAAATCAAAATTTTTGAAAATTTATATGATTGATTGTTCAGAATTATGAAATAAGTAAATAAAAAAATCGACAATGAAAATTAATCAAAATTACGAGAGTAGTTCAAATTTTTATTTTTTGAAAATTTTGATATTTACTTAAAAATGTTTAACTAATTAATTTTTTTAAATTTTTCAAAGCAGATTATAATTTAAAATACAAAAATTTGTAAGAAAAAATATTAACCACCCATAAACAACAAAAATTTAGATGAGATATAATTTCACCGGTCCCTCCCCTTAAATATTATAGTATTTCAAAATTAAAATTCATGGAGCATGTTCGCGGTAAATTTTTATAAGATTGTTTGATAAATTGAAAACAATATCCGTGAAAAAGTAAATCATGTAAAAGTCTGAAAGTCAAATTTTTTAAGGTTGAATTAAAAGTAGGTATTTTTATGGAAATCAACGACGTTATAAAAAAGCCCTTCTTGTATTGCATAAACAATAAATTGAATAAAATTTGTTTAACACTAATCAGGTACTAACTTGCACAAAACTAATTAAACTTTTTAAAAATTACTATTTTCTTTTATAGTATTATACGTGAATAAAATTTATCGACCTTATGGAAAGGTCATGTTTAAAATTCTGAACTATGAAATTTTCAAACTCTTTTTAGGAATTCGAAGAAGTGTAATATTAATAACTAAAAAATATTGCTAATTTTTAGTAAAAAATATAATTGAACTACTATAATTAAAAATGTATTAAATAATTGACTATTGTAGTTTTTAAGGTAATAATTTGAATTTTTATTTAAAAAAAGGAATTTGTAAAATTAAAAACACATTTAAGTTAAAAAATGACTTACCATTATTTACACTCAACACTTAAAAATTGTCTGCTTAAATGAAAAAAATATCATGCTATTCGAGATGAAGTACCTTGATACATAACTTGTGAGATTCACACGATTCAGCATTTATAGGATTCACCTTGTTAACAAAGTGGGGATCACTGTAAATGATGTTCCGAATGACCATACTGTAAACTACCTTTAAAGATGCTGCAATTCTTCTTCACTATAGTGAGCGGGAGGATAAGAAAATAACAGCAAAAGTAATAGAGAGAGAAAGCAACTAAAGGTGAGAGTGTCCAGACACAAGATGAGCAAGTAGTCTTTAGTCGAAAAGGTACAGTGAGTCTGCATGAGAAACTTTGAGCAACTTCAATAAAAATATATTTCCATTCAAATTGAAAAAACATAAAAAATTGTTTGTTTTTTTATTTACAATTCAAATTAACAATTTTGAAAATGTTTCTGTTTACTTAAAGCAAAATTAAATGATTAAAAAGAAAAACCATTTATTATACCATGCAAGATTTTATCATTGAGCATAGAAAAAAGAAAAGTTTCCTGCTTTTTTACTTTATTTCTTCCTGTTATCTTGAGATTTTTAAATAATATTTTAATCAATTACTTAAATAAATTCGATAAAATAAACCATTAAAAAGATTCAAAAATAGTAATATATTTATCGATACACTAGAAATAAAATTCTTTGTTTTCTCATTCTTCTTTTATAAATAGACTTTAAAGTTTAAACAATAGTATTTTCTTTAATGATATTTGGCAGATTGCAAAGAAAACTTTTTAACAAAACTACTATAAATGAGAATGTAATATTATTGTTATATAATTATCACAATAGTAAATTTAATACTTCTATTACAAAAAATGAAACGTTTCAAGTAAAAAAAAATTTCAGAATGTTATTTGGAAATAAATGTGACTACAAAATGAAATTCTTTAATTTCACAGAAACACCTAAGCGTAAACCGATACTCATATTGTGAGTGGTAACAAAAATGAATCTCGTAGTTAGTGCCACGTGCTACGTTATTTAACATTAGTTGAATTTTACTAGTAGAACAAATGAGTTCAGATTTTTTATATATGCTTTCCAAATTTTGATAATAAAGACTAAGACACTAATAATCGTTTTAGAGTTCCAAATAAAATTTGTGGCTTAAGAATACTAAAAAGCTCACTAAGCCTACAGTTTCATTCAAATATTATTAGATCGTGTTAGATCGAATCCTTACTTATACTGTTCCAAGTGCCTTTCTCCTCTCCCTCTCTCTCCCTCTCTCTTACTTTTTCAAAAACAGTTTTTCAAGTTATCTATTTATGTTTTCTACTTTTTGCAGAATAAATCCTAGAGAGCTTTATAAAAAAAATAAAAAATATAAAAAAAAATTATCTATAAATAAAAATTTAAAAAAATTATCTATAAATATTGAATCAGCTCTAAAAATCCATGGGTGGACAAATTATACCTACTTGCGTGTGATGGAAATTTTTATAAATTGTATTTTATTCTATAAGGGATGAGTTTTATGGTTAAGGGTAGTTTTAAAAAAATTAATTTAAAAACATCAAGATTCGCGGTAGAGAATCAGCGCCAAGTATAAACCGCGAATATATAATATTCTCAAAATATCGACTGCATTTATTAATCGCTGCGATTAATTAAAAATACTTTTGCAGAAAATTTCATTCCTGCCTTTAACGAAAGATTTTAAGGTTGAGTGTTGTTTTTTTAAAATTTCAGATGTTCTGAATTATGCCAAAATTTAATAACGAGTTGTTAAAAATTATACTTTAAGTAAAAAAAGCCGTTTATTAATAACTGAGGGTCCCGATCGAAGAACTGGTTATCATTTTTTTCAACTAAAAATCATTGTCAAATAAATAAAAAATTAAAACTTTTTAAATCACGATTTTTGGAGGAAATTTTTAGTAATCTTTATACAAATACGAAATGCTTACAAAAAATAAAAATTAAAAATTTTTGTTAATTTAGAAACGGATAATTCTGATCCTTAAAAATTATAAGCGGTTCTTCGATCGGGACCCATACAGTAGTGAATATTGGTCGCTCAGACTGTCTGTCCCAAACAGCAATATCTACTTCGAGTTACAGAAGGGAGTAAAATTTTATTGGTCAGACCTAGTTTCCACCCAGAACATCAAAGTAGTGTCAAAATTTGTAAAGTGTGCCTATCCACTTTTAGATGGGCGAGTATCTTTTATGATTTTCTCATTTTTTTACTCTATATATGATAAAGAAAAAATATAAGGTTAAAAATTTTGCAAAATTTTAATTTTTTTAATAGTTATTGTTAATAACATTTGTTCATATGAATTTCGAAATTAATTATTTTCTACCGTTTTTTAAGAGGAATAGAGTTGATTTTTGGTATGAATAATAAGAAATAATACCTCTTTTGATTAATATTTGTTATTATACAAAATTAAAAAAAATTTAAAAATAAATATGTGCATTTTACCAAAATTATCCCTTGTTTTATGAAAAAATTTTTTTTTTACTTTTTCATTAACAAATAAAGAATTTTAGATATTATTTATTAAAAATCGGCCTCGATGAATCGATGTGCAATTTAATAAGCTTAGATTTAAAAAAAAGTTTATTAAATTTCGTTAAGAATTAAACTGTTGTTATGTCCAAAGAATAACATTTGACCTAATTAACAATACACACTTTTATTTTTTTTAATTTTTTTTAATTTTTGTCACTTTTGTGAAGTGTCTAAAACGAGTTTTTTCGTCGTCAAGTTTAATTTTTCGATAGCTACTTTTTTATACTTTTTTTAGTTTGAAAGCTACTTTTTGTTACTTTTTTAAAGTTAATTATCGAGTGCGAAGTCTGATTTTGCTTCTTGCGGCAAGCTTGCTAAAAATTGGAATGTTAGATACCCGCAAGTAGAACGAAATTACAGTAATATTTAAATGTAATATTACTGTAATATTACGTGTTACTTGAGTATGTGGGTCAGTATAATAATTTTAATTTAATAAATTCAGTGATTGTAATTCAATAAAGTGAATATTAAATTGAAAAAAACATTTTGAACAGGGTAGGGTTTTCAAAGGAAAATTAGTATTAGAACGTACCCTGCAGTATTTGAATTTACAGCAATTTTGAAAATATTTTTTGAAGCAGACATACTGAGGGTACACAAATTTCGAGCGAAAATTACAAACTATCATCGTGCATTTTAATTGAGTACCATAGAATTGGTAGAATTTCAACTGTACCAGCACTCAACTAGTATAACTGTTGTCAGTACTGATTGAACTAGTCAATCACTACATTACCGAAGCTTTGTGTTACGTCAGCTTGTGCACGAAATAATTGAACCATAGTTCCAGTCCGGATGGCGATACAGACGAGCAGTTGATTGCTAATTGGATATGATCCATGAAAGAGACATTTGTAATATTGTATGATCTTAAATATAGGTGGAATGGCAACCAACAGTCCTGGATTTTGAAATTGATGATAAAGCGCAAACGTAAGGGAGCGTGAGAGAATCACGCGGCTTTCGTAGGGTGGAAAAGAGTGACAAAGATCCTAAATAGAAATAAGGACAGACTAAGCTTATAGAGGGTGGCAGCAGGGTGGATTAAGCGCGCGCACTATTGCGGGCACACTGTGGGGTATACTCGAGGAAACGTAGTCAAGCGATCGTCCGGCTGTGGATACGAGCTTCAGGCTCGGTGTAGATAGAAAGTTAATTTTGATAATAGGAAAAACGTTTTTTTTATTTTTCGTATAGTGATCCGCGCACCCATTGAACTTGTATGTGGTTCATGGTTTCTTGATGCAGTTGGATCAGTAGTGGTTGTTAAAGTGCAGGGCAACGGAGTGCAGAATCTGTGGTGAATTTGAGTGAATGCGAGGGTCGTATCTGCAAGCCATCAGATAGCTGGGCTCATTTAGCGAGAGTTGAGTGATTACAGTTAGTTTTATCAATTAAAAGAGTGGCATATAGTGTTGGTGTTAACTGGAGTTCGCTAACAGGGCAGAAGCTCGAACGCATGTAGGAACATGGCCGCATCCAACCCCTGCCTCCCTCTAGAGGTGAGTTCCTCTTTGGTATTTGTAGTTTCATTGTGAAAATGTGTATGTGTCCCTTAGCGAACAAACCTTCGTACGCATATCATCCTTCACCTGTGTTTGTGCCTGTCCACCTGAAAGTCGACCTGATTTCTGTTAACATAATGCTCTAAATTGCGAGAGCTAATTTTAAATATCACTCTCCTCGTCGCTAATACCAGGCTCACACAAAATTCAATATTATATACCCCAACGGAAATAAACTTCTTTATTAATTTTACGTGGAAAAGATTTAACATTCCCGCTACTGGAGAATGGAGATTGATGAGAAAGAAGTAAACCAATGTAGCTGGGTCATGAAGCAGACATTTTGTTTACTACGGTAGATAATATCTTGACGAATAACACTAAATGCTCAGTGAAATAAAAAAATTTTATATTTCTAATTCGGAATGGAATTATCTTTCGACAGATAAACGAATATGAGCTGTAAAACTCTTCAATTAAATGTTATTCAACTACATATGCAGATGTCAAGACTATTAAAATAATGTTTCTTTCGATGCAGATTTTACTACTTACACCATAAATAAAACTAAAAATGAGAATGTAAAAATTATTTCGTCCATTATGAGCATGATTCAATAATAAATATTCCCTTTATAGTCGATAAATATAAACATTATTTATAGCCAAATTTTCTGTTCCACACATTTTGAGAAAAGTAAATAAAAGCTACATCCAAATATATAAATATATTTTTTAAACCCTTCACATTGAATTGTCCATAGTATTGAAAAATTGGTATCTTAATTGAAATAAAAATATTGTAGGTACATATAACAAATTCATAAAACATATTTCTTCTCAAATCTAACATAAATGAAATGTAAAAATAAGTTCCAATATTTAAATATATTTAACGAGTATACAAAATAAAGAAAAATGTCATTTAAAAATAGCAAATATTTGTTAAATTTTATTATTCAGTATAACTATGAATTATACATTACAGAATTATAAAATGATAAGTTCTGGGATTAACATGCAGCGTCTAAAAAGATTCTTGATAAAATTTGGATCCTATACTGTTAACCTAGTTAAATTTTAAGTGGTCTAAATTTTTTTTAATTAAGGTAATAATTATATTGATGCCCTGTGCATTCAATTTGAAACAGAATGTGTGGTATACTTTATAAGTAAATCTTAAAATTGATTATAGCATAGTTCTAAAAGTTGGGAACGAAAAAGGGATCTCTAACGCATGACGCATAACCTAATTGTCTAAACCTTATACTCTCTAAATCTAAATTAGAAAAAAAGTTGTTGACGAACTATAATAATTTTTTTTGAAATTATACAGATATAGTTAGGCCTGTGCGGTATTGAAAATCTATAATCGGTTTTCGGTTTCTGGAAAAATCGGTTCTTAAGTCGATTTTCGGTTTTAAAACTAAAACCGGTTTTGAATACCGGCGTTTAAAAAACGGTTTTTCAAATACCATTTTATAAAAAAAACTGGTTCAAGAAAATTTGGTTCATTACAAAAATCAATTTGTTTTTCAAAACAACCTTTTCAAAAGAAAATTTTTTTTAATTGATTGGAGTAAAATATCAAATTTTCATGTTAAAATTTTAAAATGTAATATGCATAAATAAGGATTAGGGTTGAAATATTTATTAAAACACTTTTCAGAAAAATTAATTTTTTATTTTGGTTTTGGGATATGTTTTTACAAATCGGTTAGATTCGGTATTGCGTTCGAATAGCCGGTATTTCCCGAAAAACCGGTTTTTTTTAACAGGTTTTAAAAAAACCTTAAACCTGGAATTCTTAACCGAAAAATCGGTTTTCAGAAATACCGAAAAATAAACCGGTTTACTGTACAGGCCTATTTGAAGATAAAGCAAATTTTGAAAATACACCGGAAGCTCGATCAGCGGTTGCTTGTTTACATCGTTTGTAGATGGACGCTCTGGATATTCAGTAATAAAATAATGGTACCCCATCATAAAACAGTTTATACGGCCCTGTATGTTTACGCTCGATCAGCGGTATAGAGCACTCCCGGAGCCGACCGCTGATCGGGCTTCCAGTGTAATTAAATTCTAAAAAATTTTAATATAATTTTCAAGTAAAAATTAAAAAGTGATAATTAATGAAAATTAGCTTCTATAAATTATATGAAAATATTTTTGAAGAAACTAATTTTTAAAATTTTTTTTCCAATTTTTTAAAACTCAATTATTTCCTTTCTTTTCAAATTACATATTTCCAAAAATTTAACTTACCAAATTTAACATTTTGGAGAAAAAAAATTATGCTTAAAATTTGTAATTAAAGTTCTTCAAAAAATTAATTAGTTTTTTTAAATTATGTTAAGGTTTTACCCATCATATAATAACTTAAAATAAATAACTCACTTTAGAATGAATTAACTATTTATTAAAAGAATATTAAAAGGTTTAGACTACAATGCAGCTAGCTGCCTAATGACAATATCTCTATCGAACTACAACAGAACAACTACTAAAGCTACCGATTGTAGCATGCGCAGTTTGCTTGGATTCTGCGCATAATAAAAAGTTAACAGGCGCTCTTATTTAAATTATTAGTAGTTTTTGAATATTCTTAACAATTATACAAAAATTCTTCAATTATTTTCGAAAAATTACATTACAATATTTATTATATTCTTAAAAAATGCAATTATTTTAAAAATATTTTACCGAATTTTAATTATCTATGGAAATTTTAAAATTATATGTGATTAAAAAACTATTACCTTTCTTACTTATACATGAACTGATTCGTTTTCGTGCCAGCAATATAATTTTTTACAAGAACTGATTAAAATTTCTATAAAGAAAAAAGTTATTTAAAAAAACAAAAAACTAGGGTAAATGCACTAGTAGTCGGACACTTAAAGATACAATCTTAAATTATGCTTTTTTTCTTGAAATAGCAAATATCTACTGTGTTTATAAGCACATTATTAATTAAAGGAGTTCTTCAGGATTAAAAATCATATAAATTTGTTACAAATAGTTGAGTATTTAATAAAATATAAACATTTTAATAAAAAATTACGAATGCTTTAGTAGTCGGACACTTTTTCCCCTTGTTTCTATAGTCGGACATCTGTCAGATATTTTGGATTTATAAAGTAAAAAAGATAATTTTTTAATTGCTATCTGCTGGAAAATGGAATTAAAGCAAATTAGAAGTTATTAATATAATATTTAAACCCTATAAGTTTTAATATTTATGATTAATTATCAACAAAACTTTGTGCCACTCATCGCGCTACTCGAAAATGGTTGTATCTATAGTCGGACACCATGATTTTTAAAACATTAAATAAAATATTTCTTGTTTAATTATTTTCGAAAATAACACTATTTTAATAAAATATAAACTTCACACATTCGTCTAGTATACTTTTTAAAGTAATTATCACAATGCATTATTATTTATTTGCCAAAAAACACGAAAGTGTCCGACTACTAGTACTGTCCGACTATACCCGCACTTACCCTATATGTTTCAAAAATATTTAAAAAATTGATGAACAAAATTTGTTGTTGGTAAACAAATAAAAATAGAAAAATTTTTGTAAATTCTTGAGTCTGATTTTAGATGTTGTTGACTGTAATAAACTTACAAAATTTTATCAAAATCCGTCAAAACGTGCAAGAGAAAATTTGTGGAAAAACAAATAAGTATTTAAATATTTATTTAACAAAATATTATTCAAGTCAATACAAATTAAAATTTTTTGACAACACTGAATTACATACACAATTTTTTCAACGTTTTTTGAGCCTTAAAGTCGATCCGGGGTCTGATAACTAGTCCTTTCATGGGATACAAAATAGTCCGACAAGAATTTTAAAGCTTAATTATTAAACTTTTAATACCAGTTGGAAAATTGAAAAAAAAATTTAATTTTTCTGTTTTTATAGCGTAAAATTTAAAAAAAATGGATTTTTCACCCCACTCTACTCTAATTTAAATTTCCATAAGTATCTCGTGTAGTGTAAGAGCTATATAGGGATGGATTTTTTTTAATTAGTTAATTTTTTTAGAGTACATAAAAGCAGTAGTTTTCGAATGTAATTCGTTAAATTTAATTATGTTTTCAAGTTTTAAGTTTTAACTGTTTTAAAATTTTTTAAAAAAGTAGGTTTTGTAAATTTTGTAGAGCTTTTTGAGAAGATTCTTTAGATGTATTATTTAACACGTTGCTGACATGCTGAAAATAATGTAATTTATAATATTTATGAAAAGAAAATCTCCATGAGGAATCAAATCTATTTTAACTTTTTAGTAGTTTTCCACTATTTTAAAAAAATACGTTTTTATCACTTTTTATTTCTTATCATTTCAACACTTCCATTAAACTAGTTATATTATTTTATCACATTTATTAATATAATTTTTGTATGGCATAATGTATAACCTTTAAAACTTTTAATTATTACATTTTTAATAAAATTCAAATTAAATACATACAAATGCAAAAAAAAAAAAAATTATTTGACTGAAATAACCGATTTACCTGTCTATTATCAAATAAATATTTAATTGAATCAAAAAGTTTTTATTTCGGTCACTTAAATTGTATTTGAACAAATAATTATTAACTTTATAAAATATACAATTATTCAAAATTTTGACCAAAGTAAAACAATCAAACGGTATTTTAAAAATGAAGAGACCTGCTTTAAGAAAATATCAACTTTTGGATTCCTTGAAAGAAATATAATTATTTTCATAAATAAATTTACAAAAATTACAGAAATCTGACGTACATTACAAAAATAGACTATAAAATAGGGTTCGTACTTTACATGTATCGTTCGCCAATAGCATGCGCAGACAGTTTTGACCTTTTATGCGTTCACAGCACTTGGGATTTTTTCCGCTTTAGAACTTAGATTTTTAGGTAAAAATATTTTTATGATACGTGAGAATAAAACGTACTGCGTGTCATAAAAAATTTTTTATAAAAAGGGGTATT